AGAACGGGCGCCTTGTTTTTCATCAAAGTCCTGTAAGCAAGCTGTGTGAAACTCTTATAGTCAACATCATCATTATCATAGTTGCGATCATCGAGATGAATTGCTGACACTAAACTCCAAAGAGACTTCCATCTTTTCGAGACAAGGCTTGTGGCCTTTACATCTTTTGTTGGAACCAACGACAGTATTCGCAATAGCAAGTCATCTGAAAGTAGACTGATCATGTCCATCTCCGGAACTGCAAAACCAAAGAAGACGAAAAGATAAGCCTTTGAGAGAACGTATAAAGCCGACGTCTAGACACGTAAGAAGAAAAACATACAGGGATTGTTTAGAGATACGGAATTCCTTGTTACTCAGGCTATCTTGTTTCTTTTACTCGGTAAAAGTATTGATCGTTTATTAATGAATCAGACTCAAGACCCGTACATATGTACACTAACCCTAATTTGTAAGGACACAAAATCCTGGATTGAAAATCAAGAACAAAAATCGATTAAGGAAAGAAGAATATGCGGAGACAAGATATGACCTTTTTCCTTAATTCAATAAATCTCTGGCAGTATGGCGGTTTTATGAAATTCTGAATCCCAGGCTACAACCATGTTGAGGCTATAATGGCAACACTCTGATTATAGAATCTGCGAACCAGATCTACAATGTTCTCTCAAGACTTACTCGTCAGAAAGAGTAGAGAGACGAAGAAGAGAGAGATTTGCTGGAAGCTCTTGTGTTTAGAAAATCTGATAATTTCAGAGAATGAGAAGAGTCTTTATCTATAGGGAGGAGTACCTTGATCCCTAAGTTAGAGAGGGGTAAGGATTTGGAAATATTCCACCTCGTTCCGGTTCGGAAATATTTTGTCTTGTTCCGCAAGGATAAGGATTCGAAAATATTACAAAAATTATTTTTGATGCAATCTAATTTATCCAAAATTATGTAAACTCTCTTATAAAAAAATTTCCATTCTTCCAAATTGGAACTTTGCTCATTTTAATATTATAAGTTTTCCAAACTATCCACTTTGAACCCTCATTTTTCATTCAAATTAACTTTGATTTTGACATGTAAATACACAATATTATAGTGCCCATTACTTTGTCAAAATTTGAGTTCCAACATAATTAACCCTGAAATACATAATAGATATGTATATAATAATACTAAACACTTGGAAAAAAATTGTAAACTCTAAAGATCTAAAATCGGAAAAATGGGAGAAAAGACTTAAGTACACGGTCATAACTTGAGGCTTAATCTGTCAAAGGGTTCCCAAAACGTTCTTGGATTCCACTTGTGAATCTCCCTGTCCTTCTAGGAGCAACCGCAATGAGGCCACCTGCGACCGCGGGCGGTGAACTACAATTCGTGGATATTGGTCAGGACGATATTCAACTTGTTTGTGTTCCGGTACAGGAAGAGTTGGTGCAAGAGGTATAACTAAGCCGCTATGGACGCAGGTGTAGCTTTCATGGCAGTTTTGTTGTACATCTCGGTGGGGATGGAGGAGAAGAGTTTGTATTGGTGGGGAACAAGAGGTGAGCATTGTGATCTAGCAAAGTGTCCGACCGCTAGATGGGTAACTGTTGATAGCTGTCCGGTTACATAATCTTGTGATTCATTTGTGTGTTACAACAATGTATAGTAGTATCTCAACTCAAAGTAATAAAGTAACAAAACTTCAAATTTTATAGAAAAAAAAAAAAAAAGTATCCAACTAAAATTGTAGCAAACTGATTATTCTTTACTAGATTTGGTTTAAACATAATTAGAAACTTCCTAAGTCGAATTCCGAAGAAAAGTCATCTTTTTGTAAGGGGGAGGGGGAAGAAATACATAGCTTAGCAATACGTCAACAAGTGGAAGTCATGTAGACGACATTACTAGGAATAGATAAACTTTTGATAACCAGAAACAATAGTTTTGCGTGTAAGTGTATCCAATCCTCGACACCTCTCGTTTCCCCTCTTTTCTTTTCCTGATCATCTAGTAATTATTATAGTCACTAATAAACTTCACATTGTTTAATCTTTTGTTCAATCCGTGTTTCCATAGTAAGCAAATATCTCTAAAAAAAATCAAATATCTCTAATCCGTGTTTCACGTAAATGTATTGCTTTTAGTTATCTAGTAATTGAGTTGCAACAAGAGATATTTAGACGGATCAAATTTTTTTGCAAAAATCTCTAATAGTATTTTTGAATTACAAGTTGGGTTTATATCCAAAAATATGCATAATTATAGAAACACAAAATTTTGTTATGTAGAAGAAGATTTTTTTTTTTTTTTTTTTTTGAAGAAGAAGAAGAAGAAGAAGCAAAAATAGAAAGGATACAAAACGGCAGCCGAAATTGTAAGATCAACGGTTTTTGATAAAGCTTTCAAATGCCCTTTGACACATTAACTACTGTCATTTATATATATAGTGTATCATAAGATTAGCTATACAAAGAGTTCGTAAAACAAACAATACAATTTTCCCATTGATCAATTGTGTACCTGTACAATTGCCTATATAGTGTATCATAAGATTAGCTGTACAAAGAGTTAACGACTCTGTTAATGCTCTGTTTCCTAACTAACAATATTAGTGAACTCCTTTACCTTCATTCTTCTTTTTCCTTCTCTGCCAAGCATCTTCATATACTGTAAACCTATCTACATAATAACCAATAAATAAACACACACATATATATATATATATATAACTAACAATGTTAGTGAACTCCTTTACTTTCATTCTTCTTTTTCCTTCTCTGCCAAGCATCTTCATATACTGTAAACCTATCTACATAATAACCAATAAATAAGCACACACATATATATATATAACATGGTGGTGAAGTAGTGAGATAAATATACAATAACCATATTAATGAATACCGCCGGGTTTCGACGTTCACTTCCTCCGGAAAGCTTGTCTGTTGCCTTCTCACCCTGTTGTCTATTTACTTTTTTTCAACCAAATTATTGTTCGGTTGCTCTCTTTTAAGATTGTTTTTGTTTTCAAAATCATGGGGAGAAGCTACTTGTGTGTTGAAGAGTAATTGGAAGGTTTCAAACTGGGGTGGGATTCCGATAATTGGATTGGGGATTGGTGGTGGAGATTTATGGTTTTTCTGTGTTTTTCGTGGACTCTCTATTCTTCAATGCTGGATTCCCTAAGCTAAGTTTGGGCACTGTTTCTTCTTCCTTTATCTAAGCTTTCTTGGTTTGGATCTTTCGTCATCCTTGTTTGTTCTCGTTCTAGTTCTCTTTTATTTTATGTTTGTATGGTTCTATCTTGCTTCTTTGTATACTTTTTATTTATATAAGAAAACCTTTAAAAAAAAAAAAAAAAAAAAAAACTGTCTCATTATTTAAAAGACGAATTGAAAGGTTCCAAAATACTTGTTTAAAACAAACTATATAATTCAACTAAATCTTGATTTGCAATCCAAGTTGGGTGGTACATTTAATTGGATTCCCTCTCGCGTTACGCCCACCTTAGTGCACCCAAGACATTTACGTTCACACAAGCCCACTATCTATTTATTATTTAACACTAGGGGAAAATCCGGGCTACGCCCGGTATATATTTAACAATTTAGTTTATTTAATTTTGATTTTTTATTTATTTGTTTACCATACGTGCTAAAACTGATATGATGTTGTATCTAAAACAAAATATATTTTTTTGAGGAAAGATTAGGGTTTTCTAAAACAATTAAAAAATCGTTTATCCACGGATGAAGATTCATGTTTAGGGATTACTTTTACTTTCAATCGTTGGAAGTAGAAGGAACTAAAAAGTTGAGAAAACTCCACTTCCATGATACATTTGCTAGAAGATTAAGTACTTACATAGAAGGTTTGACTTCACCAAATATATAAAACATTTAAGTCGAGAATGATGTTGAAAAAGTTGACATTTTTTGAAAATTGTAATCGAGTTTGAATAGATACATGCGAGAAAGTCGATCATTGGCAAAAATAATTTAGAACATTCTTGATCTCACTAATTATTTAACGGATGTGCATGGCTATAATGGGCTATCTTCATTGCTAAAGATGTTATAAACAAAGCATGACAAGTGGGTTTATTTTTAAGGATCAACAAAACTTATGTATTGGTACCTATTATTTATGAGTATTGCGACCTGACAACCACGCTATGTAGCATGGAGAAGAGAGTTGTGTATATAAAGGTCATGTACATACACTAATTCTAAAATGATTTCAATCTCAGTTAGTAGAACAGTACACAAAGCGACTGTAACGAATTTTTTCTAGTCATTGCTATTCAAAAAGGGGAGATGATTGTATATTTTGTTGTGCTATATATTCTACCATAAACGTATCTAAACACTGACAACAAAGAGGAAAATACGGGCATCCACAGCTAGAATCTTAGTGATGACCTATCATAATACATAAAAGGGTAGAAGTACAGAAAGACTGACCAAGCTAAGCTGATAATGCTTAGATCCACACCGTTAAAATTTTGGAACCTTTGATATGTTGTTATCTTAGCTTCAGAGACAATTACTACGCTTTGGCTTTTCTCATGGAGTTAAATATGGAGCTTACCATAGTAATTGCATTTGCGTCATCATTAACAATAGCATATTTAGCTCTAGCATGAATACTCCAGCTGCATCATCATTCCAAAAATGACTTTTGTAAGCCATCTAAGAATTTGCTATGCTCTGTTTTTACTTTGTTACATCCTCTCTCTCGTCTCTGTAAATAGAAAGAAAAACTAATGGCCAAAGAAAAGCATACTAAACATCTTGTATAGATTTTAAAAAGAGTGAAACACTTTTTTTTTTTTTAAGAGTGAAACACTTACATTACATAGTCATGGAATGTTTGAGCAAACTCGTCCAGGGTAAATGGCCAAAGACCAAGAAGGGAAGAACATTTTGCGAAAGTGATTGAAATCTCCATACCTAAAGGTTTTCAACCAAATTATTAAACTTAAGGGGTAACTAAAATAAAGCAAATACTCGTTTCTATGTATATAAAGTCACATTTTGTTACTTCACACCAATGTCGAAACATTTAACGATAAATAAGATGGGAAAGTCACCATAAGAAGATATGCAACATTCTCATCAGAACCATTCCATAGCTTGATTGCAAAGGGCTTTTTCAAATTTACAAACGTTGGGGGCAAATATTGCCTGCTTTTCTGAAAGAATACAATCCATCAGATGGGTGTAAGATTAAGATATAATTCTCATAAACAACTAAAAAGAGTGAGGAAAAAAATAATATAAAACAAACACAATTATTGGTTCACCTCTACCTTGCATCGAGGTTCTGTAGAGTTTCAAAGTCAAGAGCGAGCATTGGAGGCAATCCTTGGTTGACGTAGCAACCTCCATGAGTTATCTAGACAAAAATCATTCTACATTTCTAGCTCATTTAAGTTGAAATAGCTGCAGCTTACCCTGCAATAATAATTTAATTTGATAAGTACGTTTACACAATATAGAAAGTAAAACTGGGAAATCATATTTCACTGTTAAGTACGATTAGGACATCCTCAAAGTGTGATTGTAGAAATGTGTGGTAGTGTATACTTTCAGACGGGAAACAAATTCAAGCTTCAAATATGAGATTTGGCTTCTCACCGTTGGGTCTATCCGATTAATATTTTGGAACTTTAAACCACACATCAGTCTCTTCAAAGACTTGAATCTCGATCCTGACATAGGGAAATCATGGTTTCACTTAAATTCATACTTTAGAAGAAAATAAACAAAGAAAGTAGGTTTTTTCACTAAAACATGGTTTACCTGACTCTGTATTTTTGTCGAGTTGTATGCATAGATTCTGGACATGGTTTATGGATACTCTTTTTTGAAAACCATAGTTTCTCCTTTGCCCATCGTTAGCATCTGTACAATGTCCTCCCTGTAATCAACCAAAAAACAGATGGTTACTAAAGCAGAGGGAGATCACGATTTTCGTAAGTAAATATTGTTGTATTTACGGAACCAGATTTTATATGAATCTCTTGGGAGTTGATTTTTCTTTCCCAGGTTTCATATCGTACGATCGCGAGATGACCACGGATGAAACAGAAAATCAAACGACAACAAAGAGCGATGGCGGACGTATCGTGAGGTGAGATAGAGATATGAATCTCGATGCGTGAGAGAGAGACATGAATCTCGATGATCGAACATGATTACGCAGAGGAAAGGACATGATTAGATGGACGAAAGGTAAAACGGTTCCGCTTCCAGAAAGTTATCATCTAAAAGAAATGAGGTGCCCTAATTTGTCAAGTAGAATTGTGTGTAGAAAGAAGAATTATTTAGCTTCTTTAACGTGCTGACGTGGCAGCCTTAGGTAGAAGTTTGAAAAGCTGATGTGGACATCTTGAGAGGCCTCAATGAGCTTCTTTTATTAGTAAGAGATGCATATGTACCTTTTATTTGTTCTGTGTTTACGTACTACTATGTACATTTCACAATTGATGTGAAATGTTATATTACGTTATCAAACGTGATTTTTTGCCATGTGTATGAAGTTTATAACATTCACATTGACATTGTGTTTCTACATTTTGCAAACTGGCTATGTTATACATTAACTACTAGTTAAAAAATAAATCAATGTATCTATTTAAATTAACTATAATTTTATTTATCACTTTGATGGTATTCAATTATAGTGTTTAACATGTCGCAATATAATTTCATATCTATTGTTTCAGTGTTTATATACCATATCTATCTCATTATTTATATACATAAACTAATGAATGGTAAACTTAAAAAATGTGGATTTCGTGAGGGAAGTGTATTGAAACATGTATTTTGGAAGATTTAGATTTATTTTTTAAATCACATGTTATTCAACTTGAGATTTTAAAATCCCCAAAATTATTCAAACTCTTTATATGCATTCATTAGTTTATAAACTTGCATATAACCAAAAGTAAAAAAAAAACCAAAGGTTTTTTTATTGTTTCTCGGTATATGCATAAAAGATAGAAGTATGTTGGATATATGAGTGTTTTCGTTTATTTGGTGTCTTCTCTAAAGTTTTTCACGTATTAGCTAAAAGGATAAAAGTTTTTACCTTTTGCTCTAAGTGTCATGTTTCTTTCTCTTGTTCGGATTAGGCGTGCCATCAGACATGTATGTGTCCTCTGATTGGCTGACACGAACAGCAGTGTCATAAACTCCGTCAACGTGCATTGAGTCACCGCAATCCTCAACCCTCTGCCTCTTTCTGTTTGTCTCTTCAGTCTGTTCCTCTGTTATCTGTTATTCAGTGACAAAAATCTTTCATAACCTTCATAATCTTTCATAATCTTAACTATCAAGAAATAGATGTTTGCTTACCATAGGAGAAGGATCGGTATGGAATTCAGGGGCTATCACCAGAGATGATGGAGATCTGGACGGAGTGGAGAAGTTTCTGCGGGGAGTCTAAATATAAACACAAACCCATCAATACTTTGGATATCAATAGAGCAGCCAAAATGTGATATGGGGGAGAATCCTTACCAACGCCGGAGAAGAATTGGTAAAGCCAGTGGCTATCAGCGGAGACGGGGATCTTGACGGAGGAGTGGAGAAGTTTCTGCGGGGAGTCTGAATATAAACACAAACCCATCAATACTTTTGGATATCAATCAATCCTAGAGCAGCCAAAATGTGATATGGGGGAGAATCCTTACCAACGCCGGAGAAGAATTGGTAAAGCCAGTGGCTATCACCGGAGACGGGGATCTTGACGGAGGAGTGGAGAAGTTTCTGCGGGGAGTCTGAATATAAACACAAACCCATCAATACTTTTGGATATCAATCAATCCTAGAGCAGCCAAAATGTGATATGGGGGAGAATCCTTACCAACGCCGGAGAAGAATTGGTAAAGCCAGTGGCTATCACCGGAGACGGGGATCTTGACGGAGGAGTGGAGAAGTTTCTGCGGGGAGTCTGAATATAAACACAAACCCATCAATACTTTTGGATATCAATCAATCCTAGAGCAGCCAAAATGTGATATGGGGGAGAATCCTTACCAACGCCGGAGAAGAATTGGTAAAGCCAGTGGCTATCACCGGAGACGGGGATCTTGACGGAGGAGTGGAGAAGTTTCTGCGGGGAGTCTGAATATAAACACAAACCCATCAATACTTTGGATATCAATCAATCCTAGAGCAGCCAAAATGTGATATGGGGGAGAATCCTTACCAACGCCGGAGAAGAATTGGTAAAGCCAGTGGCTATCACCGGAGACGGGGATCTTGGCGGAGGAGTGGAGAAGTTTCCGGTGATCTGAACACAAACATAAACTATTCATTCAATTACTGTCTTCTAACGACGACTTACAGTGACTATACCTAGATTCATAACCATACCGCAGGAGAAGAATTGTTAGACGGAGGAGTGGAGAAGTTTCCAGTGATCTGAACACAAACATTAACTATTCATTCAATTCCTGTCGTCTAAAGACATACTCAGTGACTATGCCTAGATTAACAAAACGCAATCCCAGATAAAAACGCGGAGAGGAGAGAGATAAAGAGACAGTTACCGTCGTTGCAAACAGTGGCGACGGAGGATGAGTGAATGAGTGGTTTCCGATGGTTGAGTTAACCTGATTATCGACCGGAGACGGAGGCACGGGGTTGACATTAGCGGCGTTTTCATTTCCCGCCTGAAAAACATAGTCTCATATAAAGAGGCGGAGAGGAGAGAGGTATGGGAAGAGAGATAGAGAGAGAGAGAGTTACCTCCGTTCCAAGCAGTGGCGGCGGCGGAGGAGGAGGAGGAGTAGTGGAAGAGGGATTTGCGACGGTTGCGTTGAGATTAGCGGCGTTTCTAACCTGAAACATCACAGATCTGGATCTCAGAAAACGGAAAGAGAGATATATGAAAAATGACGGAGAGAGATCGTCGTCGGAATCTCTACCGCCGGTGTAATGACGACCGGAATTAAGCAATCTCAAAAAAACGCGGAGAGGAGAGAGATAAAGAGACAGTTACCGTCGTTGCAAACAGTGGCGACGGAGGATGAGTGAATGAGTGGTTTCCGATGGTTGAGTTTACCAGATTATCGACCGGAGACGGAGGCGCGGAGTCGTCATTCGCGGCGTTTTCGTTTCCCGCCTGAAAAACAGAGTCTCATCTAAAGACGCGGAGAGGAGAGAGGTATGGGAAGAGAGATAGAGAGAGAGAGAGTTACCTCCGTTCCATGCAGTGGCGGCGGAGGAGGAGGAGGAGGAGGAGGAGTAGTGGAAGAGGGATTTGCGACGGTTGCGTTGAGATTAGCGGCGATTCTAACCTGAAACATCACAGATCTGGATCTCAGAAAACGGAAAGAGAGAAATGTGAAAAATGACGGAGAGAGATCGTCGTCGGAGTCTCTACCGCCGGTGTAATGACGACCGGAATTAAGCAATCTCAAAAAAAAAACGCGGAGAGGAGAGAGATTTAGAGGCAGTTACCGTCGTTGCAAGAGATGGCGACGGAGGAGGAGTGAATGAGTGGTTTCCGATGGTTGAGTTTACCAGATTATCGACCGGAGGAGGAGGAGGAGGAGGAGTGGAAGAGGAATTTGCGACGGTTGCGTTGCGATTAGCGGCGTTTGTAACCTGAAACATCACAGATCTGGATCTCAAAAAACGGAAAGAGAGAAATGTGAAAAATGACGGAGAGAGATCGTCGTCGGAATCTCTACCGCCGGTGTAATGACGACCGGCGTTAAGACTGTCGCCTCCGTCGAATGGACTGTTGCCGTATAACCATCAGTGTTTCTCTCGACTTTGAGAGCTACCGCTATATTCAGATTCAACAGAATTGCTTCTCCCATGGTGGTTTGTGAATTGGGATCGATTCTGTTAGGATTGTGTTTATAAAGGCGGTGGTGGAAGGCGGAGACTGACGTGGCATTCTCATTTTGAAATCGGATTTTTGTTTTCTTTTTTTTTGTTCGGACTTCAGAGGCTTTCGAAGAGAACTTGACGATGAAATAAATAGACTGAACTACGATGCTTTGACACTCTCCACACAGACACAAAAGGAAAAGAAAAAGCAATTCCACGTCACGTTTTTCTATTTTCAATTGAGAATTTAAAAACCTATTTATTATTATTAGAGCTATAATTGTGCATATCATCTTTGTTGACCTTTTTTATAATCGTACGATTTAATTATTTTCAGTAGCTTTGGTAACAATATTTAATTTCGAATAGAAATGGAAAGGTATTATGTGTCTCGTAGCGCATTTATTAGAGGTCTACTAATGTTAATATCATCTTTGTTTCCTTTTCTAATCGTATGATATTTTTTCCAGTTAATTTGGTAACAATATTTTTAATTTCGAATAGCTAAATAGAAAAGTTTTGGAAAGGTTTCCTTTTTCCGAAGAGAATTGATTTTCAATTAATTTGAAAACAAAAGTTAAGGAACTTTGATTTCGAAAAGGAATATATAAAATTTGGATGTAACTGTCAAATCAATTAGTTGGGATTCCAGTTACCAAATACAGAATTGATTTGGCAAATTATTCCCTTCCGAATAATAAAATCCATCCCGCCATTTTGTTGTACTTACTGACTGTACATACAAAAGTCAGTTTCTAAGAAAGGTCCGATACGTCATCGTATCAGCAGCGTCGGAGGCTGATAAGACTACGCTAGTGGTAGTTGGGCTCATGTTGGGCCTATAAAAAATTAAGCTAAGGCTTTATTTAATCCTACGTTCCTCCTTTAGAGAAATCAAATAAAATATGATTGCCTCCAAACAGAATTCGGATTCTGGTGAAACAGTGCTAGAAATTGAACCAAATTAGAAAAAGAGGTTCGGTTCAATTTGACTATGGTTCCGGTTTGTTTTGTCCGGGTAAAAGGAGAAACGAACCGAAGACTTTTTTACTACTTTTTAGATTCTCAGTTTGGGTGAACGACCTGTGTCCCCCCACGAAGTTTCATATAGTACCATAACAACACAGATTTCGGGTCTCGTCTCCAGTCCACACAAAACGAAAATTAAACTCCAGTTTCCCCCTAAATTGAAAGTTCGAGATCTCAGTCTCCATAAATTCAAATTTCGTGGTTTATCATTGGTTTACTGTGCCGAACCCGATGCCAAACCAAAACCCAGAATAATAAACCGATTTGAAACCCAATTCGAGTTATCCCAACCCGAAATAAACATGAAAGACGATGCTTGCCTTTCGATAGCAAAATCGAAATCGAAAAAAGATTCTGACCACAGCCGTACGTTCTCCGACGGCCAGCTCCGGGGAGAGCAACCACAACCCTTCATGTATTTCTTGACGGCTCTTACTTTTGGCGAATCAAAGACATCACTTTCGTCTCTCAACTCCACCTCTTACTCGTGAAATTGGAGACCAAAGTCTCTTCCGGTGATCTGCTTATTATCTCCTGTGACCATCTCTCTCTCCACCGGCGATTATGCATGAAGCACATGAGACATCCTCTTTGTCTCCTCTCATGAATCTGACCCGATTTCTTCGTCTTCTCCTACCGCCATCAACGTCCAGCTCAGGTACTCTCTAATCTCTCTCTCGTTGTCGTGTTGTTGCAACAATTAGAGATTAGGTTCGAAGACGACAACTTCTGGTAACATGTTCTTTGGAATTTTCCAAATTGAGTCAATATGGGGATACCTTAGCTTCAAATATGATAACTCAATTTGGGGATTCTTGCAAACGGTATTTATTTCGGGTTGGGATAACTCGAATTGGGTTTCAAATCGGTTTATTATTCTGGGTTTTGGTTTGGCATCGGGTTCGGCACAGTAAACCAATGATAAACCACGAAATTTGAATTTATGGAGACTGAGGTCTCGAACTTTCAATTTAGGGGGAAACTGGAGTTTAACTTTCGTTTTGTGTGGACTAGAGACGAGACCCGAAATCTGTGTTGTTATGGTACTATATGAAACTTCGTGGGGAGACACAGGTCGTTCACCCTCTCAGTTTTAATTTCACTTTCTTCTTCACATCCACTCATCATTGCTCTCTCCGGCGACAAAACACAGCCAGCGACTGACGAAAACTAAACACTTCGCCGTCACACACTCTCTCTCTCTAATCTCCGGCGATGGAGAGTTTTGCTCTTCACTCTCTCTCCACCACCGCCACTTCCACCTTACTCTCCCATCATCATCATCATCCCTCACGTCTCTCTCTTCTCCGTCGCACCTCCTCGAGATCTCCGCCTTCAACAATCTCCCTCCGATCTCTCTCCGTTCAACCTATCTCCTTCCCTCTCCTCAAACCAATTCCTCGATTCTCCACACGAATAGCCGCCGCACCACAAGACAACGCTCCTCCTCCTCCTCCTCCTCCTCCCCCATCTCCATCTCCGTCTCCTCAAGGAGCGAAACTCATTCCTCTAATCCTCTCAATCTCCGTCGGTCTAATCCTCCGATTCGCTGTTCCTGTACCAGAAGGAGTCACGCCACAAGGCTGGCAATTACTCTCCATCTTCCTCTCAACAATCGCTGGTCTCGTCCTTAGTCCTCTCCCAGTCGGAGCTTGGGCTTTCATTGGCCTCACCGCTTCAATCGTCACCAAAACGCTTTCTTTCTCCGCCGCTTTCTCAGCTTTCACAAGCGAGGTTATCTGGTTGATCGTTATCTCTTTCTTCTTCGCTCGTGGATTCGTCAAAACAGGTCTTGGTGATAGAATCGCTACTTACTTTGTGAAATGGCTTGGGAAGAGTACTTTAGGTCTTTCTTATGGGCTCACGCTTAGTGAGGCTTTGATTGCTCCTGCAATGCCTAGTACCACTGCTAGAGCTGGTGGCATTTTCTTGCCCATCATCAAGTCTCTCTCGCTATCTGCTGGAAGTAAACCGGGTGATTCTTCTTCTAGGAAATTAGGGTCTTACTTGATCCAATCTCAATTTCAGGTTACTTCTTTGTTTTATGTCCTTTGATTCATAATTTGGCTTATCACTTTTTGTGTCGGGAATTGGATCCGTTGGCTCCAATGATTAGGTAGTAGTGCGTGTAGTGTGATGCTGAGAAACAAAGTTTGCTCTTTGGTTCAATTAGTGTCTTACTCTGGGGGCTGCTTTCTAGTTTAGATGAAAGTTTCTTTCTTGTTGTTAGTATTTGACTTTGAGAGACTTTTGAAGTTTTCGAATTTTGTTCTGCTTCTCTAATTCTGTTCTGATCTTTGGCAGTGCGCCGGAAACTCTAGTGCTCTTTTCTTGACTGCTGCAGCTCAAAATTTGCTGTGTCTCAAGTTAGCTGAGGAGCTTGGAGTAGTGATCTCAAACCCGTGGGTTTCTTGGTTTAAGGCTGCTAGTCTACCTGCAATCATATCACTTCTTTGTACTCCATTTATCCTCTATAAGCTTTATCCTCCAGAAACCAAAGACACACCGGATGCTCCAGGTATTGCTGCAACGAAACTCAAGCAAATGGGCCCTGTCACTAAAAACGAATGGATCATGGTCAGTACAATGCTTCTTGCTGTCACTCTTTGGATCTGCGGGTAAGTCTTAGATCACTTTCATGTTTTGTATCATAACCGTTGGTAAAAATCTGAGCATTCCATGGGTTAATATTATGTGCAGAGAGACTCTCGGAATACCAAGTGTTGTAGCTGCCATGATCGGTCTCTCCATACTTCTTCTGCTTGGTGTCCTCAATTGGGACGATTGCCTAAGCGAAAAATCGGCATGGGACACATTAGCTTGGTTTGCTGTCTTGGTGGGAATGGCAGGACAGCTCACAAACCTCGGTGTTGTAACATGGATGTCTGATTGTGTAGCCAAAGTTCTCCAATCTCTCTCCTTGGGTTGGCCTGCTGCGTTTGGACTTCTTCAAGCAGCATACTTCTTCATTCACTACCTTTTCGCAAGCCAAACCGGTCACGTTGGAGCGCTTTTCTCAGCTTTCCTTGCTATGCATATAGCAGCAGGTGTTCCGGGCATTTTAGCTGCACTTGCTTTAGCTTACAACACCAATCTTTTTGGTGCTTTGACTCACTACAGTAGCGGTCAAGCCGCTGTCTACTATGGAGGTATTCCCATTAATGAACAGAACATAGCTCTCTCTTTATAGTTAAGTCTCTTAACATTTGCGTTTGCTTCTATTTTTTTGCAGCGGGTTATGTTGATCTGCCTGATGTATTCAAGATTGGATTCGTGATGGCGACGATTAATGCGATAATCTGGGGAGTAGTTGGAACTTTCTGGTGGAAATTTTTGGGTCTCTATTAAGAGCTCCTCAGAAGAAAGGTGTTCTCGAAGAAGCTTTGCAAAGTCCGGTACAATTCTTTGTTGATCATTCGGTTTTGAGGCTTCATTTTTTCCTACTTGCAATTAGAGAATCAGACAATTCTTTGTCAAATAGATATACAGAGATCTATCTCGATTTGTTCTCTTATGAAATATCGTATTTCTTTTAGGAGAAAGAGTAAGATACAAGATGAAATTTTGTCTCCAGAGGGAAGATTCTTTTTGTTGGAATAAGACAGATATGAGTGTGGTTAAGAGCTGGATCTAGATCTCCATAATAATAACGTTTTAATTATCTTTATAAAAAAGACTTAACAGAGAAAAATATCAAACAGAAAATTAAAAAAAAAAAAAAAAAAAAAAAAAAAAAATCAATTTCCCTCCTCCGGTAAATCGGAGAACACACACACTCTCTCTCCCGGCGATGGAGAGTTTGGCTCTCCGTTCGCTCTCACTCTCCACTTCTTCATCAGCCTCCTATCTCTCTCTCCGCCGATCTTCCTCCAAATCATTCTCGTTACTTCCACCGTTGATTTCCGTACACTCACCCCCAACACTCCGATCACTCTCCATCTCCTCCCCTCGATTCACTCTACGCGCCACCGCCTCTTCCTCGCCGGAGAAACCTCAATCCCTTCCTTCTCCTTCTCCGCCGCAGCCGCAAGGAGCGAAGCTAATTCCTCTCACAATCTCCATCTCAATCGGCCTCATCGTCAGATTCTTAATCCCAAGACCAGAACAAGTAACCTCACAAGGATGGCAATTACTCTCAATCTTCCTCTTCACGATCTCAGGTCTCGTCCTTGGTCCTCTTCCCGTAGGTGCTTGGGCTTTCATTGGCTTAACCGCTTCTATCGTCACCAAAACGCTTCCTTTCTCAACCGCTTTCGCCGCTTTTACCAATGAGCTCATTTGGCTAATCGCTATTTCTTTCTTCTTCGCTCGTGGTTTCATTAAAACTGGTCTTGGCGACAGAATCGCTACTTATTTCGTGAAATGGCTTGGGAAAAGCACTCTTGGTCTGTCTTATGGTCTTGCGTTCTGTGAAACGCTTATGGGTTTGATAATGCCGTCTACAATGGCTAGAGCCGGTGGCGTTTTCTTGCCGGTGATTAAATCTTTGGCTCTTTCCGCCGGAAGTTATCCCGGAGACCCATCTTCCAGAAAATTGGGTTCTTTTCTGATTCAAACCCAATTGCAGGTCAAAATTCAATCTTTTGATAAAATCTGTTGCATACAACAATTTACTATCCTGAAATCAAAAACTCTAGCTTGGTCTTTGAAAATAACATCAACTATGTATGTTCGTTAAGCATAAAATGTTTTGTGTCTTTATGACTTTAGTTTTAAGGGTTTATGTTTTGTCTGTGACAGTGTTCAGGAGCTTCTGGTGCGATTCTACTCACATCAGCGGCACAAAACTTGCTATGTCTCAAACTAGCTAGAGAAGTTGGTGTTGTAATCTCGAATCCATGGATCACTTGGTTTAAAGTCGCGAGTGTTCCTGCGTTTGTGTCTCTTCTTTGTACTCCTCTCATTATCTACAAGCTTAACCCTCCTGACCTGAAACACACACCAGAAGCTCCGGCTGCAGCTGCTAAGAAGCTCGAACGATTAGGTCCCATCACGAAAAACGAATGGATCATGCTCGGCGCCATGGCTTTCACCGTCTCTCTTTGGGTTTTCGGGTAAGGTTTCTTGCTAAATTTTGAACGAAAACCATTGGTATCATTTTAGAGAAATAGCATAAAATTATTTACATACTTATAGTGTCGATACAATCAGTCTATAACTACATAGACTCACTAAAAGTATTCAAAAACTACACAAACTCATACAAACTATTCCTTGCAGAGAGGCAATAGGAATAGCAAGTGTTGTGTCCGCGATGATAGGTCTGTCAACGCTTCTGCTGTTAGGAGTCATAAACTGGGACGATTGTCTCAGTGACAAATCAGCTTGGGACTCACTCACTTGGTTTGCGGTTTTAATTGGTATGGCTGGACAGCTAACAAACCTCGGTGTTGTTGCTTGGATGTCGGATTGTGTAGCCAAACTGCTACAATCTCTCTCCCTGACTTGGCCCGCATCATTCATTATTCTCCAGGCTTGTTATCTCTTGATCCATTATCTATTTGCAAGCCAAACCGCTCACGCGGGAGCTCTCTATCCCCCTTTCTTGGCGATGCAAATCGCTGCTGGAGTGCCGGGGGTTCTAGCAGCGCTTTGCTTGGCTTTCAACAACAATCTCTCGGGTGCTTTGGCACATTATAGTGGGGGACCAGCTGCTTTATATTACGGAGGTCCGTTTTCTTCTCTTTCTAAGTTTTTATCTTATTTTTCATATCCTTGTCATTGAATTAATCGACCATTCCAACACTTTCTTACATTTTTTTTCTTGGTCTGGATCTGCAGCTGGGTATGTAGATCTGAGAGATATGTTTAGAGTCGGGTTCGTGATGGCTCTTGTACAAGCGATCATCTGGGGAGGTGTTGGATCTTTCTGGTGGAAATTTTTGGGTCTCTACTGAACATATAGAAGTACCGAAACCACTCCCTGAGCATTTGCCCCGAAACCAAACCCAGTCCAAACAAATCCATAATTTCGGTTTTAAGGTATGGACTCAAAAGTGTCTGGTAATCGATCTGATTCGGGTTCACATAGCCACATACCAATTGGTTTGTGTTAGTATATTAAGGATGTAAACCGTAGAAGGTATAACAATATATCCTGTTTTCCTTCGGCAGCGTTTTAGTTCAACTTGAACCGAAAAACTACAATTAAATCGGTCCAAATTCAGTAAACATTTCAACTGAGGAAACCAAATTTCTGAACAAACTGACAAAATTCTAAAGGCCGAGGCCTAATATCTTCACCGAGTCTCGCAATATGAAAGATCTAAAGGCTCTCTGCTTATTTAGTTATTTCAGAGTCTTGAAGATTTCTACGTTATTTCCTGAACCAGCAGCTGTAATGCATGACAAATAACATGAAACTAAAGTCAATAAGAAATATACCAAAAAGTGCACATGTTTTGTAATTTCCAGAAAAAGAAAAGAACCGCTTCTGTGTTCGAGAGTTTTATACAAAGCAAACCTTTGCAATAAAGCCAATACCAAAAACTACAGGAGACTAGAGAGTAATAGAGTCACATCACAGGAGACTAGACAGTAATAGAGTCACATCGAATCCAGAAAGATTCACAATCTTTCTTTCACACAAACATCGTCAACTCTGGTCGGCTATACACATTGTTCTGCTCATCTTCAAGAACCGGGTAAGCAGCAACGAGCGTGTCCTGAGCACCAATGTATAGAGAATTGTATATCTTCCAGTACACTTCGCGGACCTTGCGTGCCGGATGAAACAAACCCTGCAAACAATAGTTCAGAATTACAGCTGCACCTAATGCGACTCGCATTCCTTCAATGGCTTCCATCACCGCGTTAATGACGTGAGGAGATGTCTCGAAAATGTTGGGCCAAATGAAGTTAAGCAAGTGAACCAAAGCGTCTTCGCATCCCAACCCAGCTACACCTAGAGCCATATGTTTCACGGCTGAAGCTGCGGTTTGTCTGTGAACCAAATCTCTGTCCATGAGCGCGTCTTCAAGCAACGGTGTGACTGCATATATGTAATCTTTGCCCATTTCTCCAATGTACTCAAAGAGGAAGGAAAGAGATTTCAAAACACCGTTTTGGACGTTTAGCTCTGGAACACGGTACTCATTCATCAAAGCAGGTAATACGGTGAAGGGAGAGCATGTTTCAGCGACAATAGCGATTGCGACTGTGGTGCAAACACGGTTCTGACGTTCTTGGACTTTGAGATTGTTCAGCAACGTGGCAAGAACATCTTGTGGTCCAATGGCTTTGGCGATGTACCCGAAAGTGTTGACCGTAGCACGACGAATACCTTTCTTATGAGCCTTAAGCATTTCAAGAAGCTCAAAACAGATTCTCATCCATTCTCTTGCTGGAACAAACTCGGCACCACGATCAGCAATCCTACCGACAAGATCAATACAATTCTCTTGCACTTTCTCGTGCCTGTTCTTCAAAATCGGGGTCAGCCTTGGAAGCAGATCCTTAATAGGAGGAGTCATCTTCGTCATACCAATCACATTGACTATAGCTTTCAAAGCTCCAAGAATTGATCCCAAGACTTCTGGGTACTCTTCTCCAAGATATTCATACAAAACAACACCGAGATGTCCCATCAACTGTTCCTCTCCGCATTGCTTCATAACAACCGCAATTCTAGAAATCAGATCAGCAGCTTGTTGCCTTACCTTTGCACTCTTGTTGTTCAGTCGCCATTTGATGGTACCACAGATCTGGGGAAGATAAGGCTTTACTCGCTGACCAAGAGCATTCACTACAGCACCGAATCCATTAAGCATCACATTCGCATCGTCACTAGTCTGTTCTTGAAAAGCATAAAGAATGCCATCTATGAGCAGTTCCTCCAATCTCGCATCAATATCAGATGCTCCCAAGTTTGTGACAACCTTATCAATGGTTTCCATAACCATACGTCGATACGGTTCACTCTCATCCTTGAGATCTTCAACAACTCTTCCCACAATATCTGCAACACCAACCTTGTTCGCAATCTCCACAGTAGTTTCAACAAGCTGCTTATAGTTTCTCCTCTCCAGAGCCATTTTCCTAACCCAGAAATGCTTGAAAAACTCAGGCAGAATATCACTGCGTATGTATTCCGGTTCAACACCCTCTGTACTTACACACTGTTTCACCACCTTGAGGACGATCTTCTTCATCTCTTCATCAGGCGACTGGAACTCACGAATCAAGATAACCATGACTTCTTTTGTATAGTAGCTCGCATATATAGCATCCATCAAGGGGATGATAAAACCGATCGCCTTCAAGAAAGCAGCTAAAACTTTACCACGGTGCGACCTAATACCTTTCCACAAAGGCTTCAGAACAGAATCAAAGCTCTCAATACCATATGGAGCAGCAGCTTCAGCAAGAGCAGCCAATGACAGAGCAGTAATAGTCCTAACCTTCTGGTTTTCATCACTGAGACCATGTTCGATAATCTCTACTAAAGACCTTAAGTGAGGCAGGACAGCACAACCAATTAGTATCGCAATCTGCTGAACAATCTTAATTCCAGTGTGCCGTGCCTGCCATGACTTTTTACTCTGGCACACAGCTTTTAGGAAAGGCAAGAGTGCAGGGATTCCAAGAGCTGAAGCCACCACACTGAAAGCTCTCGCTGTTGTGTTCCTCACATATTCATCAATGTTATCAATATCAGGACGCATAGCTGCAATCATAGTGGCCAAACCAGCTGCTTTGCTAAGGTTAGAAATAATCTCTCTCCCTTCTACACGAGCATAATAATCCTCATCAATCAACAAAGGCTCAATAACAACAAGGATTTTGTGAACGTAAGGCCTTACCAGCTCATCAAGTTTGTACAGAATCCTATCAATCACTTTGACCAAAAGATGCCTCTCTTGATCTTCCAAAGTGGGTTGCATGAGCAATGGCAAAATTTTATTGAACAAAGGACCAGCACCAAGCTCACGAGCCTTATCAGTAAGCTGCCTCAGGGCTGTTTTCCTCTGGGCAGGAGTTCCATTTTTAACCTTTAACAATAGTTTCATGATCTTGCGCTCTTTCTGCTCGTCAGGAGACAGCTCTTCTTCGTTCTCTTCATTCAACAGAGCTCCAAAATACTGATAATCCTCTGGTTTCATAAACGGCAAACCACCAGGAACTTCTGGGGGCACATCATACTGTTGCCCACGGTTTTCCTCGGGAATAACATAACCAGGAGTTGCCATGGGTGTCGGGGTTTGTTGAAGTTTCCTCGCAGGGGTTCTGATGGGAACATATGAAGCAGGCGGATCCAAAACCTTGTATCCATCTTTAGGAAACATGGCATCAAGCTCTTCATCACTCAATGGTCTGTTTCTCTCCTCGATATCCTTCTCCCACCTTTGCATATTGAGCTGCTCGGGGGTCATAGCACCACGGAAAATAAGCTGACCCGGAGTCGGAGTAGCCATATCAATCCCACCAATAGGGGTAACACCAGGAGTGTAAGCTGCACCAGGAGTGACTCCACCCATAGGTGTAGCACTCCCCATAGTGGCTGGTGTTTCGTCCCACCTTGAACGTTGACGCTTTGGGGTAGGTGTGGCAAGCCCTCTTGGAGTCCCGTCCCAAGTAACACCTGAAGGAGTTGCACCGGGAGTAACACCACCAGGTGTTGCATCAGAATCAGTCACACGACCAGGTGTAGGAGTTTCGTCCCATCTGTTCCTTCGTCCAGCAGATGGTGTGGCATCAGAAACTCTCCCTGGAGTTGGAGCATCCCATCGTCCAATCCCCGGAGCTGCATCAGGTAAATCCCAATCTGAACTTGCTGCTTTAGCTTTCTTTGCAGCACCACCGTCTTCTTCAGGGAGATCCCATCTGTGTCTCCTCTTGGAAGAAGAAGCAGGAACAGGAGGAGGAGGAGCAGAATCTTTCTGATGCTTTGCAGCTTCTTCTTCCTCTTTCTTCTTCTTAGCAATGAGCCTCATAGTTTCCTCTTTCTCCCTCTGCAAAGCCGTCTCCCTCATATGGTCCGTGTAAGTCCGAACACTCGCATCCGGCGTTTTGTCGCCCATAGCAAAGGCATCAACTCTATCCGGAGAAAGAACCCGATTGAGTCTCCTATTCCTATACTCACCCTCACGTTCCGCAATAGTCTGCCTAGGTTTAAATCCCACATCATCATCTTCGTTGTGAGGACGAGCCACGTCGTTAAGAAGCGACCTAGGAGCAGTGTAAGACGCGAGACGCTGAGCAACAAGAGAACCAGTGGTGTCCAGATTCGTATCCTCCTCATCGTTAGGAGCAATAGAAGTCACGTAGGAATCACGGTCGTTACCTCCATATAGATCGCGATCCATATTGATAGAAGTGAGAGAAGCAAGGTCTGCTTCCATCTTCCGTCTTTCCTCTTGAGTTTTAGCGATCTCTGGATCTAGATCCGCCATTATCGATACTCAACGAAGCTTTCTCCAACAACAAAGAAAGAACTGAGAAATTGAACAAAGCACTGAGTCAGAAGAAAACAAAACGAAATTGGAAACAATCGAATCAAACAAATACGAGAGTATAGAATCGTATATCAAAACGAAGATTGGAGATGAACTCACCGGTAATCGGAAATCGTCTGCGGGTGATCGTGGGAAAGTAGAGCGCGAGAGAAAGAAGAACTAGGGTTTATCCAGATTAAGCCAGAACAAAAAAAAGAATATAAGAGTTGGACATGATGTTAATGAAACCGACCAATTGAGGGAGTCGGTTCTTTAACTTCGGGTCAAGTTTTTATTTGGGCTAATAAACTTTTATAATTTGGGTTCAAGTTAACAAAGCCCATAGGCCCAATAAAAACCCCACTACTACGTCTGATAACTTGAACTTCGTCGCCAAATAATAAAATAAAAACTTGAGAACTTGATCAGATAATTAGAAGTTTAAAACTATAAGTTATAACTAATAAGTAGGTTTGAAAGCTGTATAACTTTATTGCTGCAAAACTCCTTATTTTTGCCCAAACTTGAAGTTAAATAGAAAGGCTTTCTTTCCCTCCCAAAGCAAACAAAATCCTTTGATAATTTTTATGTTGAATTCAATCATGTAGGTGAACAATTTTCGGTAATTAATTTTAAAAATATATGAATAAGTACTTTTTCCAAAATTTATAGAGACAACATGCACTATTTTAAGTATTTTCAAATACGTGATAAAAATAAGAAATTTGGAATTTCTAGTAATTCTATTTAGTTTTTTTTTTTTTTGGCGAATGAAAAATTATATTCCATTAGAATTTGGATTTTTCACATTTACACAAAACATCCTTGTAAAAAGTGTATGCTTTCATAAGTTTCCTAAATAACTAATACACAGCCACAAATTTTATTTAAAATCTTATAGTCGTAACCCTAAAAATATAACAAAGTGTCTTTTATTTAGCATTATCCTCAATTCCTCACTAGCTTATTTATTTTAACTTATAGCCGAAAGTCCGGATCCACTACAACTTAATCAGGTTTATTATACTTAATGTATGATAAATTATGTCATGATCAAAATCAGTATATATGAGCTACTGATAAATAAAATAAAAAGCATATAAATGATTGTTTGAATCTAGATGAGCCTTTTCGATACTTAAACATTTCAAAGTTTCCCTTGGCATAAAGAACGGAGGCAAGGGAGAAGAACTTCACCAACCCCACTGACCATTTTCAGAAATACTTAATACCTAAATTACTGAATTTGTAGGAGTTTCGATGATTAATTCACTAGATTACGCCCGTTTTGAGGTATTTTATGTGTTATAAAAAAATCGGTAGTAAGTATACAAATAAGCATAGATTTGTAGTTACAGATAACATATTAATATGCATAACAAATTTCGAAACTTACTAATATCATGAAACGAGTATTATTTACAAAGCAATCAATTTGGTCTCCTAGGCCCCAACACAACTTCCTTTGTTTAGTTATCCACATTATTACTGAATTAAATACAACAAATACTCACTCCGTTTCATAATATAAGTTGTTTTAGCTTTAAACACGCAGATTAAGAAGATCTACTTTTAAAAAGTTTAGTCAATCACAACAGAGACTGCATAATATAAATAATTATAACATATTAAAATAATATATATTTTGTATTGGAATTTGAAAACAACTTATATTGTAAAACAAAATTTTTACTCCAAAACGACTTATATTATGAAACGGAGGGAGTATAACATTGTTATCCTCTCTACCCACTAACATATAAAAAAAAGTCAGATACCTTTAAATAAAATAATTAGTAATACTAGCTTTGATCATTATACAAAACCGAGTGCATTGTTAAATTTGATAAAGTGGAAACAAAATTATTTTTATTTTATTTTATATGCATATATCTTCACATTTCCGAGCACATTTTTTACACGTCATAACAAAACGACAAAAGCAAAGAGAGAGCCCTATCCACAATCCAAACCCGAGATCCAAACCCGAAAGATTTTTTTATACACACGCTCGCGTGCAACTTGATTTTGACTACAGATGCCATCTAGATCTCGCCATCGCTCTCACTACTAAGCCACGTGTCTTACTCACATCCCTTAGATCAAACAAGAGTCTTACACGTCAAACTCTGCGGATCCCACATCGCCGGCAATAGATATTTCCTACCGGCGAGTCCACGAGCGTTGTAACTAGACCCGGTTGTTTTGTCAACAAGTACCCGACCCGCGTAACCCGGGTACGAACCCGAACCGAATATGCCAGGACAAGCGGAGACAGCTTCAAGCGGTGCAGTTGGTGGGCCTTGGTAATACCCGTTATTAAACGGATTCGTGACGGTGTTGGCGAGAAGTGTGGCGAGGTTTATAATCATTCCGTCAACTCCAACGTCACCGTTAGGCGCGACTAATGGCGGCGTTTGTGGTCCGTAAATCGGTTGGTGAAACGGCCAGGCGCAATATCCAGGGCACAGCGTCTCGGAGTTCCCGACCCAGACGTAAGCCGCGCCGTTAGCTGCGCGACGCGGTTTCGAGCTGGAGGATCCGTGAGTCCCGCACCGGCTCATACAGAATTTTTCGACGGTAACATCTTTCGCCGTTAGAACGACAGTTATGGAACGGAGACCGCCGTTAAGTTTTGTGGATAAAACACGGAGGTGAGGATTTTTTAGAGATTTTCCGAGAGGATAGTTCTCGAGGAGAAGTTGTTTCCCGACGACGAGGGTTGAGGATCCGCCTTTGTATTTCTCCGTCGTCTTCCACCACGACGCGACGGAAGGAACTGCGGCGGAGGATGCAACGTCTTTGGAGTTGAGCGAGCGGATGAAGTCGACGATTACGGACCGTTGGATCGGTGTGAATTTCCCGTACCAGACGAGATTAACGGTGATGTTACCTTTCAAGAGAACTCCGTTGTGGTATTTGAGAACAAGCGGCTGCTCCTCGACCAACGCGGCGGCGGAAAAGCCGGCAGTGGCGAAAAAGAGAGTGAGGAAGATGGCAAAGCGGTAATTAAAAGCCATTGAGAAGGGCAGATATATCAGATTGAAGAGATATAGCAGAGGTTTTGATTTGGGGTTTATAAGATGTTAGTGGTATATATACAGAGGTTTTATACGAGAGATGTTGTTTTGAAACCGAGAGAGGAGTGTGACAGCTGTAGTGGCTAAGGTGTCAATATCAAAGATTGCCACGTGGAGAGATGTGAGTGGGTAGAGAAGGGTGTTTGACAGCCTGTAAGGTTCTTATAGTGTGACGTGGTTTAAGTCTCCATAACGTGTATTAAATTTAAGTGATGCTTAGCCGATAAATTTGTTATCAAACAAAAAAAATGTCTTTAGTGGTATAAGATCTTATGCCATGCAGAGATAGAGTTATCTTTCCGTTTCCATTCGCATTTGTATTAGAAGATTGTAATGGATTTAGAGAAGATTAATAAGTGAAAAGAAAAACTTAAAAATTAGCTTTTTTGTGTGAATGCAGTGGGTTTTTTAATCTTTTAAAGTCTATTAATACAAACCGAGTAAGTTTAAATGCGAAAACCCACTTTAAATTTTAATGCAAGAAATTTATTATAAAATACAGCTAATAGCTACTACTAGTATTAAAATGTAGTTATTAGATCAACTGGTTTTTCTTAAAGAAATTGGTTGTAGTTTGTTTTGATTTTGAATACCAAGATACATTTAACACATATATGGTCAGAAACCAGTTTGATTTGACGAGTTTTAGATGGATAGAAAACCAAAATCTTTGGTATATATAATATACTTTTCATAAATATTCTCAAGTTCATTTTGGTTTACCAAATAGTAATTGTATATAAACATAAATCTCTTCTACTCTTATATTTTGCCATTCATTCTAGACTTATAGTTGAGTAATTAGTTTTTCCTCTAGTATAAAACATACATTTTTATTTTATTTTTATTTTCCGTCACCTACCTGCCAATGAAATTTAAATATAACTTTCACTATGCCCAAAAGAAAAATAACGTCACTTAAACTCGTTGTCTGACTCCTCCTCGCAATCTCGCATCATGAGGCATGGTATTGGACATGCTCTATACGCAAATACATACGCAAAAACCTCGCAATTGTTTTCTACCGTGTATTTATGAGAGGAAATTTTCAATTGTTTTCACTAAAAAGTAGAGGAATTGAGAAGAAAAAGTTTAATTTTGATGGAGAATGAATTATTCTTGACTGGAGAAATGATAGAGGAATTGAGAATATTTAGTTTTCTTCCCAATTATTTTCTTCTATTTACATCAACCAGTCAGACCCATAGTAGAAGCAGAAAAGTCCATTACTCGATCTAATAACACGTACGGTTCTATATTTTAAGATGGAATTAAAGAACTTTGGGATTATTTAGGGAAGGTTCCTTCCTTCTTTAGGGGCGCCACTGATTTTAAGAAAGGTACACAGAGAGGGAGGAGGACCTGATGATACCGTGTGTGTGATAATCAACTTTACTTGGGGGAGGTCCCTTTAGGTCTCTGTAGGGACCACAAATTCATACGTATTTTACTTACGCACAGTGTATGTATGTACAATTATATACATATATTTAAAGGTCTATGTATTCAAATATACGGATGTGCACTCGAGTAGTTAGTTCAGTCGTGTTGTGTAGAGCTAAGCAAGATACGCCTCTACGTAGCGTACGAACCACGCTCTTACAGTCCATTATTGCCTTTTACATCTTCAGGGTCCACTCTTACTTTTTCTTGAAAAACTCCCTTTATTTTGATTTAACAAAAAAGTTATTCTAAGAGTATATATTCCACACTCAGAAAAAAAAAAACACGTTTTATTTTGTATTACAATCTTTTTGACATATAGGAGGTTTTATATTTTCTGTAGTGGAGCTCAAACTAATATAATATGTGCATCCAAGAAAAAGAAGGAAAAAAATGAAAAAACTAGATTCAAAACGAGGGTATGTGATGAGAGGCCCATGTTCAAGTACTGTTTATTAAAATATAAAAAGAAGGTTACGTCACGTGTCAGAAGTACTCCATAGTAGTAGTAGTAGCATAATAGGATTCGTAGTAATCCACTTAGCTAGAGCCTAGAGGCCTCTACAAGGAGTATATATTTTCACACGTTGAAAATTTTCTACTCTAGTTATGTGATAAATGAATAACAAAAGTAACAAATTAAATTTCTAGAGTGACACATGAGTTTACTTTGTCGTGTATATATTTGGCTGGATGCAGCGGTCACTTTTGGTAGGATAATAGAACCACACTTTGATCATCGTTTGGATATTTTTTTAATTCTGAGGTCACAATTTTGTTTTGGTTTTAGCATGGCTCTTGTTTCTTAACATTTTTTTTTCTTTTAAAATATAATTGCGCTCTGAACATAAAAAACAAATCCGTATTATTAGGTCGAGTCAAAACCTTATGTTTTAATTGACTTTTTAACATTCGAAACACATAATATGGAGTTCGAGCGTCGTGGCTAACTATGTGTATGTCGAATGAAAAAAGTAACGTTTGATTTTAGCAACATCGCCGATGGTGGACACTGGACACTTACGGCTTACGATAAACTTATTATATAAAAGAAAATGTTCACTTTATAATGATTAGGTTAGTCGAATGGTTTAGTGAATATCATTTCATATTAAAGGAGAATTGTAAAATTGCGAGAGGTTATGTTTCGTATCACCATTAATTTAAAAAAGTTGAGCTGAAAACAACATCTCTAAAAGATTTGTTTTGGCCGACGTTCCAAATTCACAAGGACCAGTACATTTCTTGTACCTATCATCTCAACCTTTTCGGTTTATGTCACTGGATAAGATAAATGTATGTAACCAACTGATATAAGTGTCACGAGTATTAGACATAGTTTTCAGTCACAAGATTACTATACTACTAAAAAAATTGTTTAAAGTGGAATTAATGAGTTCATACTTACGACAAAACAATAAATAGATATGAAACACATTAAGAAATATCAAATCAAATCAAATCAAATCAAATAAGAGGGAAAAAAAATTAATACTCCAAAAAGGAGTAAAAGAGAAGGCAAAGGGAGTCTCACGTGCGGATGTGAAATTGCGTAGTCGGCACGGAAAGCGACAAAACATCGGTGAAAGCCACGCGCTTCTCGTACCAGTTCTCTATATCATCCACGATTATCCTTTAGCATCGTGACACGTCATGTCTTCTTAACACAAACGTGTACTACTATTTTCCGATATAGTGGTATCGATGTTTCTCCCAATTATTTGTAGTGACATTTTATGAGACATCTCTCGCTAGGCCGTCTCAATTATATATATACGCGACCTATATTAATCTCACACTCATTTATTGCAATTGCTATACATTGTCAAAAAAAAAAAAAGATATTTAGTTAACAAAGAAAGAGTTAGAAGATCTCATGAAATTGGGAAATAATTAGAGCCCATTGCATGGTTGGCTTAGTACTTTGATTTTGACCCGGAACTTAGCCTACTTGCTATAAATCATAAAAAAACACAAGATGTGTGTTAATCGATGATTACTAATTACATCTACATCAATAATGTGTTACACATAAGCAAGAGAATTTGAATATTTTCGAAGGGACCATGAGCATGCACATATAACGATTATAGTAGTTTTGCCCTATATATGGGGGAATAGAATAAGTCAACAAAGTTCACCGACTAAAATATTTAGAATGTTAAAATGCTAATTCCCCTCCAACTCCTAACTTTTTTGACTTTGGGGGAGGGATTTTGTGTGCCGACCCACTTTGGCTCGTCTTGTTTATCGTAGTTTTCAATGTTATCTTTTAGGTAATATGGAAAATAAAGTTTGGATCCATTGGAAAACAAGATTAGTAAGAAATAAAGTCGAACATATCAATCCATGTTTCTGAATTATTATTATTAATTTTTTTTTTCCAATTTTATGAATTAGTTTATAAAAGTGAATGTTTAATTTATAGAGTGGGCTAGATCAAAATACTTTAGAAAGGAGCGACCTGACCACGGATCAAGTTAGTTTAAAATAAAGGAGGGTGGCCATGTTTAAAATCAACGTAGAAAGGTTATATTGTTTCTACATTCGAGTGTCTGACTATGGATCTTTTAAAATAAGAAAACTTTTACTTGCTGACAAGAAAAACAAGTTTTTAATTATATATGTCTTGCACCAGTTTTTGTGAAGGCAATGGTTTACTTGTTCGTACGGAAATAGCATGCTCAATAGTGAAAATGACAATTAAGCATAATAATATCAACCCCGAAATTGGGTTTTCAAACGAAAAAAGGTCAATTTTTTTTTTTTTTTTGTCTTTTATATTACTCGACGTAGAGGAAAGATGATAATGATAGTCCTAGACTCCTAGCTCGTAAATAATTACTATTATCTGTACATATTGAAGCGGACGTATGCCAGACTTACGAACTGTGTAATATTTTGTTTCCTAGACTTAGAAAGTGAGATATGTATAACCAATGTTCCACGCTACACATATAACCAATTAATTTTCGAAATAATACTCCATATATACAATTTGTTTGTTTTTGAGCATAAACTCCATATATACAATCTTAAGTCCTAAATTAAACCAAACAATCTTATTTCGCGTAATAATAACTTAGCTAATTGTTTTTTTTGCTTAACATAGCTAAATCTAAGTAATATAAGCTTAGCTAAATCTACATAACCAAATGATGAAGATACTACTTTCATATGTAATCTTTGCAAACGATCTACAAGTGAATATTTTAATTGGGATTATGATTAGCTTTTATTAATTAATCCAATCTTGTGACGAATTTAGAGCATATATTGCCGTGGACCGACCGACCAGTTTTTCAAGTTGATTTGGTCACAAGACCAACCCCTACGTACATGTATGTATTGGCCCCATTATACGACCATACTTGTCATATATCACACTTAACACCTAAGACTAAAAAGTCCACTTTCTCGGAATCTTCCCGATATATATGTTTAGTTTGGGAATTTCATAAGAAGTTTTTAATAAAATTAAAACAAAGTGTTGTTGTATATCAGACTAATTGATATACCAATTTTCAGTTTGGCTAGAGTTTGTTCAAATTTATTATAAACTTAGTAACCGGATGCAAATGATCTCCTCCGATTTCCGGTTAGTTTGGTTTTCGTAACAATTTTTCTGGTACAATTCGGTTCTAATGCGTTGCATATATAAAACCCCAGTATGACGTCAGCTATCCGAGCAACATAACGGGCTTTTATTATCTCAGCCCATTAGTTTCAATCACAAGCCCAATAAAAGTAGTTTCTTGACGGTTGGGTCTGACAAAACCAGAAGATGATCAATCGAATTTTCGTGGGAAAAGTTATTCGAACATCCTTTCTGAACTGATCGAAGAGTTTAGAGGATCAATGAAGTCTCCAGAAACCATTTTTATATAGAGTGGAGTGATGTATTATGTGACGAAAAGCTTCGCAATGTGTTCGTCATCGCTTAGAAGATCGAAACAAAATTATAATTTTCATATAGAAAAAAAAAGGAAAGCCAAGTAAAAATTCGATTACGACTCTGTTTTTTTTTTTTTTTTTTGGGGTATAAAACGAAGATGAGAACACTGAGAGAGATTTATAGCAGAGGAAAGTGAATTCATGAAAGGGATTCTAGGGTTTGAATACGGGATAGTTCAGGCGCCATTAGGACCAGATATCTCCGGACCAGAGCTTGTAGCCGCCGTCGCTAATGCCGGAGGGATTGGTCTTCTCAGATGTCCTGATTGGGTAATTTGCAAGTTTATAAAAAAATTGACATCATTCTCTTTGATTTTTTCTTTTTTATAGAATGTTTGTTTTGATGAATCAGGAGTGTCCTGATTACTTGAGAGAGCTTATAAGGAAGACAAAGACATTGACAGACAAACCATTTGGGATCGGTGTTGTTCTTGCGTTTCCTCATGATTTGAACATTAAGGCAATCTTAGAAGAGAAAGTTGCTGTGTTGCAGCTTTATTGGGGTGATTGTTCACAGGAGCTTGTGGATGATGCTCACCGTGCCGGTCTCAAAGTTGTTCCTCAGGTAACTAATTTTGTATGTTTTACAACAAGGAAGGAACTTGTCTTATATTTATTCCTTAGTTGATTTTTGAAAGGTGGGGAATGTCGAAGAAGCTAGAAAGGCTGTTGCTGTAGGAGTAGACGCCATTATTGTCCAAGGGCATGAAGCAGGTGGGCATGTTATTGGCAAGGATGGTCTCTTTTCATTGTTGCCAAGAGTGGTGGATTTAGTTGGGGAACGCGATATTCCCGTTATCGCTGCCGGAGGAATTGTGGATGCACGCGGTTATGTCGCAGCCTTGTCACTTGGTGCTCAAGGGGTCTGTCTAGGCACAAGGTGTGCTCTTCTTTCTTTCTTTCCACATGTTCTCAAGTTTGATGTTAGCCTTTTTGTTGGGCTGAGTTTAGAATCTTCGTTTTCTTAGATTTGTGGCGACTCATGAAAGCTATGCACACCCAATATACAAAAGGAAGTTGATTGAATATGAAAAAACAGAATACACAGATGTGTTTGGAAGAGCAAGGTGGCCTGGTGCGCCTCATCGTGTTCTGGAGACACCTTTCTTTGATGACTGGAGGTCTCTTCCGGCTGGTGAGAATGAAGTTAACCAACCTATTATTGGACGTTCCACCATACATGGCGTTGTAAGTTGTCATTTGCATATTTCTTTTTAATGAGATTTCTTTATCCTCCAAAAAATATGGTCTTGCACTGATGAATAAGGGAGTTTCACATTCACAGGAAAAGGAGATAAGAAGATTTTCAGGAACAGTACCAAACATGACGACAACGGGCGACTTAGAGAGTATGGCTATGTATGCAGGCCAAAGCGTAGGCCTTATCAAGGAGATTTTACCGGCTGGAGAGGTAGTGAAAAGTCTTGTGGAAGAAGCTCAGGCTCTGATTCTCCAAAAGTTCAACAATGCTACTACATGATGCAGTGCAGCCTCAAATCATGAGCAACCATAAACTTTACTGCTTTTGGAATCGGATTAGAATAGTCTCATCTAATGTAATAAGGTACCCCTTGTGTATATCTTGTGTTGTTTTCAACTAGAAAAATTGTGTCCATCATGTGTAATCCATTCCTCTTTTTACCAACAGACCTTGGTATTGAATTAAGTATACTTCTTATGGTTGTTTGTTTCCAGTGAAACTTCCCACACATCTTAATTTCATATTAAATTTCTTAGCGAATCAATCATTTCATAGCTTTATTGCTCGTAAGAAGAGAGAGGCTATGTAGCTTTTACAAGTTTTGCTGCAGACATCATCATTACATGATACATACAGGTAGAAAAAGTAGGTGTATATGTGGAAAACGTTTCCGAGCAATTTGCAGAATAAGCGATATACATATGTACAGCATTTCAGAGTACAAACTTTGTCGCGTACAAGTCGAATTCATCAGATGATGTTAGCAGTGGCTCCTGCAAGCAACTCGGAGATACAATATTCAATCATTCAGAATACAAAGTTTCAGACAATACAAGTTTTGATATAACTTACCGCGGATGCATCAGAGCTTGTGTAGTCCCCGTTAAAAGCGAGACGAGACTGGGCCTCTCGTATTGCAGAACACATAAGGTTAAGCAGGTGGCCATACGTGGGGGCCGGTCCAGCGGTCTTCACCGCCTTTATAAAGCTATAAGTCATGGCTCCTGTGTTCTTCCCCGTGAACACCTGAAACAGCGCGAAATGATCCAGTTAACATACAGAGAGGTATGTGTGCTTAGTTGCATGATGATGAATGAATGATATAATAGAAGCTTTTTAAACATACAGGAGTGTAACCACTGGTTTCATCATCGTCACAAGCACTGAAACAGAAAGCTGCTCCACCATCTGTTCCTTTGTAAGCTCTGACTGATCTATGATCTTCCCATTCATAAGAACCATTCCTGATTTGTCATAAACACACCACAAGTTTCTTTTTCAGATTCAGTCTTAAGTATAACTGAGCAGAATGATTTATAAGTTTACCTCTCCATCCTGCAAACGAAGGGTAAATCAAGGACAGTCCCGCTGTTACAGGCGTCGATGACAGCGTGAAGCTTAGCTCCATGGACGAGAGGCCTCACGAGTATCCGGTTAATCTCGTCATCAATGATTTTTCCTTCTGTTTCATGGTCTAAAGGGCACAAGGCTTCATCTTGACCATCGATCTCGTCTCCGTTGTAGTCTTTCTGCTGAGATCCATGACCAGAGAAATGGAACACTAGTGAGTCCATTGCTCTGTTCCCTTCAACTAACCATCTCATCGCTTTCCTAATGTTTCTCTTCGTCGGTATTCTCTGCGGGCTTGCTTCATCTTCTGCAACAGTAACACAACACTCATCATCAGGAAGAAATAAACAAAGAGTTTAGAGAAATGGGGAAAAAAAAAAAAAAAACCTGTGAGCATGAGAATAGAGTCAATAGGGAAACCCATTTGTTGAACCAAGAAAGATCTCATGGATTTAGCATCACTGATGCAACCTTTCAAGCTATAACTTTTTCCCTTATAGTTTACGCCGCATAAAACTGCTCTCTTCTTCCCAAACGGCGAGGGAAGGGGCTCAAGCAGCCGCGGTGGCGGTTGAGCCATCATTTGTTGTTGTTGTTGTTGTTGTTCATGAATTATGCGGTTTGCACCGCGCGCTATGTCCACGAGCGAGTAGAGCTGCGTGACGGTGTGGCAGGTTGAGCATTGGACAGTACGGACGTCTGGTTGAACCCACATCCGTCTGCCGCACCGGCACCGTACTTCTCTCCGAGTAGCCATGATTGAGCTTTGTTTTGGTTTTTCTTTTTACAAGTGCAACAAATGCATTTGAGTAATGAGTTTATAAAGAGAATGATATTATTATTCGTTGTTATCTATGAAAAGAATAAAATGTACATTTTATTATGTGAGGATTTGTCCACGTAATTAAGCTTCCATGTTGTTATGTGAATCAATTCGGAAACAAGTTTTCAAAAATTCTATTGGAATTTGATTCTGCGAAAAGATATATATATATATATATATATATATATATTTCTTTTTTCAACACAAACGTGAAAATTTCTTTTTTTTTTTGTGATTGAACTATTCCACTAACGTCACTTCATTACAATTTTGCAATTTGTTTTTTTTTTTTTTCCTTTTCAATTCAACACAATGATTTCTGCCGTTTCATGCATGCACTTACTAAAAGAGCTAGTAAGGCCATCTCCAATGGGAGGTTTTAGTTGGTTTGGGAAGGGGTTCTCTGGTTAAATGTTAATAAAAATATATCAAAACCCAAAATTATAAGGAGAACCGGCTCTCTGGAGAGAGTTTTGGGAACCGGCTCTCTGTCGTCTCTCTCGACGTTTTACCAGATCGAAGACCCAATTCTATCTGTTTTGTCCCCAATCCAATCTCCCACCAAACCATCGCTTCGTTCTCTCGAATTTCAATTGGGTTCTTCTTCCACCGCCGATCCAATTATCCCACCGCCGAATGAGATCGTCATCGTTATCACTGGTCCGAGCGGAGTTTGCATAGACGCAGTGATCAACAAGCTTCGTCAAGTTCGTGAAGAGGTTAGACATCTAAAGAACTTTGATTACGTTGTGGTGAATTGTCTGTTCCTTGTGGTAGATACTCCTAGAATGCGATGGGGATTGTGAATTTTTATGTTTGGTCCTCATGTATGATTATGCTTTTCTTTCATGTATGAATGATGAGGTTCGATTCTTGCTTCTCCCCTATTTGGCCCCCTTCTTCTCGATCCTGTTCTAGTTTCAGCTATCGAGTCGATCCAATTCGTTTTTGATTTCATTTTGTTCCTGTTGAAATTTTTGTTTCATTCGTCTAGATTTGTCGCCAATTAGACGTTCAATTTCGTGTATAATTGGAAGTTGGGTATCGAATCAGTTCTTAGAAATGTCTAATTTTATGGAGAGTATTCATATCAATTTGATTGTTTATAAAAAGAGTGTAGCTTTTCATGTATGAATGATGTGGGATTGTTTGGTTTCATATTGTGGGAGGCCCTTTGTGGGCTGTTACTTAAGCTTTGTGGGGGCATTGTCATGCTTACAACGATTGGCGTCTCTAATCATGACTGGTTCCAAAAAAATGATGCTTTGGATTGGTTAATGTCCTTACTTCGTAGTTGGTATCAGAGATTGTGTAAGTGTGTTCATCATATTTTTTTTGGGTGATTCTAGCTAAAGACGAGCGTTGTTGATGTTGAGTTGATTCTGGAATGCAATTACAACGTTTGAGTGGCTCACAATGCTTGACATTGCAAAGGCTTATCTAAGAGATGGTTCTAAGGGAAAGGCGAGAGAGATGCTTCGTAAAACAGATGAATTGAATGATCCAAAGTCCTACGAGAGACTCATAAAGCTATATGGTGAAGCAGGGAGAGAGATGATGTTTACCATATATGGGACTTGTACAAGAACACAAAAGAGAAGAACCATGTATTGTTTTGCAAAATTTGAATTTTTTTCTAAAGAACCCCATGGGTGGTTCTAACCATTGGAGGACACAAAACTTAAAAGCTCCTACGCTAGTACTTAAATTTGAGAAAGGCTAAATTTATTCTTAAAAAATTCTGAGAACCCTTCATGGGGTTAAAACCATTGGAGATGCTCTAAGGAACCATTTCACGTTAATTTGGGGAAAAGAACATCATTTACTTGTATGTATTTTGTTGATAAATCGTAAGAGTTACAGATTTTTGGTCCATAATCTCTTGGTGCTTAAAACCAGCCGTTGATAATATTGTGTTTAAGACGTAAATCACTCCTCCTATTTCGTAACCTTAAGAATAGCACAAACATATAATAACATAAAAAAAACTCCGATCCACACTATTAATAGTAAATCTCATTTTTCCGCAGCTAAAAAAAAAATTCTTATTTCTTATATAACACACAGAAACTGTGTTTTAGGAAAATGAAATAACAAAAAAAAAAAAAAAAAACAAGAAACAAAATTTATAAAAAGTTGTTGTGATTAATCTTCTCTTGTGTTGTTTAAGACAAGATGAATAATAATACATGGAGAGGAATTGTAGTATGTTGTCTCTTAATACTCTTCGTCTTATCAACTTTCTTCATCAGAATAGAGTCCTCCAGACTACCTCCCAGGGCACCTCCCAGGGGCTTAGAACTTGGTTGTCTGAAAGATGACCCCAATCGTAGTTATCCCAATGGTACTAGACCGTGCAATCCGAGCTTGCCACCCGGTACCCCAGTTGTTTTTTGTAGGCCCATGAGTGCAAGAAAAACTGCAATATGGTGGTGCAATACTCCTGATCCTGCGGGTCCATGATGAGGCAGTATTGTATGGTGTGCTAATATCACATGAAATATTATTATACTTGAATTAAATAAATATGCCACGAGGAAACTAACTGTACTACTAGTAGTAGTACGTCTAATATATTTGTTTCGCTAAGACGAATGTTTTTTTCTTTTTCTTTTTCCTTTTATAAAGTAATATACTGTATGTTTCCTAATATATTCTAGCACCTTGTACGATTACTTGTGTATCAAGGAGATAAGAAATCATTATTCTGTAGAAATATATAATTACGTAATTCTTTACCTTCAATGCAAAATAATCATGATGAAAGATATACCAAGTTGGATACTGTATATATATAAACAGTTACAAGTGGATACCAAAAAAATATTCTAACAGCAGAAGATTCTATTCAAAATCAACAGTCCCCATGATCCTTCCTCTGCCGCCTTATTAATTATTATCATTTCTCTCTTATAGTACGGGCATTAATGCTAGATGAGCCAGCCGTCCAGGGTCCAGAGCACACCTCTCGATTCTGAACTAGAATTTAATATCATGCATGTGCGTATATATATATATGGACTGTAATTAAGCAAACTAATGAGAACAAAGTTGGCTGTAAACAACGCAACGGCCACGTGAAATTATCTCAGAAAAGAGGATTTTTCTTTAGTTTCAAGTAACTAGGTAGGAGTGTATTTTAGCAATAACAACTCATATACTCTTGTCTGTGTTAAAATTCAAAAGTCAATATATGTACATGCATGATGTTCAAAACTAGAGTCTACGGATTGATAATTAATATATTAAAAGCGTTTGTTTGTTGTTTGTTGTTTGTAAAAGAGGGTTGGTTCATTAATTCTATATGGACTCAATTGCTTATTATTATATGTTTGGCTCAATTCACATGCTGATGACGCCGGGTCTTAAGGTCTCTTCTTGCTCTGAGAATTAACTGGTTTATTTTACACTTTGTTTTCTTCTCTGATCGTTAGATTTTTTTTGGGTAAACTGTGACTATTTTGTTTTTTCCGTAATATAACTCCTACGTATTCGTGCAGGTTTGAAATGATGAGAGGTTATTTGGTGTTTGTCATGTGGATGATCATGATGATATGTGTTCTAGTCAAACCCCAAAATCACACCGCTCGTACGTACCTATTTTTTTTTTTTTTTTTTTAATTTTGTATATATGTATTATAGAACGTTTTCTAAGATTCTAAAAATATCAGAGAATGAAATCATCACCTCATTATGGTTTTTTTTTTTTTTGTATATGGCAAGGTTTCATAAATCTGGATTGCGGTTTGCCTCCCAATGATTCTCCTTACGAAGATCCCCTGACTAATCTGATATATACAACGGACACAGATTTCACACAAAGTATGCAAATGGGCAGGGTCGATAAGGAATTTGAATCGGACTACCCTAGGCCGTGTTGGAACCTAAGATTCTTTCCCGAGGGAGAACGAAATTGCTACAACATCAATGTCACGAAAGGCACAAAGTATCTGATAAGAGCCACGTTTGTATACGGAAACTACGACCGGAGTAATATCATCCCAACCTTCGACCTTTACCTAGGTCCCAATATTTGGACAAAGGTTGAAGCTAACGATACAATTAAGGAGGTGATCCACTTGATGAGATCCAAATCTGTACAAATATGTCTAGTTAATATATAGGTTTAGGCACGCCTTTCTTAAATGTCTTGGAACAAGTCAAAACATTCAATTAGGTAATTAAAAACCATTTTGATATGTAACTAAGCGTACTTGATGTCCTATGTTGGTCTAATGCTAGATTCGTGGCAGGTACCCGTATGATCTCTATGATCGTTTTTGGTTCCCAGTTTTCAATGAATCGCTCTGGATACCAATAACTACAAATCTCAGCGAAAATACTGGTATCGCATATAATCCGCCAGAAAGGGTAATGAAAACGGCAGCAACACCTCTAGATGCTAACGCGACGTTGGATATTGAATGGACTGTAGAGTCTCCTACGACACAGTGTTATCCCTACTTATACTTTCCAGAGCTTCAGACTCTACAAGCAAACGATACACGGGAATTCAATCTGATGCTGAATGGAGCATTTTTATATGGACCTATTCTTCCTACATTAGACATGGAAATCGTGTATGACAAGTTGCCAAATCAATGCACGGATGGGAAATGTGTATTGCAGCTTACGAAAACACCAAGGTCAACTCTTCCTCCTATTCTTAGCGCCTATGAGGTATACACCGTCATGGATTTCCCGCAATTGGAGACGAATGATGATGACGGTACATACTACATAAATATATATATATACAAGCCCTAATTAGTCTATATAGATGTTATATGTGTGTGCTGATTTATTTTTTGACAATGACAGTTAATGGTATCAGGGAAGTTCAGGATACCTATGATTTGAGAAGAATCACTTGGCAAGGAGATCCTTGTGTCCCCAACCAGTTTTCGTGGGAAGGTCTAAAGTGCAACCAGTCGGATAATTCAACACCACCCACGATTATTTCTTTGTAATATATCATTCAATAATTTATCTTATAGTTTTTTTTTTTCTTTTTTAATCATGTGTCAAACTACTTATTTTACCATCTTCATGTCTATAGAGACTTGTCTTCAAGTGGTTTAACGGGGGTGATCGCGGAAGCAATTCAAAATCTAGCTCACCTTCAACAATTGTAAGTCTTTAGCTCCACTAATTCTGATCAAAACCTATATACATATATATATTAATTTGTCATGAATCTGATCTGGTGTGTAACTTTTCTTACGTTAATTATATATTTATTTATCGTAGAGACTTGTCAAACAACAGTTTGAGCGGAGGAGTACCTGACTTTCTGGCCGACATGAAATCTCTATTTCTCATGTAACATTTCTCCACCTTCCTTTTGGTTATATATAATTGCCATGTGTTTCTGTTTTGACTCTCTTAATTACTCTGACAGAAATTTAAGCGACAACAATCTTAGCGGCTGGGTTCCGAAAACAATTGTCGAGAAGAAAGGATTGAAATTTAAGTGAGACATACTTTTAATTTCTAGCTATTTGACATTATTTTCCGGTTGATATATATATAGCTAGAATTAACATTCTTCTTCTTATTATCCAGTGTTGAAGGCAACCCACATATCATTAGCAAATCCGGACCATGTGTGAGTAAAGAAGATATCGTAGTACCAGTCTCTATAGCAGTGGTTGTTACTTCCCTTGCTCTTCTTGTAACTGCACTAGTTATCTTTTTCCTTTGCCGACAGAAAAGGTCACTAAAAGGTATTCTTAAATTAATTAAGAGATGCAATCCTATATATATATATCCATCAAACAATATATATTTTGAGTCTCAGGGCCACCATCGTCCAATGGTCCATCCCCTGCATCATCCAATGGTCCATCCCCTGCATTATCTGAACTGACTGTAACGACGAGAATCACAAGGTTTACTTACTCACAAGTCACAACCATGACTAAAAAAACTTCCAAAGAGTCATCGGGGAAGGAGGGTTTGGAAGCGTTTATCTTGGTTCTGTCAATGGTGCCGAACAAGTAGCTGTTAAGGTCCTCTCTCATTCATCTTCACAAGGAGATAGAGAGTTCAGAGCCGAGGTTTTATTTTACTCTTATATACGTACTTACCCTCGCAAACTTAGTCTCTTTCATGAAAACGTCCATGGTTTTAACTACACATAAACTCTGGTTTGGTGTTTAGGTACAGCTACTTCTCAGGGTTCATCACAAGAACTTGGTTGGCCTTGTTGGGTACTGTGACGAGGGAGAGAATCTGGCACTCATATATGAGTATATGGCCAATGGAGATCTAAAAGAACATATGTCAGGTACGTAATTAGACAAAACACGACTCAACTTTTTAATGGTTATATATGTTATCTCGTGTGGTTTGACATTCACCCATCTCTTCATTTACCCAGGAAGAACACGTAATAACTTTATCATGAGCTGGGAAAATAGACTTAAGATAGCCACCGAGACTGCACAAGGTAAATTTTTTATTTATTTGCTTATACATTTGAGAAAGCTAATATATATTGTTGTGGCACAGGATTAGACTATTTACATAGCGGATGCGCTCAGGCAATAGTACATAGAGACGTCAAGACAACAAACATTTTGTTGAATGACCATTTTGAAGCCAAGCTGGCTGATTTTGGACTTTCAAAGTCATTCCCAGACAGAGGTGAAAGCCATGTGTCAACGGTTGTTGCTGGAACTCCGGGGTATCTAGATCCAGAGTTAGTGTAACCTCTCACAAAGTTTTTTTTTTTTCTTGAATTATCACAAAATATATATTTTTGTTTTTGGTTTTACAGGTATTACAAAACAGGATGGTTGACGACTAAAAGCGACGTATACAGTTTTGGAGTCGTACTGTTGGAGCTGCTCACAAACCAAGCTGCAGTTGACCAAAGCCGTGAAAAACATCATATTGGAGGATGGGTAGGAGCAAAGCTTACCAATGGAGACATGAGCAGCATCGTGGATCCAAGGCTCAATGGAAATTATCATTCTGGCTCTGCATGGCAATCTATTGAGTTAGCCATGGCTTGCCTAAACCCATCTTCCTCGGAAAGATCGACCATGTCCCACGTTGTTAATGAATTAAAGCAGTCTTTGCTGGCGTCTCAACTCTCAACAAGGACAGTTCCATACATACTGAAATTGAAATTACATGATGTTCTTGTAACTACAAACTATATATATATATATCTATCTTTAAATTATGTTCAAACCCTACCAACTTTGTCTTAAATGCTTATGTGAAATAAATAAATGTTCAATTTCTCTTATTTTTATTTTTTTCTTATTATTCACTAGTGCGATATTTCCAAATCCCAATATCATGGGTGTACTTTAATTTTGAATGGAGAAACAATCAATTGTTGAAGAAAATTACACATGTTGTTGTGACCTTTCAACTTTGACTTTCTTGATTTTGGGTCCTTAGAAATTTTGTCACCATGTGTGGATTGAACAATCAACGACAATTTTGTATTTACTTGATTTCATCAAATCTTTTAGATATTTTTTAGAAAACGGACTCTGTTTCAAAACAGAGTGACTAAATAAAACAGAGAAACAGATCGTCTATTTCTCTATAGCTGTTTTCAATATTTCTTTCCCTTTAAATGCTTTATCAACTTCATATACACAAATTTTTAATACAAAAGTTTTCCTACGTTATTAAGCTTAGACGAGTTTAGATTATTGTAATATATAATATTTTCTGAATTTTAATGGTAACGGCTGAATCAAGTTAAGTGTAGCTGAATTGTTTGAATTCTGAATCTGACGAAACTAAAATACATATTAAACTTTTTGTAAGATCTTACAAATGGTTAATTTATTTTGCAAATAAATAAAATCTACCTAATTTATTGTGCAAATAAATAAAATCTACCTAATTTAGTATTCAAAAAACTATATACATGCCACGTAAGGTCAGTATCGTATTTAGCAAGAACAAATACAACGATCTCTAGGTAAGTTGTAGTGATATCGCTATAATTTTCTATAACAGACATTCACAAGAACTGTAACATTTATATATTCATTTTGGAAACATTTAACATTCATTTGAAAAAGCATCAATTACTTCTTTTTTTTTTTTTTTTTTTGTTGATATATAAACCGTAGAATTACAGATTTTTGGTCCATAATCTTCTTGTGTTTATAACCAATCGTCGATAATACTATGTTTATGGCCTGAACCATCAATCCCATTTCATAGCCTTAAAATTAGCACAACAGAAAAACACAAAAAAATACTCCAGACTATTAATAGTAAATCTTATTTCTTATTTAAACACAAAATAAACTGTTTTAGGAAAATGAAACAACAAAAACGTACAGAAGAAAACAAATTATCGAAAAGGGAAAAAAAAGATTTCGTGATTAAATCATCGGTTGTGTCGTTTGAGAATTGAGACGAGATGAATAATAATACATGGAGAGGAATTGTAGTATGTCTTTTAATAGTCTTCGTCTTATCAACATTCTTCATCAGAATTGACTCCTCTAGATTACCTCCTTGTAGGATTCATGCCCCACGTTTTCGTTATCCCAATGGTACTAAACCGTGCAATTCGAGCATTGAGCGTGGATGATGAGGCAGTATATCCTGATACTTTTAAGTATGATCACCTAATAAAATAAATGTCACGAGGAAACTTAATTACTGTACTTAATTAGTATAGTATGTTTGTTTTAAGTTTCCCCCTTTTTCTTTATAAAATAGTACTATATGTTTTCTAAATTTTTATGCAATTTCACATAATTTCTTTTTATGTTCATGCAATTAGTGTCTTCTTTTTTATTTATTTAAACTGTATTTAGTAAATGATTAGGCATTTCAATGTTGTTTTGCTGGCAAAATCCATATTTCCTATTGATAATAAGTAATTTCTAAAGGGCAAAACTTAGTACAGAATTAAGATATACAAAAGATCAATGCTATTGCAAATATTGTAGCAACTTGTACTTGTGTATCAAGGAGATATATGAGAAGAATGGCGTATGAGCAAAAGCTGACGAGAAGAGTGGCACCAACGAACATAAGAGCCGTTGAGGTCAGGCCAGTCAGAGGAAGAGCAGTGTGTGTAATGGTGAAGCCAGAGTGAGAGAACTCTTTCTTGCTCCTCTTCATTTAGTTCAGATATCATCTTCTCCAACACTTTCTCGAGATCCGCTCGTTCCGCACTTCTTAACACCGGTTTATCCGCTCCGTTGCTAGCCCGGCACAGCAACGGAATCCACGAAATAAGCATCTTCTTCTTTATCTCTTTCAATTTTGCTTCCTCTGCTTCTTCTTCTTTTCCCTCTTTAATGTCCTTGGCTTCTTTGAACAATAAAGCTTCACAGTAATATAAAACAATTATGTTTTAGGATCCAAAATTTAAGTGGAATATTAATGAAAATTTGTTTTGGAAAGTCAAAATACTTTTTACCAGACCAAAAAAAAAGATTCCAAACAGAAAAGAGTATAATCCTATTTTCTTTCTTTTTTGTCCAAATTGGGAAAGAGATTATTCTATCTACCATATTTACGAAAAAGTAATGTAAAAATAAAAATTACCAGAAATTTGGACCAAAGAGCATTGAAGACGTGGCTCAGACGAAAGAGCAAGCGAAGCCAAGTTAGAAGCCGAAGCCCATTTCTCAACGGCTTCATCCACGAATCCATAAACCGCCATCTTCTCCGCCAACCAAAGCAGTTCCGCCGCCAGTTTCTCCGACGTTTCCGCCGTCTCTTCTCCACCCCAACCGATAAATCCATCTCCCACGGCTCTAACCGCAGCTCTCACAACCCGGTTTAATCCACGACGAACCGGTTCACCTATATCTCTCCGGTTACTGTTACGCTCAACCGCCGCCTCTAACCGGCTTAGAGTTGTACGAAACGACGCGTTTAAAACCCTACGGTTCAAATCGAACAAGGCGATTGAGTTCTCTCCGTGATTCTCGTCGATTAGTCTCTCCGCCAACGATCGAACCACTTGGTACTTTCTAGAACTCACCGGAATTTCATTCATCGCCGACAATAACTGCCAAATCGCTCGACCGATTCCCGATTCTTCGCAATCGCTGATCACCAGCATCTTATTCTTCGTCTTCTTCTTCTTCGAATTAGGGTTTGCGAAAGAGACGACTGAAGGAAGAGAGCGTAAGAAGAAGAGGAAACACGTGACGAGAAATACACGGAGTTTCTCGAGGAGCTTTGAATTCCCGGAGATTTGAAGGAGAGATTCATCGGCGAAAACAACGACGGCGATGATGATGTTGCGGAGGAGCTGAGGAACCACAGCAGCTGATGACAGCTTCTCCATTCTTTCTTCTCTTTAATTACAATTACGGAGTTACGGTTACAAAAAAAACTCTCTAACTGTGTTTTCTTCTCTTTCGTTCGTCGGTGGTTATAATTTATCGACAGCTCTTTTTTTATATATCAGTTTCTTCTCTATTTCCATTTTTATAAGTATTATATACGCGCTTTTCTATTTTTCTTTTTTAATTGATTTCTGTTTTCTTTTTTTTGTGTGTGAACAAAATCTATATGACAAAAATCAAAATTGAATTGCAAATGCCTTGAACCGGAAGAAACAGATATCTGTCAGCGGATTAAAAGATAATTCAGACATGTTTTGCTTATCCTTCTTCTTACATATGAAAGTAGACTAACTCAAATACAATATTGTTTTACGGTTATTAAATAAACACTCTTTAAACATGCCAGTATATAGGAAACTTTTTGTCTTTTTGAGACCAATCTTCAAACTTAAAAAGGAAAACTAAACCCCTAGAGACCAATCACCATGTAAAATGTAATAACCCAACTGGTTTGTGTTCAAAGGAATTTTTCCTAGACGACAGAAATCTATGGGTACATTACAACTGAAAAAAGAACAAGTCCCCTATTCCAAACTAATCAATCAAATCCGTCACTCAAAACTATGTAGAGAGATTTCTATTCCATCTGTATTTACATGGAAACCTAAAATGAAAAAAGTTAGAAAGCATTGTTGATGACGATGGTATACCAAGATGGGTGTTTATGTACGGTTTTCTTTCTTTCGCACTTGCAGTGATCATCATTCAAATGCAATAGACATGAAAGTGTCGTCATCCAAAAGAGAATCAATGTCGATTAAATCGTCTTCCTCGTTGTAGTTTGCAGCTTCCTCTGTGTTGTTTTTCAAAGCTGAGCTAGAAGATGCCTGCTCAAGAATTCACAAACGAGAGTCTCAAGTTTCAACTATTGACGTGGATATGTCTGTTCTGGAGATTCAGATACACAACAATTCTTACCTCGTTCTCACGGAAGCCTTCAACGACAGTCAACAGTCTACGGTATTGAGCCCGTGCCTCTGGATATTGAGCCATAGACTTCACTCGAGTTAGAGCCTTTTTAAGCCTTTCCTCTGTTTGTTTCCTTCCTTCCTTGAGAAAATCATAGTCATCTTCTTGTGGGGCAGGACATACAGGTTCTGTTGGCTTGGTGATTGTATCACGTTTGAAACCGCGTAAGCCACTACCTTTACGCCTCCATCGCAAGATGATTTTCTCAAGCAATCCTACGGACCAAATAATGGCCCGGTATTGTTTTCGGACTTGATGTCCTCTCACATGAGCCTAATAGGTTATCAATATAAATCCAACAATGAGACATAAGCAAAGAAAAAAAAAACCCTAAACTTAACATCCTCAACTTGAACTAAAGAAGGAAGTTATTAAAACCTGAATCTTGACAATTCTTTGTCGGATCAGAAGGAACTCCTTTCTCTTCTTCCAACCACGATATTTTTTCTGGATTTGAACTGCAGCAGCATGAACAGCACCATTACTGTGTCCTGGCTTCTTAGTCTTTGCAGATGCAAAAGAAACAGCTAACTCATCGGATATATCAAATTTGTTGTCGTCACCAAGTTCAGAGAGCTGTTTCCGCTGGAACGACTGCATCCTGAACACTTGATGAAGACGATCAGCTGCTTGTGTAGCATTAAAGACAGCAGTAAGTGAATCCTTCATCGAAAGTGTTTCTGGTACATCACCATAACTCATAGGAGTAGCTGTTCGCTCAGCTACTGTTAGAACAGCTTTTGCTCCAGAGGAGTCAGCAGAGCTGTTTTCCTTAGCGTCCACTGTTAGTTTTTCAAGGTAGCTAGTGAGGGATGACTCTGCAAGGAAACCCGATATTCCCCTGTGTCCGTTTCCATAAGCCAAGTCAGCAGCTGTTTTCCCCAAAGGATGTTCTGGAGATGGGTCTGCCAATGCTCCAGCATCAGCACCGAGAGAGACAAGTACGGCGACAGTATCCTCCCTGAAGTTCAGCAGTATAGAGAGATTTAGTAATTTAGTATAGATATGGAAAACATACAAACCAACTGGCAGAGTTTAAAGAATCTTAAGAGGAATGAATAAGAGAGAGCTACAGCTCACTCATATCATTAGAAGACTGAGAACTTTTTGAATCCATGATAAATGATAAGAAGTTTTTAAGAAAAAGAAGGTAACTGAAGGAAGATAATCCTGAGGTCCTTGCCTGCCACTGAATGCAGCCCAGTGAAGAGCAGACCACCCATTTGCATCACGGAAGTTGATGCTAACTCCTGCTGCTAAAATTGGCTTTATCGCCCAATCATACCCAAGCGCTGCAGCAAGGTGTAGAACACCTTGTCCATCTTCATCTAATATATTCGGACCCTTGCCCTCTTCAGTCACCTTATGGATGAGCCACAAATATAACTTATCTTCAAACTCTTCCCTAATCAGTCGCTCTTTTGCTTCCAGCTCTGCTAGATCTTTCTCAATTGTTCCCGGGAGAAGAGACTCTTTTTCATCCTTTAGCAACATGATTTTGCTGATTTTTCTTCGTTTCTCCCCAACATTTTCAAATATATGGTGTTCCTGAACAGAAGATCTGAGAGCCAGTAAATTTTCAAACCGCACATGAAGTGATGTTTCAATTGTATTGGCACCATAAATGTCAGTAGCATTTAACTTTCTGGTTGACCCAGGAAGGAAATCGAATTCTCGTACTTCACTGCAAGAAAATCTGTCAGAACATGTTATATAGAACGGGACTCGACCGACTTCATGTGGCGGAGCATGACAACAAAGAACACCATCTACTAAAATATCAGCCGGAACCTCCACTTCTCCAAACATGCATGACCAGCTATAGCTAGTTACTTCCTGAGGACTCAACAGAAATGTCCCAATAACCATTACCTGTTCGAAAATTAAAATGGTAGATGAGAAAGGAGTTATCTCTTAACAAATCTCCAAAGTAAAAGAGCTCAAAAATAGGACCTGAAAGGATAATACCGGTTCATTAACCATACATAAAACAGAACAGTAGAATGAAGTTCCTAAGCGTATATGGGCTTACTACTTGCAGAAAGATCGGATTATCGCGCAGAAAAGGTATTCTATGAAAAATTCTTCATTTAAATTTTTTACCAGAGAAAGAGAAATAAAACCCCAATTACAAAGAAAAAAAAGGAAGAAAAAATTGGCAAATTGGATTAGCCAAAAACCATCTTAACTGAATGCTACACCACAAAACCATTTCTTCAAAAATAAAATTAAAAATTACCTCAACTTCTGAGTCTGTCTGAGTCCATTTGGGCCAAAAGTCGATCATAGTGAAGCGCTGATCCTCGGACAGAGAAGGACTTAAGGAAGACCCAGCTGCTGCATTTTCACATTCAACAGAAGTCCATGCAATACCTCCAGATGAAGATTGCATCTGCAAGTCTTCCATCTCCCCAAGTTCTTTACTAACCCACCGAGAAAAACTGTCAACCTTTTTCAAACTATCCTCCTTTTTTAACAATGCTTTTCTAAGAGGTAGCGTTTGGTTTGCACTTGCTTCATATATAAGATCCTCGGGGCCTAATTTAGGTATATATGCTGCTTCATTATCTGTAAAAGGAGCTTGAAAACTACTAGGCTGCTGATTTTGACTGCCAAGAAGACTGGAAAATGTCCCAAAATTTTCATGTGCTCCTTGCCCAAATAAGGCAAGATCAGTAGCATCAGTCATTCCTGAATGCGAATCCATAGGCCATTTTTGCAATGGCACGCTTTCCTGAACAGGAATCTATAGAGAAGAGAAACTCAAAATCAGATATTTTCAAAGAACCAACATTCATGATGAGAAAATGCATGCTTGAATAATCAAGTTAAACAGTTGCACCATAAAAAAAAACATACGCACAAATCCTACTTAGATTTAAAATGAATAGCTTAGATATAAGCATGCATATATCAACTGCCAATTTACTTGATTTCGAAGAGGATCTCTCAGATGCTCTGCCGTTAACAGGGAACCTTTCTCTGTTTTCCCTTCCATGGGCATCAACCCAAAATTAGAAGGCTGTGTCTGAGTCAACGGAGCATTATAAGATAGATTCTGGTATCTTGCCAATGAATTCTCAAAGGAAGCATCCCATGCTGGGACATCACCTGATCTTTGGGAGTCACTTTCTTTGACTCTGTTCCCATGAACCTGCGAAACAATTCCAATGCCAGGAGCTGACGTCCAACCATCTCGATTTCCTAGGAAGAGAAGACATTCTCAGCAAACATGCAGGAAATTGGTAAGGCAAGGTAGCTTGTAAAGCAGAAAGTAAATGAAGTACCCAAAACAGAGGTCGTATTATAAGAATTCATTGTGCTAGCATTCAGATGATGCATTATCTGAGGAACAACTGTTTGAGGTTCAGGATTTTGTTGCAAACTGGAACTTGCTTGACGACTATCCCCTGCATCAAAATGATATTAGTTTGTGTTGAAGCAGAAGCAAGAGCAGCAATACAATCAACCACAGAGTCTCATCACTGAAAGATCTACATTCTTAAGCAAAAAGATACCAAAGCAGATTATATACGAGAGAAATTTTATACCAGAATCAGCATCTTCACATAATGGTGACAATATGCTGGATCGGGTTGCTGTTGAATCAACATTTACAGAACCGGTGCCACTCAAAGAATTTGAATGGTTTTCTTTAGTTCCACTGGTACTCATCCGGTTACCCTGTATAATAGGGTGACATACAATATAAGATGACTATATCAAAGGAAAGAGAGCATCCACTTAAAAAGGAAGATATAATGTTGAGTGATGGAAGTTCATATTTTAAGAATATATTAGTACAGTACAAAAATAAAAGTTATACCTTAACCTCCAAGTAGTGAACGAACACAATGTGCATCAGATCCCTGTATTCATATAACACACAAACAGTGGACGTGAGCACTAACACTGAAAAGTAACACCAAATGAAAAAGAGTACCAACAAGCACATTTCATTCCAGAAGATAGGGATTTTAGAGATCACTGGAAATGGCCTTTGGTTCAGTCTTGTATGAACATCATCCTCGATTTCATTTCACAAGCTAGAAATTGATGTTTTTTATAGCAGAATGTCGGAAATTATAATTATATTCCAGTCTCTGTCCTTTCGAGCTCATGTTTTGCTAATACAATAAAAAGGCCATTCCCAGGACACTAGCAGACTACGAGGCACACTTTACATGGTTCGATTTAAAGAAGAAAAATGCAGTGAAACAAAGCACAGAAAGGCTGAAATATAAACGTTTATGATACTAAACAGAACAAAACATATGAAAAGTGGACAAACATAGAAAGACTCACTGTTCAAGCATCCAGTAGCACCGTCTCTGGAAGTTCTCATTATCTTCTCCATGTGCATAATAACAATGTAACACATCAATGCTTCCTACCTGTATATACTTAAACAATGTTATCACTCTCTAACATTGAGATATTGCATTATCAGCTAGAAAAATCAGTAGTAAAACCAAGGAATTGGTTTCAAGGTCATTGCATGAATCTGCACTAATATTTAGCGAGGAGACATCAATGAAAATATTAACCTTGAGCTTTTCGTGAGCCTCTTTCACCGTTTTCCCATCTTTCTTCTTCCTCCAATTGTGCCCATCTTTTCGGAAATATCTGAGCACCTTCCTATCAAATAGAAAGAGTGAACCACCTAGAAGAGCAGGAAATATCTGTTAATTAGAGTAGACAAACTGCAATAAATTGTTGTCAAGGCACGCAACACACAAAACTTCTGAACTATTCAGGACTAACAGGATAAACGGGGCAGTGTAAGTTAAGAGTCAAGCATAAAGTTCGTTAACGCAAGACAGAAATATTAAAACCAAAGCTAATGTAGCTTATTCAGTATCCTATTGATCGTAGAGCTCATAACTGAATAAAATCTTGCAAACAAAAATGAAGAAAATCAGCAAGAAACATACTGGGTGGTCGGTTGGGAGGCTCCGAAGCAATATGAAACTTCTGATGATTCCGAAGAATTTCACAAATCTCAGCAGGTCTCAGCCACCTGTGTTGTGCTTCTGACAGCAGCTGCTTGATATCTACAAGTTCATAAAAGGGTAAGAAACACATTAATGCTTCAACTTATTGCATCAGTATACTGTTCCATAGCTAAAGATAAATATCGTAATTCAACAAGCTAGAATCCTTCCCTTCACTAAAATGTCAAAAAAAAAACTAATAATGATCAGATCCAAACAACTAAAAAGGAGTACAAAACACGGAAAGAGAAATAGCAAAAACTCAAGATATGGCGAAATAGAAACGGGTAGAGAGACCTAATCGAGGAGCAAATCCGAAAGATCCGCGATCCGCCATGGAACATAAACCCAAAAATCCACCAGAGATAGATCTCTAGCTGTCGCAATCACAGAAAAATCAAACGAACCCTAAATCGATCTAGGGTATGTATGAAGTGAGCTTAATAAGCTCTTTAGAAAATTTCTCCTCTTTTCGAGCTTTCCAGGTTGTGAAAGCGAATCGATGAATTTTATTTTTATCCTTTCCTTTCTCTGTCTTTCTGGGGGAGGACGAAATCGGGAGGAAAGCGCCGATATGGTGGAGGTTGTTTTATGAATCAGTGAAGGAAAACATTTTTATCCAATAAGAATCTTACACGTGGATGAAATTTTTATTCAATGTGTACTTTTGCTTAATCATGAATGTGATTATAATCTTGTTCTCAATTAAATTGAATACTAAATTGTTGAATTTAATTCAGAACAAGATTATTACCAATCTATTAAGTATTAACTTTGGTTATTTAAGAAAACGAATCTATTATTACCAAACAAAAACATATTGGACCGGACTGTTCAGTCAAGACCAAGTTTCACGTGCGCTCTGACTGAACGACACTTCAAGATTCGGACACACTAAAAAGTTAAAAATGTGCATTCGTTCATAAAAAAAAAAAAACGGTTTCTTTTCCTTAATACTAAAGCAACAGTTGGATATGAGCCACGTGTATTCAGCAGCATTCGCCGCGAAACAGCTCATAACGTCGATTCTTTTGTCTTCTTGTTACACTCTCTTTCGAGAAAAAACAGAGTTGAATCATTTTCATTCAGTCAGACAACAAGCCTCTTATCTGAGAAGTGAATCTATAAGTATACGAGACTGCCGTGAGATGATAGTTGCGAGAACAGCTTTACGAGCTCTGCTTGTCTGCGGCGGAGGAAACTGTAACATGTTCGTGAGTTCTGTTTCCGCCGCCTCCGTTATGAAAAGTCCGTATGAGATAACAAAACCGACGCAAATTCATGATTGGTGCGGCGGTTTTGGTGATTTTAAGATCGGTCCTAAGCATGTGCAAGGTGTGCATATTTGTAGATGATCCTCATACAACCTTATAAAAATTGTATCATAATCTAAAACATTTAACATATAATTAGGATTTATATATTTCTAAATTTTGAATAGGAAATAACAATTTGAGGTGGAGGAGGATGAGTTCTGCATCGGCGATGGAGAATAAAGATGAAAATTCGACGGTGAAGAAGGATCAAAACGGCGGTGGATCGGTGGCGGTTCGGAGTTATTGGGGAATAGAGACAGCAAAGATGAAAATTACGCGGAGAGATGGATCGGATTGGCCTTGGAACTGTTTTATGGTAAAGTTATATACATCCCAAATTTCGTAGACAAATTAAGCACTTTTATATGTAGATTTATGAATTAATAGTTATGTATATTTTGAACAGCCATGGGAGACTTATCAAGCAAATTTGTCGATAGATTTGAAGAAGCACCACGTTCCGAAGAATATCGCCGACAAAATCGCTTACCGGATAGTCAAGCTCCTCCGTATTCCCACAGATATATTTTTCCAGGCATGACCCTCGTATAATCTAAAATTTAAAAAATGAAACGTTGAATATCCTTTTTCATTGGTTGATTTAGCTGATTCTGTTTGGTTTGTATGCACAGATCCTTCACGTTCTAATGTTTTACATTTGTTTTTTCCTTAATGTTAACTATATGTTTGGTCAGCAGAGACGATATGGATGCAGGGCAATGATGCTCGAGACAGTAGCTGCAGTACCAGGAATGGTTGGAGGAATGCTTCTCCACCTAAAATCAATCCGAAAATTCGAACATAGTGGCGGTTGGATCAAAGCATTACTTGAAGAAGCAGAGAACGAGAGGATGCATCTAATGACGATGATGGAGTTAGTCAAACCCAAATGGTACGAGCGTCTTCTAGTGATGCTTGTTCAAGGAATATTCTTCAACTCTTTTCTCGTTTGTTACGTGATGTCGCCGCGGTTAGCTCATCGGGTCGTTGGATATTTAGAAGAAGAAGCTATACATTCTTACACCGAGTTTCTTAAAGATATCGACGATGGGAAGATCGCGAATGTTGCCGCTCCCGTGATTGCTATTGATTATTGGAGATTGCCTAAAGATGCTACGTTGAAAGATGTTGTCACAGTGATTCGTGCTGATGAAGCTCATCATCGAGATGTCAACCATTTTGCTTCTGTAAGTCCAAAACACAACCCTTTTTCATACAACTTTGAAATTTTTACAAAACTCCCGAGTTTCATACTTTTCTTCGGGTCCAATTAGGTGATATTGAAACAACAAATGATATAAGTAGTATAATCAACCACATTTGGTGTGTGGATACATACAAGTTCATAGTTTTTATTATAATCAATGAATTTTAAAAATCTGTGGATTTGTTATCTTGTGTCGTGTTTGTGAATTGTTAATATTGTGAATTATATTTGCAGGACATTCGCAATCAAGGAAAAGAGTTGCGAGAAGCAGCAGCTCCGATTGGTTACCACTAACCAATATCAAAGAGTCTTCTATTTACTTGGAGTTTACTTATGATTTTGGATATGAATTTGTTTGAATGTACTAAAGCAAGTTTTAAAGGTGTTAGAATTGTTTAGGTAAAGATGTTTCAGATTATAAAATTGTGTCTCAACCGTCCCAATCGCTTAATTACACTAGTCGCCGCTGAACCGGTACGAACCAAAGTCGGTACTATCCGGTTCGATTCTCTTTTTTATTTTTTCGTAAAAAGGGTATAAATGTAATTAACAACAACGTATAGGGGCAGATAAAAAAACTCCCCGTATCTAGTAGATTCCATTGATTCATAGACCTAATTTCAGTTCCTCTGCTCTCTCTCCCAATCTCTCCGCCGGCGGGAAAACCATGTCGCACTTCGGAAGGTCAGGTCCACCGGATATCAGCGACACCTACTCACTTCTCGTCCTTAACATCACCTTCCGTAATCTCTCAATCCCTTTTTTTTCTTCTCTAAACCTCGTTTCAATATTTGTGAACTGGGTTTCTAAGAGATTAGGGTTTGTTCTTATGCGTAGGTACGACTGCTGATGATCTCTATCCTCTATTCGCAAAGTATGGAAAGGTCGTTGATGTCTTTATTCCCAGAGATCGAAGGTCCAATTTCTTCTTCTTCTTCTCCGACTGAGAAATTAGGGTTTCTTAATTTCTGTTATTGATTCTTGTGTCGATTTTTAGGACTGGTGATTCGCGTGGTTTTGCGTTTGTTCGGTATAAGTATAAAGATGAAGCTCACAAAGCAGTGGAAAGGCTTGATGGTAAGATTCATCCAGATCTTCTTATTTCTTGTATTATTTGTTTTGTTATATGTGTTTATACTTTTTGGTGGTGCCTGGATTTAACATGAAGTTTCTGTCTCTGTTTCAGGAAGAGTTGTTGATGGCCGAGAGATAACTGTTCAGTTTGCGAAATATGGGCCAAATGCTGAAAAGATGTAAGCTTCTTTCTTTGCCAATGATTGTTCAAGTTTCTTGCCTTTGTTTTTGGACTGCTAAACTCATTGCATACTTGTATAAAGATTTTTATCTAATCTTATTTACTCGGAGCTCACTATTAATGTTTCCTCTTTAGACCATTTCCGATATTTGTGCAATTGGAACTTCTATCCAGTAAAAAGCTGCATCTGTAATTGTATTTTGATTAGTTTGTAATTTTCATGTCAGTTCCAAAGGAAGAGTTGTGGAACCACCACCAAAGTCACGAAGATCCAGAAGCCGTAGTCCTAGGAAGAGTCGTAGTCCTAGGAAGAGTCGTAGTCCTCGGAGGAGCCGTAGCCCGCCTAGACGCCGTAGTCCTAGAAGAAGCCGCAGTCCCCGTAGGAGGTGAGTTTCTTCTTTAATCTGAATTCTTATCATGATTAGATGAACCAGTGGGAGATAATGGTTATGCTATTACTCAACTAGCTTTTGTTACTTGATTTATCAAAGAAACTCCATCTCAGCCCAAGAACAGTATTTGTCTTAATAATTCTCTCATCGAGTTACATAACTTGTAGGTCCCGAGATGATTACAGGGAAAAAGACTACCGGAAGAGGAGCAGGAGCAGAAGCTATGAGAGGCGTGAAAGGCATCAGGAGAAGGATAGAGATCATCGTCGTCGCACTAGGTCTCGTAGTGCCAGCCCAGATGACAAACGCAGAGTCAGAGGCCGTTATGATGATGAGAGCCGCAGTCACAGTCGCTCCTTGAGGTTTCTTCCATTGTGAACCTTTTTTTCATGTTGTTTCTCCACACTACTATGTAAAAATATCCTGATTTCAACTTTTTGAAATGCAGTGCATCTCCTGCTCGCCGCAGCCTCAGCCCTAGAAGTTCATCCCCACAAAAAACCTCTCCTCCTACAGAAGTTTCTCCTGATAAACGTAGCAATGAGAGGTCTCCATCTCCTCGTCGCAGCCGCAGCCCAAGAAGCCCTTCTTTGCAAAAGGCCTCTCCTTCTAAGGAGGTGTCTCCTGAAAGGCGTAGCAATGAGAGGTCCCCGTCTCCTGGTAGCCCTTCTCCCTTGGGCAAAGTTGATGCTGCTTCTCGAAGTCAATCTCCTTATGCTGCGGTGGGTTACAAAAACACAGTGCTTCAGATGTGTATCACGAATGTAACTTGATGTCTGAACTGTGCTTGTTTACATTTTGTTTGCAGGAATGACTGCAGCCAATTGCGAAGGAGACATGGTGTATGAAAAACATGTTTGCTTGTACTGATGATGTTTCATCATCAAGCACTGGAACGTCTACCCTCTGTAGTATTACTTGCTTTCCGTAGGTGCCCCCAAACTACTGACTGTATCTTTGTTTCCTGTTATCTTTCGGGTTTAGTGTTCATGTGCAAGGATTATTACTGTCTGAACAGCCTTTTTAGACTATGGTTTGTTTGAATCTTCTTTGGTTTGGAATTCATAGCATTCTAACTCCATTCCCATGGCTTGTCTTGGATTTTTCTAGTCTGGTTCGAGAAAAGAATTGAGTGGGATGATGGCACAACCATGTTGAGATTGTAGCTGTTGATGCTGTTTATGAAACTGTAGATGATCGATGCTGTTTATGAAACCGTAGATGATCGATGCTGGTCACAGCAATCTGCTTAAACTCCCCTTCCATACATAGTAGCTCCTTTGTGTCTCTAACTTGTTGCCCAATGCTTACTTAGAAGGGCCTGGTTCGTTGAGTTTTCAATCTAAGTTCAGTTGAGTTTCACTTATCTCTGTCTCTCTTCTGTTTTGAGATTCTTATCAAAAGTACGTAGTACAAAGATAAGATCACAAAGAACTAACTTACAATTGAATTTGTCTTTACCAAGGTAAAGTTTAGGTCACAAAGAAGTAATAACATGTTCTTGTTTTAGGTTAAGCAATGGTGAGATTAAGAAGCTGTGTAAACTCCAATCTCCGAGTCTCATGGTAAAAAGTCTTATACTTATTTGGCCAATAGGTCAACCAAATAAACCCTTTAATCTCCCACTCCATTGTTCTCCCCAATGCTCCTTTCCCCATCTTCCACACCACACTCTCTCCATACTCGTCCCCTGCAAATATCACTCCTCCTCTCCTCGTAAATGACCGATACGCCCTTGCATACCGATCCTTAAACCAAGACCTTGGGCTCATTATTGAAAACCGTGAAGGCTTTGTCGAAAAAACCTCTCTTCCTCCAACGCTGCTATCGTACAAGATCCAGTTTAGATTAGCTGTGTAGCCGAGCACAGATTGCTCGAATTTCCATGGGGTCATTGTCATGGTCGAGGCTTCTCGTCCAGCGACTCTTAAGCCTAGTGAGTTTGGTGGATCAAATGAGCCTTCGATAGATCTCTCGACTTCAAACTCTCGTCCCGGATTGTTTGATGATTTGCTAACCGAAACGCTTATGAAATCGGTTTGGAGAGTTGGAGTTAGTTGAAGAGAGATCCTTGATGGGAAATGCTTTTCGTGCTCTCCTGCTCCTCTTCTCGACATCAGTCTCTCGTTTACAAGCTTTATTACATCGTATCTGCATTCATTAGTTATCAAATGATTATTGATCGTTTAGCTGCCCAAAATACCCTCGTTTCATTACAAAATGTCTAAAACCTTGGTTCATATATAAACTTGGCATAGAGGAAAAAATCATCTAGTAAAAGATATCTACAATCTTACAAGACAAACTCTCGTTTTCTTACAAAATGTCTAAACCCTTGGTTTCACTTATTAATTTAAGGTTTTTTTTTTTAATTTTTAGGGAGTTGTACGAAACTTTTTAAACCATGAGCTTTTTTACTAAAAATATCCCGTGGGTAATGTCAATTCTTTTACAAATAACGGTTTTGAAGAGTTTATAAGAACATAGAAATTTTTACTTTTTAGGCCATTTTATCAAAACCAGAGTCTTTGTACATATGTGTACCTGATGTTGTCTATCTTCACGATCACATCGATCCACTTGTCTCTCACTACAACTTTGTGATTGAATTGCATCACACCTTCAAGCTGATTAAACTTGAGAGAGAACAACAATCTCGAATCAGCCGTTGGGTTGCTCGATCTCTCTACTTCCATGGCTTCAACGGGACAATACAATTGCACTTTCCACAATCCATAAGCCGAAACAGCGTAAGAGAACAAAGGAGTTGTTGTTGTCTTGGTGGACTCACAACGAAGCTGCTCAATGATCCAATTTGTAAACGCTAGATTCACCGTTCTCATCCACTGCTCTTCCAAATTAGACCCTAGAAGCTTCATCAGAGATATGGTCGCTTGACGTGCATGACAAGTAACCAAATGGTTCTTGAGGGTATTGAGGCAGTTTTCACGGAGATACAAAGGAGCTTCGTAGACGCAAACGATGAACGAGAGAGTGAGAATCACAGCGTTGAATATGTCTTTAAGACCGTCGATCTTGGATGAATCGGGGTTAGGGATTTTGATCGTTGAATAGTTGGAACTATTAGAGGTATAGGTTAAGATAGATTCGACGAAATTGAAGAGGAGAGAAACGATTGTTTGTTCATCGAAAGGGTTTGGTGAGTTTGGGTTGATGTTGAGGTCTTGTTTAGTGGTCCAAAGATACAAAGTAGAATGATTATTGGATTGGACGATGATGGAGAAAGTGAGGACTGAAGGGTTAGGGCTCTTTTGTGCTATGAGATTTAGGGTTGAATTCGGAAAATCAGAAGTTGAAGGGCAAATGCAAAAGGAAAGAGAAGTTGTGCGCCTGGTGATCTGTGGGATGTTCTGTATCCAAGCGAATACATCAGGGAACTTCTTCTCGGACATCATTTTGTTTTTTTTTTCTAATGTTGTTGTGTTTGAGTTTTGTTTGCGATTATACACGTATAAATAGATGTACGTTATATTGTATATGTACACGTTAAAGGGGGTCATGAACATTGGATCATGTGCAGGATTTAAGCAAAAAGAAAAATGAAGTGATAAGCTTAAAATTTGCTAAAAGTGGAATAATAAACATGCCCATTTCGTAGGAATACATATTTCATCTATCAAGGGTTTGGATATACTCGTAGTGTGAATGATTATCGAAATTACTTAAATATATTTTATTAAATGATTTACGAAATATATATTTTTGTATATCGGGAATTTGATTGAGATACTCTTTAATTTATTAATATGATAGAGACGATTTACTGTGCTATGATATGCATGACAATTGACAAGAGTTGACTAGTAACAGCAAAATGAAATTCAGATTCTTTGTCATAATCAGGAAGTGTTTATGTTTCTTGCTTTTATCCAAATGTACAAAGAAAACTTGTAAGAGAATAATTATTAGCCATAGATTCTTTTTAACCACTTTCGCAGCGTGAAGTAAACAACAATGCCCTTTGCATTAATTTACTTTACGTATTTCTTTGGTTCACCCCTATCTAGTTTTAGATACAATCCCCATTTTTCTTACCTTACTTAATTGAGCCTAAAAAATAAAAATTATATACTTGTATATACTATTTCAGATTAGTCAAAACTTCCTTCATTGGTATTTTATCAAAATTAGATAATACACACTAGTGTCTACCAAAAAATTAGATAATCTAGAGAGACACCCACACGCTAAAAACCATGAACCATCACTTCTTTCTAATTTGGTCATAATCCTCTTTTGTTTCTTTTATTCTCTTTTTGTGAAATTAGTTAGATGCGAAATTGCTTCTTCAGCTGTCAAATTTACGCAGTTTCTTGCTCCATACGGCTGGAGATGCCGCGTTACTGAATCTGGCTGGTGGCATCGCAGCACTACCGGCATACGTGTGAAACTACACATCTATAAAACCCATTATCAGTATCGGTCGATTCACATTAGGCCCATTTATAAGCTCAGGCCCATGTAACATTCATTTCTTGAGAAAACAGGCAAGATTCAAGAACGTACCAAATGGACAATAATACATTTATCTTCAAACTCACAAGTACAAAACTTTACAAGTGAAAAAAACGCATCATTATCATCCATTCACGCCGCTTTTTCCCAACCGCTCTTTGCCGCCGAGCGTTTGGATTATAGCTTCTAAGAGTTTGATCTCGTTATCGCGTTTTGATATCTGTTCTTGCATTCCCCGGAGCTCTTCCATATGCAGCTTGAAAACCTCTGAAACAAGAGTTGTAAGTGAGTGAGTGATATGAAACTGGAACACATATAAACGTGCAGGAGAGAGTGGTGCCATCAACCAAAGAAGTGATAATCAAGGATATACTTGTGGTGTTTTCGAGCTCTTTGGTGACCTCTTGGGCACGTGATTCAGCAGCCTTTTGAGAGGACTCAGCTTGTCGTTTCTCAGACCGAGCATGAGCAGCAGCTGTAATGGCAGCATCTAGTTCTCTTTCTAGTGTTTGTACCCTTTGCTCAAGAACCTAAAACAAACCATTGGACAGAGTAAGAGACAATCTGAAACTATCACTTATCTCAAACATGTAACACAGTCCTTTTTACTTACAACATGAAAAAAAAATCTATTTCAATACACATTATTGCACTTGGACTTTTCATGGTGAAACCTCAAGGTCCAGTCTTTCAGGATTTGGTGATCATTTGCACCATTAACAGATCACAAAATCGAACTACAAGCTCAACTTTATACCCAAGATTATAAACTTTATGAGCAACTATATAAGTTACCAAATTAATCATCCAATGCAATTCCAGAATCACACTATTACACTGAGCTGTAGTAAATACTAAACCTAACTAAAAATGGCGATCGTGATCAACTAGATCGAATCCACAAATCGCAGAAGCAATCATCAAAATGAAAGGAAAGAAGCTCAAACTCCAGCCAATTAAGCTCTATAAACTCAAAATTAATCACCGGAAAAAGGATTAACCTTGATTGTTCGGGCTTGTTCGGAGACGAGAGAAGCTCTAGCGAACGTGTCTTCTTCGACGAAGACTGCTTTCTTGAGGAGAAGTTTCTGAAGAGAATCGAGATTCGATGCCATCTCTGTTATATTCTCCAATGATCCTTTCCATCTCTCATCGCTCCCTCCGATCTGCTCCTCCATCGGAAAAAAGATCAAAGGATCTCTCCCGGAGAAGTTTTAGCCGGCAATCAAAAACTTGACTCGCAGATCGATCGGAAAACAATTAAAGATTCTTTGGGCTTTCCTCAGCCCATTTAACTATATTGCTATTTTAACCGCATGGTAATTTTTAACACGTAATGACATCATTACGAAGAGTTACTAGATCTAAGCCAATAAGATGATGAGACGTATCCAGTTTCGAGAATGTACTACTGACGTGTACCAATAATAACACTGGAACTGATAGGATCTCACAGTGCTCTCTCGTCCACGAATTCTGATATTAAAAAACCCAAGCCCGTTAAACCTTTTGATTTTGTTGCCACGTGTCGATATCATGGTCACTTGTCTTTTGATTCTCCCCAAACAAAAACAATAATTAAAATATTTGTAAAAAAAAAATAAAAAAAAGTAGGAAGCCTTCATCGTCTTCTGCCGAACATCTCTAGAAGAAACTCCTAGAAAGTTTTTTTTCCGATCTAGCTTCGATGAATTGGTACAATCAATAGGAGGATCTGCTGATTTTTTTTTGTTTGTCTGTGGAGTTGCTGCTAGTGGAAGAATCTGTCTCACAGTCACAGGTGAGCTTATTTAGTTGGGACTTTAGGGTTTTGATCATTTCATTCGTTTGGTGGAATCTATTTCGACTGAATTTAATTTGAATATTTGGTTCTTATACTCAATCATTCATTAGCAGCATCTGAGGATTTCTCAGATTTGATTTTTTTTTTTTTTTGCATTTAGTCTCATTGAATGTTTCATTTAACTGGGTTTTGAGATAGTTTTGGATTGTTATGATGATGATGATAGGTTAAATCGATTTTGCTAAAAATTACGAGCACAAAATGGATGAATCCTACTATCTGATGAAGTGTTTCTACTTTGTTTTTGTGCTACTTGTTATGAGATTTGAATTTTTGGCTGTAGAACTTGAGTCTACTTTTTGAAATTCAAGAATAGTTGGAAGAATGGGTTAATTTTACGGGGTTTTGATTCTGGATAAGAAAAATCAAGTTTTCCTATATGCTGCTGGGTTCGATATCTCTATTATTGAAACCTTCTACAGCTGTTTAATATCTTTATGTTTCGTATCCAGAACCAGAACTAGTTTGTGGGAGTTACATGTTTTGCAATAGAGATGACATATCGGGGTAATGTGCATTATTTTAGTGGTGATTAAAGAGTCTTGAAGTTGGGAGAAATGTCGGACTTTTACATTGATGAGGTGAGTTGAGTCACAATGATTTGTGTGTGTATCTTTTTTTCTGGTTTGGTGATTTGTTTGTATGATCTCTATGAGACTATGGACACAGAGCTTTCTTTGTTGTTCTTGTCGTACGTTCCCGGGGAATTTAGTGTTGTGAAATTTCTCACTGTTTGTAGGTTCAAAATCTTTTTGGATTATAGAAGGACAATTCTGACATCTCATATTTTACTATTTGTTATCGCTACCACTTGGATGTGTTCTGTGTATCAGGTTTGGGGATTCTTTGTTAGTCTACTCGGTTTGGGGATTTTTCTTTGACTTGGTTATGCAGATTTTTAATTGGTAGCTGAAGTTTTTTTTTCCTTTTTTTTCAGCTAGGCGATTATGTTTCGGATGAATTTCATGGGAACGATGATGGTATAGTGCCAGACTCAGCGTATGAGGATGGAGGTCAGTTTCCAATTCTAGTTAGTAGCAGGAAGAAACGAAGAAATGAAGATATGGGTAGTGGAACAAACAATCTAAAGAGTAATACTTTTATCAAGAGGGAGGCAAACATGTTAGGAAAAAATCCATGGCCGGAGAAAAATAGTGGTGGCTCTTCGGTTTCTCGTGATACGGGATCAGGCAAAGATGTTCAGGACATGACATTGGAGGATACAAATATTTCAGATCATGGTTTCAATGGTGGCCACGTTGATGTGGTTGAAAATTTATCCACCGTGGATCCCATGCTGTGTGACAGTGCCGCTGCAACACATGATGGCGTATATAATTATTCCCTCGACAGCATTCCGGATGCTGAAAATAATCTTGGCTTTTTCGACAATGGGGATAAAGAAAGCAACGATCTCTTCTATGGCTGGGGTGACATAGGAAATTTTGAGGATGTGGACAACATGCTTAGGTAACATTTAGATATTCTCTTTTCTAAGTTTTCTTATCACATTGGGACTTTATAGGAAAAACATGGTAACATTGTATTGAGCTTACATTTGCTTTTTGGACGCACAGGAGTTGTGATTCAACTTTCGGCTTGGATAGTCTTAATAATGAAGATGACTTAGGCTGGTTCTCTTCTGCTCCGCCAAATGAGGAGACAGAAGGCGCGATGACAGATGATATCAAACCAGACAAAGTGTTGGAAAATCAAAGAACCCCTATGTTACAGGTTGAAGATTTTTTGAACAACAGTGAGTCCAACCATGCTGTTGAAGATGAATATGGATATACCATCGGGGGTGATTCAGCTCAAGGAAAATCATCAGAAAATGTATTCTATACGAGTTCACAAAAGAAGGATGTATTAATGCTGGATGTAGAGGTTAGTCAAATTCTTATTTCAGATTTTTTTGCGCCCTCCAACATGCCACCCTTTATTACATGGGATGTTACCTTCTATGATGACTTATTTAGTTGCACGTTTTCCTCAGTAGAATCTTTAACTACGATATGACGCTTTTTACAATTTTTATGTGAATGGTGGTTTATGGTTTCTTTAAGGCTAGTAAGTATTCTATTAAATAAATATTTACACTGCTGAAGTCTTGACACTATTCCAGCAATTTCATATCAGTGCGCATTTTTGTTATACAGGCAAATCTTGAGAAGAAGCAGACTGATCATCTTCATCATCTGGATGGGAAAAGTGATGGGTTCTCTGAGAACAGTTTTACTTTACAGCACAGTGGTATTTCAAGGGAAATAATGGACACAAACCAGTATTACCCTCCCTCCGCATTCCAACAGCGAGGTGTGCCATACTCGCATTTCAATTGTGAGCAGCCTTCCGATCAAGTATCAGCATGTGAAAGTAAATCTGGTATTAAATCTGAGAACAAACCCAATCCTTCCTCTGCTTCAAATGAGTCATACACATCAAATCAGGCACAATCTGTCGAGAGCTTACAAGGTCCAACTGTTGATGATCGGTGTAGGAAGGGATTTGAAACGAGAGCCAACTTGCTGCCTGGGCAAGATATAACTCCTTCTTTTGCTGCAAATACCAAGAAGAGTAGTAAGACAAACCCCATGGTGTTTCCTGATGCTGCTTCTATCCAGAAGATCGGGCTTGAGAATGACCACAGAAAAGCTGCAACTGAATTGGAAACATCAAACATGCAGGGAAGTTCTTGTGTTAGTTCTGTTGTGGATGACATTTCACTGGAAGCAACAAGTTTTCGCCAGCTTCAACAAGTTATAGAACAGGTACAACTAGTCAGTAGATAATTGATGATATAAGGAAATGGCAGTTCTGAAGGTGATCGGTAAAAGTTTGTTGTTCCTTTGCGATTGATATCAAAGTGTATATATCTTAAGAAATTTACATGTATATCTGTTTACTTGGTTGATGTACACTTGCTTGCTCCAGTTGGATGTTAGGACAAAGCTTTGCATAAGAGACAGCTTATACCGATTGGCAAAAAGTGCGGAACAGAGACACCATGGTGGAAACAGACCGGAGAAAGTTGCAGGCTCGCATCTGGTGACTGGTGAAACAGACAAGTAAGCACCACAACCGACATAATTATTCAATATGTTCACCCTTTATCTCCTGTTGCTAAGTCATGTTCTTGAGGCCAACTTATAACTTTATACTCCCTCCGTTTCGTTTTAGTTGTCGTTTTAGGATTTAAATTTTGTTTCATAATAGTTGTCGTTTTAGGTTTTCAATGCAAATGTTTGGTAAAAATTCCATTATTATCCCTATTGTTTTAATGTTTTGGCCAATGAAAATTTTTATAAAATATATTAATAAGGGTAAAACATAAAATTTAATGTTTTTCTTAATTTGTGTGAGAAAACCTTAAACGACAACTAAAACGAAACGGAGGGAGTATAGGATTAGACTCGGGTCTTGACAGATTTTAGTAACTCTCTTCTTTAGAAACTTCCACTTGGGCATTTGTACTCGTCCTTCATTTCTTGTAGATTCTAATCTTTGATATCTGTATTTGGTCACATCCAGGTACGCTGGATTCATGGATATCGAAACTGATACAAACCCGATAGACCGATCCATAGCTCATTTGCTGTTTCACAGGCCCTCAGACTCATCACTTTCATCAGATAACAATGTTCTGTCTTATAAATCTCATCCAATGGTAAGTTAGACAGACCTTCAATTCTTACACAGCCATTTAAATTGCAAACTGTGTCACACAGTGCCTCATTTTACCCATCATAATCTCCACAGATTCCTCAGCCCAATAGTAGCCCGAGTCTGAGGATGGAGAAACAAGAGGAAACTCCAGAACTTAGACCCGAAGCAGAAGTTGTAATAAGTGACAACAATTAATGATGTCAACAAAAACTGGCTCTTTCACTGCTGAAGCATTCGAGATATGGTTGTTAACACTAATCTCGATTTAGGCTAAGCGAAATTGCTCAGGTTAGTTACTAAAATCCTGACTGCTTCTTTCATTAGAATCATGGATTTTGTAACATAGTTGTATTTAAGTGTTGAGATGATTTTCTGGTCTAGATTTCAGTTCGAACCTGATTGTACACCTGGTTGCTCGAACCGGGTCTTTGAGACTTATTTGCCTTTGTAATATGTTCAAGTTGTTAAGTAGAGGAAGAAGTAGAGACAAACAGCAATTCTGTAGATAAAGATGCTAGTTCGTTTTGTAATGCCATAAAATATTCTGCTGTGCAACTCTTTCTCATAATATCGAATTTTACGGTTATATATTCCAATTATGATTTGATGATCTCATAAATATATTTCCACTTTGACGAATTTAGATATTCCGAAGCAATACCAACCCCAACAATCGTGTAGATAAAAGATTAAACTTTGTGTCACAAGCTACATTACAGAAATTGGGAATTGGACTAGAATGTAGTAAAAGGAGAAAGAAAGTTCCGAAACACTCTAATCGAAAGTTTGCCTTAGTTGCATCTCGGTTTCACTTTTCCAAGAAGCGTGAGAGGATTGTCCTCTCATTCTTTTGCTCTTCTCTTTATCTTTGATCGTAGAGCCTTTCTTCTTCGCGTCTACGTCCGGTAATGGCCGGTCACCACAAATTGGGCATACCATTCCTCTCGCGCTTGTATATGTTTTCGGTACACCACATTGCAAACACATCCTAAACTCATCATAGAAATCCTAATCAAGCTCACATTGTGCAAATTTAAATTTACAAAAGAATGAAGAAGAGACCAAGGGTTATTCATACCTCAAGAGATCTGCAGATTCTTCTGCATTAGGATTGGTTGCAGTAGATATCCGCTTTTCACCACTCTCTGAAGATGGTGGTGCATCAATATCGTTTCTTACTCTCTCATGGATTCCTACTAGTTGAGGTTTTGCTTCCATGACAACACCTACAGGCCAATAAGCTGAAACCATCAGGCTTGGATCGAGAGATAACAACAGTTCCATAAACAGAACTGAGAAACCGGATAGATAGAGATTACAATCCAAGGTGCCTGGTTTCTTATTTCACAATGTTTATGCTTTAAGTATCAATACAAGCTTCTAAAGCTAATATCCACAATTCACATATATTTTCGAGATACCAATCCGTAATCTTGTGAACTTTAAACCTATTTGATGTGAATTCTTCAACATCTCCAAATTCTAAATAACCAAAAATGCTAAGAAGATGCAAACAAGTTGCGGCTACCTTTTGGTTTAACTTTCTTCTTTTTGCGACTAATACGCTGTGCATGTTCTGCATCTCTAGCTGAAGCTTCATCATCCGCTTCTGTGCGGTTGTTTAGAAACTCCGGTGGCCCTGAAATCTGCAAAATTCAATAGAAGCAAAGCATCATTTACCACAAGCTTTTCGAGTAAGAAGTAACCAACAACTTCATACACAATATAAGCAACTAGGCCAACAACCACTAAAAAGTTTTCACTATCAGAAGATCTCTCTAATTTTCAACCCCAAACCTAATTTAGTCTGGGGATCTCCGGGGAAAACCCTAAATTTCAATCACATAAAATCTACAGATCCAAGTAACATATTTTCATTTATAATAATGAGATCATTCAATTTCTCCTCAACGAAAACGAGAATTCGATGAATTGAGGTTTAGAAAATCAAAGAGAAAGATGACCTGAGAGAAAACGTCGTCAGCTGAAGGAAGGCCGGAGTGTTTAGCGGAGGAGGCAGATGCAGAGAAATCAAACACAGAAGACGATTCATATCTCCGAACACCATTATCTTCATCTTCAGAGTTCTCGTAATCCCCAAAAGCTCTCTCCTCTGCTTCTTCTTCTTCTGCAGAAGAATAGCCTTGAAGCAGCGTCAAGCTCATGTTTGTTCGTTGCTCCAAGGATCTATCGGAGCCGCAAACGAAAATAAGAAGAACTTTTCTTTATTTATGCTTTAGCCCCTTAGATTCCTTGTAAATCTTATTTCAATCCTCGGTTCAAAACCCGGCTAAAACGAAACCGGAAATAGAGTCAGCTATCTAAGACTATTAACCGGATATGATTATCCGGTTTACGGTTTAGTTGGAAAGATTTATAAACCGATTTGGTCTGTTTGTGCGGCAAAAACCTTGAAATGATAAGAATCTTCCCAAGTTTACGGTTTACCTCTTTGCTCTCTGCCGCTAAACCTCTTTGCTCATATTCTCCGGCGAGAGAACCACCGGCGTCGTTTACAGAGGCAAAATCCTCTCCGGAGACTAATTCTCTCAGCATAACTCCCAAGACACCGCTATTCCTTAGAACGCCGTCGCACGCAACTTCTCTTTCGGAGGTTTGGAAATGGCACGACTGGGCCAAAGATCTGGCCTCCTCCGTTGAGGAATCTTCGAAGAATTCTGAAGATGTTCTTGACTCTGTCATTCTCCTCCGTGAGCTAAAATGGCTGATCGAAGACTCAATCGTAGACGATCCTTTAGTGATTCTTCACAGAAGCGAAATATCGGACAACGGCGAGAAGAATGTGAAATTGAGAGCGTCGTTGGAGGAGCTTTACGATTTATGGAGGCAGAGGATCGAGAAGCGTCGGCCGTTTCAGTACGTGGTCGGATGCGAACACTGGAGAGATTTAGTGTTGTGCGTTGAGGAAGGGGTTCTAATTCCGAGACCGGAGACGGAACTTATCGTCGATATGGTGGAGGAGCTTGTAACGAGAGATGAATGGTTTAAGAAAGGTTTTTGGGCTGATCTTGGGACAGGAAGTGGTGCAATTGCGATCGGCATTGCTAAAGTCTTGGGAAGCCGTGGGAGAGTTATAGCTACAGATCTCAGTCCGGTGGCTATCACCGTCGCTGGCCACAATGTGCAGAGATACGGCCTTGAGGTTAGTAGATTTTCTTTTTTAAACCTGATGATGATAAAAATAAAATCTATTGTATACTCCCTCCGTATTTTAATAAGTGTCGTTTTAGAATTTTCATTTTTTTAAATTAGATGTCGTTTTCAAATTTCTATGCAAAATTTATTACTTTTTAATGTTTTATACGGAGGGAGTATATGGAATTGGGATCTTTCAACATCAGAAGTTGTAATGGATTTGAGGATTTTGTAGACAAAACCAGTAAAATGTGGGATGAAGAATTGTAATCCTGCAACATTCTTCAGTTTGATTGCTTCTCATAGTGGTGATGAAATTTGATATATCTAAGAGATAATTGATGTAAGGGAAAGATCATATTCTGAAACATTATTCAGCTTTGGTTACTTCTCAGTCTCACCATTGTGATAAAATTGGACTTATCCAGGGGATGATTGAAGTGAGAGAAGGATCTTGGTTTGAGCCTTTGAAAGATCTTGAAGGAAAACTTGTGGGGATTGTAAGTAATCCGCCATACATACCAAGTGATGACATTCCAGGCCTACAAGCTGAAGTTGGTAAACATGAACCGAAACTTGCATTGGATGGTGGTATTGATGGAACTGATAGTCTTCTCCATCTCTGTCACGGGGCTTCTCGGATGCTTCAACGCGGTGGCTTTTTCATTTTCGAGGTACCTACCTTATTTTCACTCTGTTTCTCCAAAATATTTAGTAGACAGATTCAATCGTTTGGGTTTACAATGTTTGTCTCTCTGTCTCCGATACTAAAACAGGCGAAGTTAGTATTGAAAAGAGATTTAAGATAAATTGTTTGTGTATGAGTCCGAAGAAACAATTGTTGCTTATTGTTGCTTTCACTTTATCAGTAAGAATTTGGCGTTGTAAGAAGATTATGATTGCTACCAAAAGATCAAAGTCTTGGTTGGTCAATTTTCATTATATGCTCATTTGGTTTGAAGATGTTTGCGCATATGTACTAATAATCACATCCACCATGAATGATTGATCCTATTGGTTTATGATGATGCAGACGAATGGAGAGAAACAAAGCAAGATGATCGTTGATTACATGATGAGCAATGATCTAAAAGACTGTTTCTCAGATTTGAAGATAGTTTCTGATTTTGCTGGAATCAATCGGTTCGTGACTGGCTTTCGTCTCTGAGCTTTTTTACATAACTTGCTGTGGTGCTACTTCCCATTACTTGTGACTTGTGGGATCACATTTTCAGTATATCTCTTCTAAGTGAACTAATCTAATTTATGGCTTTGCGAAGTTCATTTCCATCAAATAATGACCTTAGTTAACAACTTAACAGAATCGTATTGGAAGATTTTTTTTTTTTTTTTATAGTAGATACGAGGCAATTGTAAAAAGTACACCGTTGAAATGATAATTTTCAGTGATCCAATATCATGTGGACTACAGAACTAAAGTCTAAAGCCTAAAGGTACAAATTATTAAATTGTAGACTGATACGAATATGGGCTTAAAAAGCCCATTAGGTCGTAAGTTTGGCCCATTTATGCTATATAACCACCAATAATAAATCCATCGCTCAGCTTTTTGATATTAGGGTTTATTTTGGCAAACTCGATTTCACCTAGCTTTCCTCTGAGCATCCGCCGCATCCGTCTACAGGTTCGTTCACTCCGTCGCTCTGATAATATCGTCGTTCTTGAGGCGCTTATTCTTCTCTTTTAAGATTATATGATTCTCATCCTGAACATGTTCGTAGAATCATTGCGTGATGTTTCTTGGAGTTAGAATTTCTTAGATTTCTACCTGTGGTTTTGTATATTGTTGTTCGTTCTTCATTTTTCAATTAACACGCTGCTCAATGATCGATCGTACTAGTATAAGATTTAGTTGAGTTAGAGAAACCACAAATCGAGAAAGATCTGTCGAGCTCAGGAACAATAGTTAATTACTTGTCCTTTTTTTTCCGGAATTCTCTTCTGTGTTGTGAGTTTTAAAGCTTTTTGGGTAATTTCAGATTGTTTTGAACATAATCATTGATTTTAGTGATTTGATCTGTAGAACAGTAATAATCATGTATTCTTTAGTTGTACAATTAGCCTTTTTAATACATTCATCTGCTTGTTTCATATTTCAATATGAGCTCTGGTTGGTATGAAGATGTTAACATTCCACATTTGTGTAAATGCAGAATGGATTCTCAGATCAAACACGCCGTGGTCGTTAAGGTCATGGGTAGGACTGGTTCTCGTGGTCAGGTCACTCAGGTTAGAGTCAAGTTCACTGATTCTGACCGTTACATCATGAGGAACGTGAAAGGACCGGTCAGAGAAGGAGATATCCTCACTCTCCTCGAGTCCGAGAGAGAAGCTAGAAGACTCCGTTGATTCCATATTCCAATTCTCTTTAAAAACTCTTCCCAACATTTACATTTTGATGGTTTCTTGTTTCTTGGCCTTGTAGTCAAGTTCTCTTCTTTTTGCTGCTCTTATTTTGTTAAGATAATGTTTGAATCTAGAAATTAATCTTTTATGACGTAATGAAAATGTGCCATTACTAATTTCAATCAGGTAAATCATTTAAATAGGGTTACAATTAGGATTTAGGAGTATGTATTTTGTTTATCATTTGTAAACCTCGATTCTTCTGCATTAGGATTGGTTGCAGTAGACATTCGGAACAAAAAAAAGTAGAAGTCGGGTTTAGCTATATAACCTCGAATAAATCAAGCTTTTCGAGATAAGATCGTTATGGACAATTTTATACCGTTGAAAAATACTCTATCGGACGAGTACTCATCTAGTTACAAAGAAAAAAGTAAATATGAGTCGTTACATTACTCTTTCTTATCTTACACAAATCTTTGAAAATGAAATTAATTAAAAAATGCTTTATTATATATTTATTGTTTTTGTTTGTCATTTACTCATTACCAATTTATACCATTTACGTGTTTGACCAATGTTCTTTTACCATTTATGTCTTAAATGTCTAGTAGTAATTGTTTTTATTTGTCATTTACTCATTACCAATTTATAACATTTATGTGTTTGACCAATGCTCTCTTACCATTTACGTCCAACTGCCTAATTTTTCAATTATTCATCCTTTTTCTAAAACACACAACAAATTCAAAATTTGAAGTTATGGAAATGGAAGCATCTAAAAGGACATGTTAAATAGAAATCAAAGCATCTCGGCTCAACGGTTTTTACCGTTAAAAACCCGCGTAAAATAATTTTACAAAACAACAATTTCAAATTTAAAATAGTGAAAAGTATCTAAAATGACATTAAATATAACGTTCATCGGATTAACTAATTAAACCGTTAAAAACCTGCGAAATAAATAAATTCTTACAAAACAAAAACTACAATTTCAAATTTGAAATAGTGCAAACTTCTAAAAAAGAGTAAGTATATGTAAGCTAAGAACAAAAAGAAGAAAAAACTTAAGCCATCGACTCAACAATTTTATACCATTAAAAACCCGCGAACATAAACATAGATTTGCGTGGATATTCATCTAGTAACAACATAGATAAAGTTTTTAGCAAAATTATTGGTCACATTTTGTAACAAGAAACGCTTTTAATGTATTACTCTCAACGGTTCAAATTTTTGTCAAACCCCTCAAACGAATCTTAATCACGTGTTTAACCCCTTTTTGAAGATAATTACCAATTTAACCCTCGCGCCGCGTTTCTGCTTCCATTCTTTCTTACCCAAATCATATCTCTCTGTCTCCCACACATCTCTTTATATATCTATTCACCAAGAAGATCTTCTTCTCCCATTTCTCCATTGACAACAACGAAGATACGTCCCAACGAGCTCAGAGAGCCACACCAATCCTCTTCTTCTTCTTCTTCTTCCTCCTGGTGCGTCTAATCTCGATCTCGTTTTCTAAACCTTAGCTTCTCCGTTTCGTTTCTTCGTCTTCTCATCTCGATGATGATGATCGAGATTGAGATTCTCTGATTCTCTATATCGTTATGTCATTTTTTCAATCTCTCAACATAAGAACCTGATTGTTTATCCTTAGGGCTTTGTTTGAGTTTCCTCTGATTTGAATTTTGATCGTGGTTTGATTATGTATCTGATCCGCCGTCGGTTTTGTTGTGATCTAATCATTTCGCGTTGTTTAGGTGAAATTCTAGGTTTATACAGTCTTTGTCTATATGCATTGTTGAGATCTGATTCACATGGTTGATTTTGATTTCAATCTGGAAATTGATTTGAATTCAAAGTCGAATATGAACTTTTAAGCTTTAGCTATTCTGATCCCTGTGAATTCTGGATGCTGTTTTGTTTACATAGATAGAGATGTGAGATAAGCTTTTGGAGGCTTTGCCTATTTTATGGTGTATACACTCATCATTTGTTCCTTTAGTTTGGGTTTTTGTTTTGGCTGCCTTAAGTTTTATAGGTTGTTCATAGTTAGGCTCATTCGTGTTCTTGAGCTGTACAATACTACACTTTTCAGGACAGATAGTTTGGTCACAGGATTGTGGAACTAGTATCAAATAGGAAGCATATCATTTGATCATTAAGAACCTTTAGTTTTCTTTTCAAGTTCAATTATTAATTAGCTTCCTTTGCTTGCTTCATTGATGAACCCTCGAGTCTGCTTTTGTTATTTGTTCATGATTTGTGTGTATTTTCGTTAAGTAATGTTGTATATCGTGCAGCATTTTTGGTTTGGTGGCGTTGAAACATCATCATGTCTAGCGCAGAGGATGTGAAAGAGCAATCAGTGCAAGGAAACCTCACCAATGAGGCAGAAAAGTCGATGCCATCATCACAGCAGGAGGTTTCCCTTTTAATTCTCACACTAGATACTTTTGATCAAATACCGTAATGAATATGATATTGTGACCTAACTCTTTCTTTAATTGCATTGTGTAGGAGGCTGCTGTAAAGAAGAAGTATGGAGGGCTCATGCCAAAGAAACCTCCTCTCATTTCCAAGGTAAGTATAGTATCTGGTCTAATAAGGAGATTTTGGGGTTTCACTTGGTTTTTCTGAGGTGTGGTTTTATATCAGGATCATGAGCGAGCATACTTTGACTCAGCTGATTGGGCTCTTGGAAAGGTAAAGTTTTAAACTTCTAGTCCCCCACGAGTGTTGTCTCTTTTGAGTTACCATATATAAGCTCTCTCTAATGGTTACACTATGATGGTGTTATCGTCTCAAACAGCAAGGTGTTGCGAAGCCAAAGGGACCCCTTGAAGCTCTTCGTCCCAAGTTACAGGTAAATGATCTTGAACCCTGTTTCAGCTGTGTTTTTTTTTTCTGCTGTTTATTTCCAATTTTAAGATCTTGTCCTTGTTTTGCAGCCAACGCAGCAGCAGACGCGTTACAGGAAGTCTCCATGTGCACCATCTGAGGGTGGTGAAGGTAAAATCTCGGCATCTTATCATCTCCATCTCAAAGCAATTTACAGACTTATTGATCCATCCTGTTGGCTCTGATATAATTACAGATGGAGGAGCTGCTCAGGCCGAGGGAGGTCCAGGCAACTGAGGCGTAGAGTGATGATGATGTATGAAAACTCTTGTGTAAGAAGTCTGTTATAATCGGATATTTTCTGTCCATTTGAAACATCAGATATGGCTTTCATTAAATCTTAACTTGATCGAGAAATGATAGTTTACCCCTTTTGGTCTGGAATCTCTGGTCATACCTGAATTTTATTTATAAGCAGCCTTTGGAATACCTAAAAATATCTGATATAGTATATTTTAGCTAATCTTTTTTTTTGTCTAACAACTCTATATTAAAAGATTGGCCAAATGAGCTAGTCCATTGGATTGGCTCATTTGAACCGAATTTTTAATATAAAGTTGTTGACAAAAAAACAAAAAATAGCTAATGTATATCTAATCTTTCATCAGATTGGCTAATATTTACATAGTTTATAAAGTTATCGTAACATTCTAATGGACAAATGATGGTTAACATGCGTTAACATTAAAGTCAGAGGGCCAAGTGGTAGACTCTTTCTCCATGCAAATGAAGAAATCTCCTATAAAATTAACAATGGTACACGTTATATTTTCTCTAATGTATATCATTGTTAATTTATTTACTTGGTAAATATCACTCTTGCCACCATCATCAGTTTAGTAATATTGCATTTGTTACTGTGTAGTAGAGTTTCACTAACAAATATATGTGTATATATACTCAAGTCACAGGAGATAAGGATGAACATGTTATTTTTGGATCATCTCAAAATTCTCAAACGAGTATATTTAACTACCATCTATAGATAGATTACCATGGTTCAGTTTGTTTTATTAATAGTTAAATTTTTTCTAAATAATTTTATAGTTTTAAAAATATTAAAAAACTAAATGTTTTTTAAGTTATGTTCAAAACCGTAAATATTGTTTTATTTTGATACAGAAAGAATATATTTATCGTTAATTAATCGATGCATACGACAACTATCCTTTTCAAATCAGTTTTTTTTTTTTTAATAATATTGAACTCTTTTAGTCGCCTATTACATCAATTTTGTCTGAATTACAAAAGTCTAAGACCTTTTTTTCCGCACAAAACAAAATCAAATTATTTTTCTGATAATCCGTATGCAGTGGAAAATTGTATGGTTGGATGAAACATATTCTTAATTAAAAGCATGCTAACCAATGCAACACATATACGTTCGCAGATATATATATATATTTTAAAAAAAACAAGTTAGATTTAAAATTTTATATATTGGTCAAAATATATCAAATCCAAAATATTAGTAGATACACAATCGTGTGAATTCACTGAAACTTCAAACAGATAACATCAAAAAAGCGAAAAATCCGGAAGATAAGTAAGATTTTGTGACATAAGGAAGTCGAAGAACTTAAACCGGAGATACTTCCAAAACGATCCCACTAATTGCCGGATTCAGCAGTCTGTTATCGACTCTTCTTATTATGACTTTGCTCAAAGTCAGCTTCCAAAACATTATCAATTTCGATCTCTATTAATTCTTATTGTATTTATTTATCTCTTAAATCCACAAGCCCTAATTAGTCTTCTCTGGAATATACATACATCACGGACGGATATGAGACGTTTAGTCGTTTACAAGATAATTATACTGCGGAATACACTTTTCGAAGAGATATATAAACATCAACGTTCATTATGTACGTACATATAACATATAGTCACGAATTTGTAAGAAAAATATGAAAACGATATTCACCAAAAAAGATAATTGTATAAGAATTAAACAACAATATAATAGCTTGGTTCGCTTCGAGATAAACACTATAAGGGAATAGCTTGTACTTTTTGATTATTTCTTAACCAAACGATGCACTTGATGTAAAAACGTTTTTTTCGAATAAATTTTACATTTTATTCAAAAAAAAAAAAACAATATAATAGAAAAGTGGTACAATTTCATTTGTCGAACAGAGTGTGAGGGTCCTACTACTTGCCATAGAGATTTCGGACAATATACTTTTTTCTTATTTTTTGAGCAAAAGATTTCGGACGATAAACAAGCAAAGGAATCCGAGAACAAGCGTCAAAGCCTAGAATACAGTGGTACATTTACATGCCAAACTCTGAAAATATTTCTTTCTGCGTTTGCATTTAAAATTTGAATATGAACTTACAGTATTTTAATACATGTAAACGCAAATGCTAAACAATCCTTGTTTGACACAGTCATAATCATAATCTCAATCTCATTTCATTGGTTGAAGAACTAATATAATAAAATCAGATAAATTGAGCTTTTGACAAAAAAAAATCGTTATTTATAGAGGAGTAGATAAATAAAGCTCATAATATCCTTAAGGAAAGATGATCGTCTAGATCTTATCTTATAAAGTCAATGGTCATAATTTGAGGAATAGAACAATAATATTATATGAGTCTGATACAACAAATATAAGTTTCATCTATATATCTCAATTATGGTTTTTTCGTGTAATGTACATATATTTGAAGTAGTAATTATAGTCTTTGGAGATAATGTGTTTTGTTTCCAAGTTAGGTTTTTGAAATAGTACAAGGTATTATCGCTTGGCACAAGTCGTTAGAAGAACAATATAATGTCTCTACAAGCTAGGGACCTTGGTTTGTATAGAAACTTCTTAAATGATTTGCGCGTCCCTTTCCTTTAACCGTTAATTAATTTTGTATGCTTTACGTTATTTATGAGTCTTTCTTTTGATCATTGCACAATCAATAACACATATTGAAAAACTGTTGTCTGATATAACTAATTAAGGTTCATGGCTTTCTATTGTTTCCAAACTATTATGTTCAGATATCAAATATATATCTAATACGTGAATCTCATGGAAAAACTTTGAATACATTAGCAATTTTAGTTTATGAAGGATCTTTTCCTTGTTTTTAAACGTGTTTTTTTTTCCATATTTAATTAAAAACTATATTCGCCGAGAAAAAATTAGTAGTTAGGTCAAAACATAATTAACCTGATCTTCTTCTTTTTTTACCAGAAGAATCTCGAACCAAATTCAGAGTAATTTTCAAATTTGCTACCAATCATGATTCCAATCGCAATGTATAATCGAATCAAATTAAAAGCGTTACTTCATTTACTGCCAGTAGTTTATAGTGAGATATTATAAACATTTGGATATTTTCATATTAAAATCCACTTGGCAGACTTTTGCACTAAGTAATAAGAAATATTCGTTTTTCGTTCTAATCCTCTAATTGTGAGATCTACCTACCAAAAATTGGATGTATACTAATTTTCCAATAGTAAAACAGTAATCCACATTTTTATTTATATATTTGCTATACATTAGTTAGGCTTGAACCAAAATTCAAAACTCCTATACGTAAACGATATTTCCATCATTCGCTACATATTCAATCAATTTCACAGAAACTATCAAAACGAACAAATCCAAAAGAAAATGCTTTTAAAGTCAACGAGTCGACCAGCTCACAACGCACTGACCAACACCACGCGCTTTTGAATCTCTCACAAACGACGTCGTTTTATGTATCCCCCAGTACCCCACAACCACTGAAGCCGATTTCGTTGACTCACACGTCATTCTTTGACTTCTCAATCTCCTCTATAAAATAGTACTCTATAACGAACTATCTCTACTCACCACTAAAACTTAAATACACACTTCATCTTCTCTAAAACCCTAAAATATAACACACAAGATGGGTTTGGTTAGATCATTGTGCTTATTCATAACCTTCCTTAGTTGTCTCATCATCTCAGTTCATGGCCAAGCTACCGCAAGGCCGGTTCCTGTTTCTGGCACAAGGATCGGGTTTTACTTGACCACGTGTCCTAACGTTGAAACCATCGTCCGAAATGCCGTGAATGCTGGTTTCAGTTCCGACCCCAGAATTGCACCCGGAATACTGAGAATGCATTTCCACGACTGTTTTGTCCAAGGTTGTGACGGTTCGATCCTTATATCGGGAGCTAACACCGAGAGAACAGCCGGTCCGAACCTCAATCTCCGAGGGTTTGAAGTCATCGACAACGCCAAAACGCAGCTCGAAGCCGCCTGTCCAGGAGTTGTCTCTTGTGCTGATATTTTAGCCTTAGCCGCTCGTGACACAGTCATTCTCGTAAGCCATAATTATTTATAAACGTTATACGCAAATATATGCATTATCATTACTTTTATAATTTTATATGTAAATAACGTTATTGTGCATGCAGACGCAAGGAACAGGATGGCAAGTACCAACGGGACGTAGAGATGGCCGAGTTTCTTTGGCTTCGAATGCTAACAATCTCCCCGGTCCACGTGACTCCGTTGCCGTTCAACAACAGAAATTCTCCGCTTTAGGACTCAATACTCGTGATCTCGTCGTCCTCGTCGGTCAGTAGTCTATATTTTACACAATTCAAGAACTATAAACCACCATTATTTCAAAAAATTAACGATAAAAAATCTTCATTTGTTCGTTGGACACTCGTTGAACACTTGATAACCGTCTAGTACCTAAACATCTTAAGCGCTAATCTTTCAAAAATATATTTGAAAATCGCAACGATTCTCCATTTTTTGCCCGCCAAAAATTTCCGTTGAAAAATATTAAAATAATTTTTTTGTTTATCAATTTTCAATATTTGAATAATAGCAACAAATACTAACTCAATTACAATTTAAACAGGAGGACACACGATCGGAACAGCAGGATGTGGTGTATTCAGGAACAGGCTATTCAATACCACCGGACAACCCGCAGATCCAACCATCGACCCAACATTTTTGGGGCAGCTTCAAACACAATGTCCCCAAAACGGCGACGCTTCAGTGCGCGTTGATCTCGACACTGGAAGCGGAACCACTTGGGACACTTCATACTACAACAACCTAAGCCGTGGCCGTGGAGTTCTCCAATCCGATCAAGTCCTTTGGACGGATCCAGCCACTAGACCCATAGTGCAACAATTGATGGCTCCTAGAAGCACCTTCAACGTTGAGTTTGCGAGGTCAATGGTCAGGATGAGTAATATCGGTGTGGTTACTGGGGCTAATGGGGAAATCCGTAGGGTTTGCTCTGCGGTTAATTAATTAACCGATTAAAATCCGTTTCATGGCCCTAAGTACTTGTTTCGAGTGTGATTTTAATTTCAACAATAAATAAACCAATAGAAAACGACATACATGAAAAAAACCCAAAAGTGGGTTGATGAAAATTGTATCTATAAGGTGTTGGTATTCGATTTCTTTTGGTTTTAATTAATAAAATGTAATGTCTTCCCAAAAATAGTATAATGAGTTTGGTCATACTTTGGATTCTAATTTACAACCTATGTTAACACATAATTTAATTCCGAATATCATACCCATGCACCATAACTAATGATTTAAAACGATATTAAAAATCGAAAAAAAAAATGAATTGAAAACGGGCGAATCTTTTGATATTCTCAGAATCTCAAGTATCAAGGATCAAGGTTCAAGGACGTTCAAATAGTCTTGCCTGCAATAATTTGCAAAACATGTTAGTCAACCTGTACACGATCTCTCTAATTTTGATATCCCTCTTATTAGTTGCATTGTGAAAATTCTTTGGTCTAACTGCCTAAGTATGCATGTATTTGCTTGTGTATATAAATTACATCTGTTGAATCTTATGTTAAACGCCCGGAAGTATACGTGTGTGAATTATAAACGAATAAAAAAAGGAGAATAAAATTTTTTGCTTTTCTTTTCTGACAAATATTTAATTTAATTTGTGGATTTACTAACTAAATAGTAATACTAAAATGGAATAGTTCAAATAAGAAAAAGCACAGTACCGAGATCTTAAATGATATGTAATCAGGCAAAGCTTATCTTCATCTTGTCCCTGTCATTTTTTTCCCATGCAAATGCATGAGTCAATAAACTTTGGCAATCCTATATAAGCTATTATAGTTAGTATGGTGTACGCGTGACTAAGTTTGATTTTTTCTATATTAAGTGAATGTATTAGCTGTATTGATTTAGACCGAGCAAAGAAATCTTTTCACACCTTTAAAGAACTAACTTATTGTAGTTTTTGAATTGATGCCTTGTTCGCATTTTTTTTTTAATTCGAGTTGGATCAGAAACGGGATTATTATTAGATAAGATTCCAAAACAAAATGGTCGTCAGGTAAATCATCAAGTCGATTACTTTAATTATAATAAATAATTAAATATATACCATCTATATATATATAGCGACTGAGATTATCCATAACATTTTTTTTTTCATAGGTACGAGTATGATATCAATTTTCCACCCGTATAAATAATAAACTTTTTAAAATATCAAAACGTTGTTCCGTATGTATTTATCAAAATGAAATAATAAAAAGTTATTTGGTCAAAATGTCCAATGGAAAATAATTAATCTGATATTTGTTTTGATCTGACTAGATAAAACATGATCGGATTCTATAAACACTGTGGTATTGGCCATTGGGTCAAGAGTATAGAATTTATTCTCCTGAAATTATTTAGGGCTGTAAATTCTATATGTTAAGTATAGATTTTAGTCCAATATAACGTGATAAAAAGAAAATGAACAAAAAACCTGTAAGATGGCGTGGCTCACGCGTTTTACCAATATATTGATTCAAAGCTAAAAACTCCGAAACATTTTGAGTAGAAGAGAACATCCGTGTAAAAGGTCTATTATTTCAACGATTCCATTTATTTATATCGTTTTCAATTGTACTCCAATCATTTTAGAAAAAAATAGAAATTAAAGAGACAATCCAATTTGAGTCATTGACCATCGAATATCTCTACCACCACTAAAAACATTGTTTTCTGATATTTGATTATCTGTATTTTAAACATTATGGAAAACAATAAAAAAAATAATGGAAAACTAAAGAAGTTTTGTTACTCTTCTGGTCTTCGTAAACTTGCACGTTATGCAAGTTATTTTGAGTCTTTAATTTTCAACGTGTGTTTTTTTTTTTTTTTGGTTAAAATTTCTTGCTTTTTGGTTTTTATAGATTTTTTTGAAAAGGAAATTACAATAATCAACCGGTTAAGGCATAAGAGAAAGACTGAACCGGTTTAACCGGGTTACCAAATTCAACAAACTGAAATGAAGTATTTTCAACGTGTGTTACATTAAAGATTGATTGATTTGATTGGTGTACATGGTTTTTTTAACCAAAATCCAAACTACAAAATGTATACTCCGAGACAAAATTTGCTGACTTTTTGTGTCAGAAGATAAACAATTGAAAGTTGGGGTTTTGTGTCAGACGATCAAAAAACTAAAAAACTTCACTGTATTTAACTCAAACTTCTTTTTTTTTTATCAAAAAAAAAAACCTCAAACTTCTTTTCTGTTTATTGTCGTGTACCGTCTATATCCAAATGTACCGCCTAAGGGTAAGTTCTCGTTAATGATTGTGTGTTGAAAAAATAATATTAATGATTGCATAAGTGATTTAACAATTGATGTTGAAGACAGTCCTCGTGCCTTCGTACAAAGAAAAACGCGTGAAAAATAACAAGAAGTACTTCAAAAAAGAAGGATAATAACAATACGTGATTTTTACGTAATTACCAGAGAAAATGGCCGACAATCCGTCTTATCCATATATAGTATTCCTTTTTCCAGTTGTTTTTGTGAGGAATTATATCATATTAGTTACAAAATTTTAAAGATATATAAGAAATACAAAATTTAGGAAATCGTATAAGAAAATAGGTGTCAAATTTTGATGCTAAATAATTTAGTTATGGACGGACAGTATATATGTAAAGTGTAAACGTTAGTTTTTAATTTTTCAAACTTTCTAGTCCCGTGACATCAATTTTTTTGCCTACTTGATCGACTAGTTGCAGTATATATAAATAGTTAAATACATCCAACTTTAATTTATTAATCTCTTTTTATATATCTTTTGTCAACACTTTAATGATACTATATGATATATCCCTGTTTCTTCTTCTTCTTCTTTTTTTTTTTTGTTTCTGTCAAACCCAAATCCATATCTATAGGATACACATATAATCAGTTTTCGTGATGTAGACAAACATTCGCAAACAAACCCAAGTTGAAAAAAGCAATATTTAATATGGTTGTCCGACTCGTCAAAATATTATTATTCCTATGCGTTGCGTGCATATTATTAACTAAGCAATGCAATGCAATGCAATGATTATAATTAAATATAATCCCATAATAGTTTTTAGGGCAAATCCATTAATCTTGAATGGACGATTAAAAGAGAGAGAACAAATCACAAATCTACTTATAGGTAGTTAGGCACATACTGACATACATGGACCATATTTCATATGCTAAATTACAATATCAACAAAATAAAAATAAAGATTAAACACAACGTAGCTCCAATTTAATGAGTAGCCCGGCATTGCTTACTCATTAACTCTACAAATATTTTATTCTTTTCCACTATAAATATACACACACAACCTCAAACTGTTAAACACAACAAATCAAAGTAATAATAATCTGAATTATATTTACATATATGCACCCTTTGGTTAAAAACTAAGAAGAAACCAAAATGGGAAGTTCTACTAATTTTAATCCTTGCTACGTTCTCTTACCGTTTTTCCTTGTCCTAGCCGCGAATGCAACACATACAAACTTTTTCCTACCAAGGCCACGGACCGGGTATTACGGTAGTGCATGCTGGAATGTAGAATCGATAGTGCGGTCCGTGGTCGAGTCTAACTATCTTGCTAATCCAGCTAATGCTCCGGGCATTTTGCGTATGCACTTTCACGATTGTTTCGTCCAAGGCTGTGACGCCTCCGTTCTCCTAGCCGGACCTAACTCCGAGAGAACGGCGATTCCAAATCTATCGTTGAGAGGGTTTAATGTCATCGAAGAAGCTAAGACGCAGCTTGAGATCGCTTGTCCTCGAACTGTCTCTTGTGCTGATATTCTCGCACTCGCTGCACGCGACTTCGTCCATTTGGTATAACTTACTTTTATAATTTTATTTATATACATAAGTCTATCGTGCGTCTTGGTTTTTAACGTCACATGCATATATGTTTTATCTATTGATCGTGATTAAGTGAAAGTTTTATATGTATGTATATAGGCCGGTGGACCATGGTGGCCAGTTCCATTGGGGCGACTCGATGGCCGGGTTTCGCTAGCCTCGAATGTCATTTTGCCGGGACCTACCGACTCCGTTGCCGTACAGAAGCTGAGGTTCGCCGAAAAAAATCTTAATACCCAAGATCTCGTTGTCCTTGCTGGTACGTTGTAGATTTTAGGCCTCGATCGCTTGTGTTAAACATTGTTTTTACGATTTTGGTTTGCATGTGAAAATTCCACTTTTTAAAATATGTCTGCAAAATACATACGTAAACACCAAACAAATCGTTTACGTTTACATTAACAACTAAATTTTGGAGTAAATTTCTATAATTTTGGTTTTAAGATATTTTAAATATATGTAAACGTAAATAAACAATCGAAGCTGTAGAGTGCAATTTTATAGAGTTTCGATATATATATAACTGAATATATACATGAAAGTACAAAGTCTTTTTTAATTTCTTGGAGGGCAAAAACTGAATACTAAGTCTATGACATTAAATTTATGTGTATTTAAAATTTGGACAAAACCTTCAAATGATTTAACCAGTATATATATACTGTGTGTATTAATTATATTTATAATAGCTTGGTATACATTTTACATTATCTCACAATTTATTGCATCCTACGTTAGCTTAGCATTCAAAGGAGATAATAAATACTTTCTGTATATTACAAATTACATATTTTGAAATTGTCTCGAGATACCTTCTAACTCACACAGAGGGCTTGGTATATAACAGCTGGACACACGATAGGAACGGCCGGGTGTGTTGTGTTTAGGGACAGGTTCTTCAACTACGACAACACAGGAAGTCCGGACCCAACCATCGCCCCGAGTTTCGTCCCTCAGATCCAAGCTCAATGTCCTCTGAACGGTGACCCCGCGACTCGTGTAGTGCTGGACACGGGAAGTGGAGACCAATTCGATACGTCGTACCTTAACAACTTAAGGAACGGTCGAGGTCTCCTCGAGTCTGATCAGGTCCTATGGACTAACCCCGAGACCCGACCCATCGTGGAACGGCTTCTAGGACTACGATTTCCGTTTCTTATTTTCGGACTGGAGTTCGCGAGGTCCATGACCAAGATGAGTCAGATCGAGATCAAGATTGGTTTGGACGGGGAGATTCGTAGGGTTTGTTCTGCGGTTAACTGATTAAAATAAAATTAATTAACCATTATGATATGATATATAGTAATGAATAAAAATGGCGATTATAAAGTTCAATAGACTCTCCAGCTTTTAATATTAAACCAGTTTAACATTTTCTTTCAGTGTGATTATAAGTGGTTTAATTACTTCGACGTGAGTGTGAGAGAATACGTGTTTAAATCACACATAAGAAAAAATGTTATGTAATTGTAACAATAGAATAGTAACTTTTAGGTGAATATATTTACGCTAAATAACAACCAATTGAGTTAATAATATATAACATATTAACATCTAAATATGTACATTAGTTTTTCAACTTGAGGCAATGAAAGGTTTTATTTTATTTCTGAATGAAGAAGGCAATGAAAGTTAGAATGAAAGTTTAAAAAAAAAACAGAAAAAAAGGAAAAAAAAAAAAAAAGAAAAAAAAAAAAAAACAGAAAAAGGCAATGAAAGTTAGGATGATTCGTTTTCAAGATTAAGTTAAATTTCATAAAATAGTATATTTGGTGTCACAAGATTTTCGTCAATCTCCGGCAGAAAAACTGGGTGATGAATATCAATCTCCATCTCATATAATGTATATGTGCTCGGTGATGGGTCATGGGTGAAATCTGTCCTCTCTGTCTCTGAATTTTAAAAGATAACTGGACCAATATTAATTTAAATCATGCATGTGTCCTGTATAAAAGTTATCGTTCTTAATTTCTTATACCTGAAATATGAATTTTGGTTCCTTTATTTATCTTTTATCTATAACTTTAACTGTAAAGTGAAATTGAATATGACTTCTACAAAAACATATATAAAATACAATTAAGTGAAGTCAATAAAAGTTGGAACGATTCAGTTTGAATTCACTGTTCGAAATGAATCTAATCATTGGTGGAAAATGATTAAAAGGATAATAGTTAGGATAATTATATATCAGTGGTTGACTTTGACAATAGAGAAAAAGGCAAGTCAATGATATTATGCCTTCGAAGTTGTCTCTTGGTGGTTTCATTAAACAAGACATCCTCAGTCAAATTTATATGCTCTCTCTCTTTTTTTTCCACCGACTAGCTAGTAGCTTATCTCTTTACCATGATACAGCTTTTATATTCAAAGAAATTTCTATTTTATAAAGAAAAAAGTATACGGTTTCCATAAGTTTGTAATACTTTTTTATTATCGTCTGAAATGATAACTTCTCTGCAGCACACTTTTAAAGTCGAATTCATTTCACAAAAAGAAAATTCCACAACAATTACACAAATTTTCTCTATAGCTACCTGACATTTTGTGATTTTTAAAAATATATAATGATAAATTGTGCTTAAATTAACATTAATATAACCCTATTTCAGCTATTTTTAAGAATCAACTAAAATAAATCATATTGATTTTTTTTTGGTAAATACTCTTACTCTCAATATTTTGTGGGCAGTAGAATAGTTTATTGACCAAGTCTATAAAATCATTATCTTGCTCCCCAAGTTTGATTTTCCTTTGACAAAGTATATATGCATAATCGTTATCGTATAGTCGACTTTTTTTTAATTACATTCATAAAATCAACAATTAGATTCACAAATATTAACTGTAGAGTATATATTTTTAAATGAATGAATACAACTTCAAGCTAAAAGAGAATGAATAAATGTTCAAGTTGTGATTTAACGGTCACACACGTTTTTTCGTCATCAGAAAATTACACATATGCATGCCAGCTGTGAGTAACTCGTTAATTACTTAAATTTAGGGAAGTGAATAAACTAACTACTACAGCCATCACTATCCATATATTCTCTTTGTTTTGTACCTTCCCCATGCAGAAATCTACTATTATTGGCCAATGGTTCAAAATTTTCATGGCGGTGAATACTTTAATTTTATTAATTCTTCATAGTATTAATAGCTAATCCAAAAGAATAGAGAAACAAATAATACCATTATAGTAGTCGATTTGATCATTTTAAAAAAAGTCAACTGTGCCCGTTACATTTTTCATTACCCCTAACGTTCTGACCAAAACTTTGTAATCTATATTATCGCCACGTAATTCATCGATCTAATCTATGAAGCAATATTTGACCCTAATAAAACATCACTATTGTAGTATTGTGGTACCAACTGGTATCGGAGATTTTATTTTCTAAGCCAATTGATTAATCACAGTTTAGTGCTTCTTGAATAGATTTGATCATTTTTTCACAATTTATCGTTCATTTTTTCCAACACGTATCAATACTGTAAAGTGTAAACCCATTGATCAACTACAAATTTCACCAATTAGCCGAATTTTTTGTTTAAAGAGTGTTAAGATGCTTTCGTTTATACCATTCATCCCATATTAGTTTCATATTGTTTTTTCAACCGAAACTATTGATCCAAATGATTATAGCTATAGGTACGATTTGAACAAACTTTGATTCTCTTACCAATCATCTACAACTTAAAACCAAGATAGCTTCGCTCAAAATGAAAAAATAATGAAAATATGTATAATACATACATATATGTTCAATGGACCGACTCGTCTACACCGTTATGAAAACTAATTATATATTATATTGATGATTACCAAATCAGCTTATAAAATTCCCATAATTCTGCGTCGTGTGCCGAAGTTGCTCGTTACATTGTTATTCCCACGACTTTTTTTGCCTATATATACAAACCCTTTAACACCAAACTCAAATCACACAACAAACAATAACTTATACAAAGCTCAAAGAGTTTCTTATTTACTAAAAAGAAAAATGAGTCGTGGTTATAATTTGCTATTCGTTCTAGTAACGTTTTTAGTCTTGGTTGCAGCTGTAACCGCACAAGGGAACCGTGGCTCAAACAACGGTGGTGGTCGAAGACCACGATTTGGGTTTTATGGGAATAGATGCCGAAACGTAGAGTCTATTGTGAAATCTGTGGTTGAGTCTCATGTCCGGTCTATCCCGGCAAATGCACCTGGAATCTTGCGTATGCATTTCCACGATTGCTTTGTCCGTGGCTGTGATGGCTCGGTTCTCCTCGCTGGTAACACCTCAGAGAGAACCGCAGTTCCAAACCGTTCATTGAGAGGGTTCGAAGTTATTGAAGAGGCTAAGACTCGGCTTGAGAAGGCTTGTCCTCGAACCGTTTCTTGTGCTGATATTCTCACCCTTGCTGCTCGAGACGCCGTCGTTTTGGTAATATACTGAAATTATTACACGCACTATATCATAATTCGGTTTCTTATCCGTGTCACATGATTAAAATATATAGTATGGTCTCGTGTTTAACGGTAATTTAATATTGGTTTATGCAGACCGGTGGACAACGCTGGGAAGTGCCATTGGGACGTCTCGACGGCCGAATCTCGCAAGCCTCAGACGTGAACTTGCCCGGACCAAGCGACTCAGTCGCTAAGCAGAAGCAAGACTTCGCTGCTAAAACTCTTAACACATTAGACCTCGTAACTCTTGTTGGTACGTTGTCATTGCATATGGTTTAAATGTAACACTCATTCTTAGCAAAAAAAAAATGTAACACTTAAGAATTATTCAAAAAAATAATTAGCTCGTATATATACTATATATACTACTAGCTAATTACTAAGTGAGTTTTGGTTTTGACCAGGCGGACACACAATAGGAACTGCTGGCTGCGGTCTAGTAAGGGGAAGGTTCTTTAACTTCAACGGCACAGGACAACCCGACCCATCAATCGACCCGAGTTTTGTGCCGCTGATTCAGGCTCAGTGCCCTCAAAATGGAGGCACCCGAGTCGAGTTAGACGAGGGAAGTGTTGGCAGGTTTGACACATCGTTCCTAAGGAAGGTGACGTCAAGTCGCGTGGTTCTTCAATCCGATCTAGTCCTATGGAGGGATCCCGAGACCCGAGTCATCATTGAACGGTTATTAGGTTTACGCCGACCATCCTTGAGGTTCGGAGCCGAGTTCGGGAAGTCGATGATCAAGATGAGTCTCATAGAAGTTAAGACTGGATTAGCTGATGGGGAGATTCGTAGGGTTTGCTCTGCGATCAATTAAGAATTAAAAAAACACAAATGTGTGCTTTGTTTTTAATTTATGATGAATTTTATAAGTAATAATCATTTGTTTTTATAATAAGCTTGCTACAGCATTTTGTGGTCGATGGTTACGTTTTGATTTTTCAAGTGTATAAGATTGTACTTGTAAAAAAAAAAGATGTATTATATAAAAGTGTTATTTGTTTCTTCACTCGTGTACGGAAGGTATTTAAATGAACGAATTCTCAAGGAAGAAAAGTGTTGAATATGTTTGATTAATGGGAAGCTTATCTATTCTGCATCAGTAATGATTAGCAAATTCATAAATTAACTAATCACTAGTTTAGATATACTTGATTCAAAATATCGGAATGATATTTAATTATCTGAAAAGATTAAATATATATATTATGTTGTTGGGTCAATTCATGGATTAGAGAAGTTAGGACCTCTAGTGGATTCCAGCGAAGTTACAATCGCTAATCATTATCCTAAGTTTGTTTTTATCGAAACTGCCTAATTAGAAAATGACTTTTTTTTTCTTTCTTTTTGGGTCACAAAGAACAAGCAAGAATTTTCTAAGTAGGCTTTTTTCTTTCTAATAAAATCATTATGTAGTCACAATGATGTTTTAACTTCTACTAATACAAGATTTGGATGATTGATTTCTGAATTGCGGTTACGCTGTCATATTCAATGCAACATCCGCACTTAAAAAATCGAAAGAAATCACTTATGAGCTATCCAATGTGTGTGAATTGATTCATAGAAAATGTGGACTATCAACAACAGAGCCGTGCCAAGAGTTTTTAAGTACATAGGCGAAATAAAAGTTTAATATTTTATATAATATCATATAAAATTTTTGTTTAGTGCTTAAATATTTGTATAATGAATACAAACAGAATTATAAGTAACTGCATGATCAATTGTTAACAGTACAAATAAAACGATAAATTATTTTGTGATTGATAAAAATATATATAAACGAAATATAAAATGAGATATTCAATATAGAAATATATATTTTCAGATTTTAAACATGTATACACATAACTAGCTTTGATAAAAATTGATTAAAAAAGAAGTTGGTAAAGACACAAAGAGAAGAATTAATGTAGTGGGCAAAGAAACAAGCTCATGAGAAAAAACAAACATAAACTGATCTTAATCTATATATAATAGCAATCTAATAAATACTATTTGCACATCTGAACGGTTGCGTCTTTTTATCGCAACTTTTCGTTAATGTTTTTATTAATTAAAATATATATTATACGGTTATGTTTTTTTTTTATAAATTGCATTCTGAATGTTTTCTACGATTGCGTTTTTTATTGTAACTCTTCATAAACAGTTGAAACCGCTTATTCGAATCATTGCAATATTTAGTTTATTTTACGAACAATTGCAACCTTTGGTTTATATATTTAGTTTATTTCACGAAAAATTGCAATTTTTGGTTTATTTTATAAATAGCTATAACATTTAATTATCTACCGCCGCGTCTCTCGGTGTAACTTTTCATAAATTATTATTTTAATTCTTAATTTTTAATTACTAAAATGTATTTAAACGAGACTGTAACTATTTAATTGAACTGTTTCAACATTTGGATTATTTGACGAATTATTGCAACTTTTGGTTTTGTGTTACGAACCATTGTTATCTTTAGTATATTTGATGAATTATTGCAACATTTGGTATAATTGACGAACCGTTGCTGTTTTTGGAATATTTGATATCTACGGTTGCGTTTCTCGGATAAGTTCGTCATATTTTTAAAAAAATTTAAATACTAAAATATATTTAAATGAATTGTTGTTACCATTTAATTTAACACAATAGCATTTGGTTTATTTAACGTTGAACGTTTTGGCTTATTTATCAAACCATTGTAATATTTGGTTTATTAGTTTATGCTTTTTGCACTTGGGAATAGTTTTTTAGTTACAAATTATTGTTTTTCTAATATTAATATACTTAGTAAATACTTGTGAGAGTTTTCTTTATCATAATTTTTGTAAAATATATATTGATTTGTTATTAAAAAAATTCAAAATTATTACAATTCATTATGATTTTTTCGTTTGATATTTTTTTAAATGATTTTTGAAATATATTCCCCCGCGACATCGCGGGGGTCCTGAGTCCTAGTTTTAAAAAGAAAAATGGCTTAATTTTGAGTTAATGATGGGCTTTTAAGGTCAAGAACCAAAAAATCGTAACAAACATCTTACATATAAACAACATAACATTAAATATGTAATAAATATGCCCCTGTAAATTTTATGAAAAATTGTATGCCGTAGGCGAGTGTTTCTATTTCTACCAAATAGGCACGGCTCTGATCAACAATAAAACCAAGAATATGCACATCGAAGTGTTTTGGAAGATATTAGGTCGATGAGGAATGATGTTTACGTGTCTTCGGTTCGCTTTTGTTGCAAAATAGGCCATTGTGCTGATAAGTTAGTCAAAAGAGAGGTCAACATGATCATAAATTGACGAATGATTGTAATTTCCTTCCAAAACTCTTTAGCTTCAAACATAAATCATGATGTACTACAAATTATGCATGGCCAAACAAATGAAAACATTGGGCTTTTAGGGCTTCCTTAGTTATTGGCCTTTTCTCGATTTGGGCTCCTTTTTGTTTTGTTTTTGTGCAGTTTTGGTATTACACAGATTTGGCAGACAAAGACAAATCAAGACACAATGGATTAGGTAACGATTTGGAGAAACGTAAACAAGATTGTTTTGATACAAACAATCTCAAATGCAAAACAACTAGGAATGCGGTAAGAAAAAAGAACATTTTACCTCCAAATTCTATCAAATATACAAAAGGTATTTTTTCTTGTTACTAACTGAAAAGGAACAGTGTATTCATAGTTACTAAGATTTATATATAACTCATTGCGACGAACACAAGAATAAAAGAATACAAGACTATTGCCACAACCGCAAATTAAGATTATACAAGTACAACAGAAACAAAGATCATCCACTACCGCAAATTACCTGCATTTTCTCACAAACTTCTCTAAGTCAAACCAAATTAATCCTCAAGTCTTCAAGCATCACAACAATGTAAAACCACAGCAAATATTCTACATCAATCTGCAAATTTTTCTCACATGTTTCAAATTCAACTATACATGATAACCTACACAAACCAAAACAATTTCAGATTAACAGAAACACTACACTCACTTTGACGCCAGAAGAATCTCTGGTTTTTTCGCCTTGCTTGGAGTGTTAACATTCGAGGAGCCATTAACAGTCTCTGCAGCTACGGTCTTTGCCGTGGTTCGTGCGCTTGTATCGAGGTTAACCAAACTCCGTGTAGCTAAAATCGCCTGTGGATACAGATCATGAGAGGCTCTTGCGTACAATGATCTTACTGCATTAGAAGCTGCATCTTTAACATCTTCAGTGTTCAATGGACTAAGCAAGCAATGACCTAGAATCCGTAGTGTAGGTTGAAACAGTTCCCATGGAAGTGGAATCCTCACGCCTCCTACGAGGCCGCCATTAGAGCTAAGTTGTTCTCCGTTCTCTCTGATTGCTAATCTATCAAAATCCTCTTCGATCTCAAGACTACGTCCACTACTGCCATTGAAAGAGGAGGAATCTCCAAAACCATTAGTTAGTGCTAATACTTTGTCTTCGTCTCCATCAATCTTTTCCTTGCAATCGCAGTCTTGACCAGCCCAACCAGCAGCGAATTTACAGAATTCAAGCTTAGACCAGGCCGGCATTTGTGAGATCTCCTTGAAATAGCATTGTAGTCCTACGCCAACGATGCTGGCTCGTTTAGTTGACTTAACCGCGATCTGAGGCTCAAGCTGCGGAGACAAGACTCCAACGGAGGCGGTGGGATTGGAATCACGCGATTTGTCAACGCCGTTTCTCGGTGTGTGGTAAAGAGATGGCTGAGAGAGATCTGGAATGTGTACGAGTATAGGTTTACCTGCGCGAGTTTTAACCTCCGCGGCGTAGATTGCGAGAAGCACAGCTTCGAATCCGGATAGAGAAGGAAGAGATGAAGAATCCGAGGAATGAATTCGAGAGAGGTACATTCCGACGAGTAATGGAAGGAACGAGAGGACGACGAGACGAAGCGGTGGATCAGATGAGAGGTAAGTTTCGTATAGCCATTGACAAAGAGGATCAGATCCAGAACCAGAAGCTGGATTGCAAAGAGAATTCGAGATCAAAGAGTAAGCAGCGCGAGAAGAAAGTAACGATAACGCCGGCCGATCGGAGTCTGCAAGAGAGGAGATCGGAGTTACGTCACCGTCTTCAAAGTGAGAATCGCCGGAGAGGAGAGACGAGAGAGAGAGAATGCGAGAGCGTTGCTTGGAGACTGATTCCCACCAGGAATGCATCGGATCTCGATCGGCGGTGGATGAGATTCCTGAGACTGCGGCGGCAGTAGCGGTTGGTGTGGTGGCGGATTTGAAACGGTGAGGAGTAGAGGAAGAGGTGGAGGAAGACGGAGAAGGTGAGCCGCCGGGAGGTTTGACGGAGAAGTCCATTGGAATTGAGTCTGACTTGAGTTGAGAAAGGGAAGTTTTCGCTGGATTTTAGGAACACCGATAAAGAAGCAAGATTGAAATTATTTGTTTCTTTGAAGCTGAGGACCGATTCAGACAAATTGTTTCTTTTGGGGCAATTCGGGAAGATAATAGAAGTTATGAGGTGGGTTTGTTATGTATTTCTTCAACTAGCCCACCATAAGGCCCATAGATGTCAAAGGAGTAGAGAACAATGAGCCCAGATTTAATGGGCTTGATTGGTTCACGGCCCAAATATTAGTTACCGTCGGTAGGTAGCTTTTTTGACGATCCGAATAGCTCCGATTCTGTGATCTCTTTACACGTCGACCAAATCACCAACCGGAATCTTTTTTATTTTTGGAAATAAGATTTGATGCTTTTATCATACAATGGAAAATCATCCCGAGTATAAATACAAATCCATGTGTGGAGCTAAAGAGTAAAGAGTAGGTTATATAACATATGTCTCTACTCTCTACCTTCCAAAATCATTTTAAAACAAAAGAAGAAGTAACTTACTTTTTCTTCTTCTAGGTAGGTGAATCGTGGAAGCTAAATATAGTACTCCCTCCGTATTTTAATAATTGTCGTTTTAGGATTTTCTTTTTTAAAAATTTAGATGTCGTTTTCAAATTTCAATACAAAATTTATTACTTTTAATGTTTTATGATGTCATAAAACATTAAAAAGTAAGAAATTTTGCATTGAAATTTGAAAACGACATCCAATTCAAAAAAATAAAAATTCTAAAACGACAATTATTAAAATACGGAGGGAGTACTCTTCTTCTTTTTTGTACGTATAATATTTATCTATTTACTTATGTACATTAAGCTATCAACATAATTAAATGCAATATTGACATGCTAAGTAGTATTGCATTCAGATGCAACCAGTTCAATGACTTAACTCGGTGGTTTAAAAAACGAATGGACTCATCACTCATGGTATCGATTCACAACCACATAGAAACTGAAAAGGCCAAACATCAATTAAAGAAGGGTTTGAAAACAAAACCTTTCCTTAAATGAGGTTTGTTATTTTCAAGAGAGTACAATAACAAACAATATAATTTACAATATTAATCATATAAGTCCAGAAATAAAAATTCAATTTTTTTCTCGATATTCTTTCTTAAGTAACCAACTTATTTACAGTAATTAGTTTAGATTTTTTGTTTGGAATCCCCTAATTGTCCGAAAGATCCCGCAAATTTCGCCTAAAAGGAAAGCGAATGAACAAAGAACTCGGAGGTGCATTTAATTTTTTTCTTAGTAGTGTATGAAAGCTAATAAATTTCCAAAATAATTTTTAAACAATAAAATAAATAAATGAGTAAAAAACTAAAAAAAGCAAGGAAAAAAGAAGGAAAGATGAAAGGGCAGGTCTGTTGGTGAAAGACCCCACGATCACGCATCCATATGGAAAATGCAAAGAGACACGTATACCTAAACGTCATCGTTTTTGCACATTACCCCAAAACCCCTAAACCGACCTACAAAATCCCTTCTTCTTCCTCTTCACTTTTCCTCACTTCCCACCATTAAAAACCTCTCTCTCTTTCTCTCAACTCTCTCCTCAGAAACCTCAAAAACTCAAAGTGAGAAGAAGAATCAAAATCCCACACAATGGCAACACTCTCTTCTTTCACCGCAACAACACCTCTCCTTCTCATCGTTCTTCTATCTCTATTCTCCGTCTCAGTTCACGGCGCATCTCACCACCACGCGGCGGCGCCGGCTCCGTCTGTAGACTGTTCGACTCTCATTCTCAACATGGCTGACTGTTTGTCCTTTGTTTCGAGCGGAGGCACGGTGGCGAAACCGGAAGGTACTTGTTGTTCTGGTCTTAAGACGGTGCTTAAAACTGACGCTGAGTGTCTCTGTGAAGCGTTTAAGAGCAGTGCTTCTCTTGGAGTTACTTTGAATATCACTAAGGCTTCTACTCTTCCCGCCGCATGCAAGCTTCACGCTCCTTCTATCGCTAATTGTGGATGTAAGATCTATTCATTTTTTAACTTGTTTGTTTCTTAGATCTCTTCCGATTTTGTAGATCTTAATCTTCGAGAGCGGTTTCTTAGATCCACATTTTTTTCTAATTATTTTCAGTTTATTTTGTGGATTTTCGGAACTTGTTGAGATTCTTTTTTGTTGTTGATTAAGTTACTTACAATGCTTTTTTTTTTGTTCTTACAGTGTCTGTTGCTCCAAGTACTGCTCCAGGTATTTTGTCTTTCTCCTTTGTTGATTTTTAGTTTTGTTTAATTTTACTCTTATGTTTTTGTCTCATGCAATGCTTTATTATGTTTTTAAATTCCCACTTGAAAACTATGAAATCAAAAATTGTCTAATGATTGATCATCTGAGTTCTCACTTAAAGTGAAAAATCATTTATCTAGAGTCTAGACTCTTAAACACCAAAATTATACTCGGAGTCTTTTAATTAATACGAGACATGACAATACTTTGAGTGGATGTGAAACCTTTTCATGAAAAAAGATTCCATCTTTGATCATTGAGATTCCTTATCTGTGATCTTTTGTTAAAATTTGCTTGATTGATTCAAATATCGGCTCCATATCAGTTATGTTATTTCGAGTTGAGATGTTTACGCGTTTGAAATTTCTTAATCTGGAACCAAATTTTTCAGGTCTTGCTCCAGGAGGAGCTGCTGCTGGACCTGAAACAGCCGGAGTTCTAGCTCCAAACCCATCTCCAGGGAATGATGGATCTTCTTTGATTCCGATCTCGATTACAACCGTATTCAGCGCCGTATTGTTCGTTTTGTTCTCCTCTAGAGTGTAAAAAAAACCTGAACCTTTTTTCACCAGCTAGATTTGGCTGTATGAAATTGGTTTAGGTTTTTATTAGAGTTAAATCTGTGTGTTTTGGAGTGTTCTGTTTTGAGACCATATCGGTTTCTCTATTACAGTAGCTTTTACTCTTTTAGTTTATGTTATTACTTTGTCGCACATTGGTCCTTTTGTTCGATCTATGGCTTATTCCTTCCTCTATGTTTTCTCTCTATCTCTCTCATGGTCCTAATTTTATTTAGAAGAATGTTGAATTGTGGGAGATGTAGTTATAAGAATTTATAGTCGTAAAAAACTTAGGCAGATCAAAATTATTACATACTTCTCACAGTTCACAATGCAAAAAAGAAAAATCCAAGAATTCCAAGTTAGACAATTCAAAATTTTTAAGACAAACATATTTACATATCCCTTTTTAGAAAAGTATGGTCCAATATTGCAATGACTAACTAGTAAAGCGTTATGTAGTTAAATTTCTTTTATAATCATTTAATTCTTTAATTTCGATTAGTCTTCTCTTAAAAAATATGTAATAAATTACGTTTAAGTTATATGATATCATTTTACTATATGAAATTTGGAAATTTTCTTAGAAAGATTTTGTGCACATTACTTTACTCTTCAGGGAAGAAGTATGATCAGTCTTTCTGGAATATAAAACGGTCCACATAGCACAAACTGTTTCCCACTAGTATTGATGTTAACATTGATAATTTCATTTCGTCATTGTCAGTAAGTCCCAAAAGAATTTCAAAAGTTTAATATACATTTTGTTACTGTGCAGTTTGACTATAGTAACAATTACAACTTGTTTTATCAAACGAGTACACAATTTCTTGATCTGAAAATGAAACGCATGTGTTAAAAGTTTCAAATGAAAAACTTGAAAAAGTGAAAAGTAAAAACATGGACGAAGAGATGAGGCGGATTGTATCATCCATGATCATAAGAAAATTAGAGACATGAAAGTGAAAGTCTTTGCAGATTTTGCCTCACGTAATATTTCTTCATTGAAGTTAAAAGTGCAGTTTTTATTAATTTTGATGAAGGAAAAACAAAATGTTACGTGACATCGTGAACGATAGATACTTTTTTTTTTCTCTCTCAGATTATTACTTCCGTTTTCTGCGTGTGATTAGCTAATTTAGTTTATCAGATTCAAAATTCAAAATTCAAAATTTCAATGTTAATTAATTTTGGGAAGAGAGTAGTACTAATAATACTATTTTGGAAAGAAAATAATGATTAATCAACTGTCGAGAAAAATTAATCAACTGTCCAAGTGTCCCGTTGTGGACAAATCACGTTTACTTCCCACGAAGGATTTTCAACTTTATGATCGCGTGGACTTTCCAGCGCACGTTAGATCTCTTCCCTCGCAAAAATATAAAAGTAAATAAATTAATTAAATAGTACGAATTACTAAAGACCAAAAATTAAATTTAATAATAAAAAAACTCAAAAAAGTTAAAATAATTTCAAAGTATTGCGAACAATAATTACTTTCCCCTCTCTCTCTGTCTGCCACCAACAGCCGAGGACGACGACCGTATCCACCACAAACCGCTTCCGGCTGAGACGACGGCGATCTACTCCGGCTGGCTCTGCTACTTGATTCTGCTCTGAATTTTATTAGATTTTATCAAGCAGACAATCTCGGATAGCAGGAAGAACGGGATTATCGTTTGATTAGCTCATCGCTTGCTTCTTTTCGTGAGATTTAGTTTTGGTTTCTGGAGAAATTTCCGATCGCCTTCGGTTTCCGGCGATTGGATTGAGTAGGATACGGAGGACTCTCTATTTTGCTGTGGTTTTCTCGCGATTAGGTTTGCTGGCGTGGGAAAGTTAAGCATTGTAAAGCCAAAATTTCGTCGATTGGGCATCGAGATTTTGAGCTTTTGGTGGTTATAGATAGGCTATTAGGTTTTTGAGTTAAGGTTTTACGTATTATCCTAGGGTTTAGTTATTGGGGAGAGAGAGGCTCCGTTTATCTGGTTTGTTGAAGAGTTTCCTGGATCTGTTGTCTCGACGGATGATTTGCTTCTGTGAGCTAGGGCTTTCTATGCTTCGCTGATCAGGATGCCGATGGGACGGTTTCTATCTCTGGTCCGAGGAGACTCGGCTGAGTCACCTCGTGAGATTACCTCACAGAGTAACATCATCGGCGATACTGGTTCTAATGGTTGGCTTATTAGGTTTTTCGATTCTGCTTTCTTCTGTGAGTGGATTGCTGTTAGTTATCTGTACAAGCACCCACATGCTGGTGTTAGGGACTACTTATGCAATAGGATGTATACGCTTCCCTTATCAGGTATTGAGAGTTATCTGTTCCAGATTTGCTACATGATGGTGCACAAACCAAGCCCATCTCTTGATAAGTTTGTAATAGACATCTGTGGAAAGTCACTGAAAATCGCACTGAAAGTGCATTGGTTTTTGTTGGCTGAGCTGGAGGATTCTGACGATAATGAAGGCATCAGCAGGATTCAAGAGAAGTGTCAAATTGCAGCTACTTTGATGGGTGAGTGGTCTCCTCTCATGCGTCCACAGAACGAGGTCTCAACCCCAGGGAGCAAGAATCAGGTCCTAAATAGACTTTTGTCATCAAAACAGAAGCTCTTCTCATTAAAGTTATCTCCTCCCACCCAGAAGTCTTTGTCATTCTCACCTTCGCCAGGGACCAACGTGCAGGATGATGGTAGTCAGTTACCTGCTGAGGATAATAAGATTTTTAAGAAACTTATCCCAAGTCCTAAAGTCAGAGATGCTTTAATGTTTAGAAAGTCAGTTGACAAAGATGATGAAGAGAGTGAAAAGGAAGGATTCTTCAAGAGGCTCTTGAGGGACAGCAAAGGTGAGGGTGATGAACCAATACCTAACTCAGAGGGTTTCTTTAAACGCCTTTTGAAAGACAATAAATCAGAAGATGAGGACATAACAAACAGTTCTGAGGGGTTCTTCAAGAGGCTCTTGAGTAGTAAAGGAGAAAGCGAGGAATTGACATCGAGTTCAGATGGGCTGTTTAAAAGGTTGTTACGAGATAATAAGGGAGATGAAGAGGAATTGGGTGCAAATCCAGACAGTTTCTTCAAGAGATTGTTACGGGAGAGTAAAACCGAGGACGAGGAGTCAAATCCAAACTCAGAAGGTTTTTTTAAGAAACTATTCCGTGACAGCAAACCTGAAGAAGATAAAGTTTCTAAAGAAGTGGATGATGAGGACAAAGATGGGTTCCTTAAGAAACTTTTCAGGGAAAAAAGTGATGACAAAAGACATGGTAATGAAAAGAATGAAACCAATGGAACAGTGTCTGCCGATAGGAAATCTGGTGAAGAGGATGAAAGGGAGGGGTTTTTCAAAAAATTCTTTAAGGAAAAATCTGATGACAAGAAAGACATTGTCAAGGTTGATGACGGGAATGAAAGTGAGGGTGATGAATCTCCAGAATTTTCTCTGTTCAAAAGATTATTCCGTATACATCCTGAAGATGCAAAACCTACTTCAGAAAATGAAAATAGCGGCAATGGCTTAGTTGAAAGCAGTCCTGGGACAGAAAACTTTTTCCGCAAGTTGTTCAGAGATCGTGACCAATCTGTTGAAGATTCTGAACTGTTTGGATCAAAGAAACACAAGGAGGTTTGTCCTCATTTGACTTGGTCTTTTGTTTTACTATCTTATTGCAGATACTGGTTGCATTTGCACTGTTTTGACATTCACTTTTCATTCGATCCACATCTTCAGATTCATTTTCAAGATTCTTGTAGGGTAGGATACAATCATATGTAATCCTTGTGAATTTTACTTGACACAAATGTTGGCTGAAACTGGGTGGTTGTTCGACTTCAGTTGATTATTTATCTATGCCCAACATTCTTTTTTTCATATGTGCTTGATTAATCTCATACCAATGTTTCTTATTATAACCATTGCAGAAACGGCCAGGCTCCCCTAAACAGCGGGATGATACTCCATCTGGTAAGCCCCCGCTACCAAACAATACTGCATCACAATTCAGGAAAGGGGCTTACCACGAGTCGTTGGAGTTTGTACAAGCGTTATGTGAAACATCGTATGGTTTAGTAGATATCTTTCCCATTGAAGATCGGAAGATTGCTCTTCGGGAGGTGATCCTTTACACCTATATTGATAATTAAATTTGAGATGTCAAGTTCTACCTTTGTAGCAACTGACTAAATTTTATATTTCTTTTGTTTGGTTTTAGTCTCTTGCAGAGATCAATTTTCATTTATCGGAAGCTGAAATCACTGGAGGTATTTTTCTGAAATTATATATATTGAGCCGGCATACATTATATTGGCCATGTATGGTTTTGTCTGAAATAGTATGTGAACGTTTCTAGCCTGTTATCATTTGTGAGAGCTAAATCGTGTTGCTTGTCTTTAATTAGTTGTATGTCCGTTATATCATATTTATTTCCACTCTTGTTTGAAGAAGCTATTTATTTCCATTCTTGTTTCTCTTTTATCATTTATTTTCCTCTCTTGTATAGGATTTCCTTGGACTTGTGTTTCTTTCTTGAGAGAATCATGTGGTCCAATCTTTTTGACATCCAAACCTCAGTGTTTTTAAGGATTATTAAATTCTTTAGTTATATTTCGTCAACATTGTTTTTGTTAACAGAAACTGAATTTGTATCCATAATTTAAATTCAAATAACCTTCCAGGAATTTGTTTTCCGATGGGGAGAGGAGTTTATCGTGTGGTCCATATTCCTGAAGACGAATGCATTCTTTTGAATTCTAGGGAAAAGGCACCATACATGATCTCCGTAGAAGTTTTGAAAGCGGAAACACCCAGGTAAATTTAACTTTCTTACCAATCTACTTCTTTTAGTAGAAAGCTACCTTCTTTTGTATATCCCATTAATCATACGAAGTGTGAAACTTTTCATGATAACACTCTCCCATTGTTCTTTTTGTTTTCTGATATTTGTTGCAGCAGTGCTAAAGATACATCGAACTCCCAGAAGCTTTCTAAAGGGGGAATTCCATTGGCAAACGGGGACGCATTCTTGCAAAAGCCACCTCCATGGGCTTATCCACTATGGACTACTCAGGAGGTTTATCGCAACAGTGCTGACCGAATGTCGTTATCCACTGCTCAAGCAATTGATCAGGCAATGACTCCTAAGTCAGAGGTGAAGGTGAAACTTGTCAATGTAAGTCTCTCAGTGGAGAATTGTACTTCAGCTCTTGAATCATTGGGCAATCCACTTGATGATGTTCTGGGGGAGGCCCCAAGGACTGGGTTGAACACTGATCTTGAATGGGTAAGGGTGGTCGTAACGGCTGACCCAGGACTTAGAATGGAAAGCATTCCTGATCCATCAGCCCCACGTAAAAAGGAACATCGTCGTGTTCCAAGTACTGTTGCCATGGAGGAAGTAAGGGTGAGTGTTTCTTGATCAATAACTCTTAGGAGGCAACTAATTTTCTGTTTTTGTCATAAAAATATCCGATCATGTCTCTTTCGAGTCGTTGGAATAATTCTTATACTCAACTGAGTCGATGTTTTTAGTGCCTGTACTTGCTATTGTCCTTCCGACATGCTATATACTTCATTTTCTTATTAAGGCGTCTAAGGTTAGAAAGTCAAGATATTGAAATTGTATGTGTTCTGTTTGGTGTTGTGTTTCTACCCGTCATTAATCCTTAATTACATCACTTATGCAGGCTGCTGCAGCGAAGGGAGAGGCACCTCCAGGCCTTCCTCTCAAAGGGGCTGGTCAGGATTCGTCGGATGCACAACCAAGGGTATATGCATGTTTGACATAGAATATGGATTATCCTTTTATTTTTCCTGTTTTAAGTGTTGAACTTTTTTTTTTTATGTTTTGTGTTGTTTACTAGGCCAACGGTGGAATGCTTAAGGAAGGTGATGCCTTATCAGGTGAACTTTGGGAGGGAAAGCGAGACAGAATACGTAAAGCTTCAATATATGGAAAGTTACCTGGTTGGGACCTGCGTTCTGTAAGTGCTACGAAAAGCCATTCTGTTTATTTTTTCTGTTTTCTGTTTCCCAATGAGTAAAATCCTCTAAATTAAGTTCTTTTGTTGATGAAATAGAATCAGTATATATTTTGGGCCTTGAAGGCCTCAATCAGTTTGATATAGTACTCAAAGGTTTCTGTTCGGGTTGATAACGCTAATTCTTGTTTGAAGACTGTAACTCGTGATTCCAGAATGTTTATTAAGGAATATTAAGGTCTAGTGTGAGCTCGATTTTTATCGCATAATTGAAAAATACCTATGAACTACATGACACTCATTCGATCTTGATCATAGCATTTTTCTCTTCCAAGCCTGCAATAATGTAGACATCAAAGTAATGTCTGATGCACGAGTCTGCGATAACTTTCTAAGAGACTTTGCTGATGTACACTTTTGCTTTTGGCTTTCTTTCCAGCCGAATTTGTGTTCTTTGTCATTAAAACGCTGTTACTAAAGATGTTATATACTTTCCGTGTTTAATCTTTATTGAATTGTGTCCTTGTGTGTTGACCATTATGCCATATGATATTCTTTCCTACCTCTATTTTTAATTAGCTCTAGATTTTTGCAGATCATTGTGAAGAGCGGTGACGACTGTAGGCAGGAACATCTTGCTGTGCAACTCATTTCTCACTTTTATGGTAGGTGATACTTTTTCATATCTACCAATATCTTAATATCCTATTTCGTAGGGTATGCCTTCTCGTTTTTGTTTTTCAGGCTTACTTATTCTGTTATTTTAGATAAGGATATTTCCGCCTTATAAATTAACTGTATTGTTCATGTGCTAGATATATTCCAGGAAGCCGGTCTACCTCTCTGGTTACGTCCTTATGAAGTCTTGGTTACATCTTCTTATACTGCCCTTATAGAAACAATTCCAGATACGGTAATGATATAAACCAGAACTCTTCAGTTGTACTAGCAACAAAGTTTCTGCACATCTGTTTAGTTGCTACGTAATATCCTGTAATCAAGCTTTTTACATTGAAAGTGTATGTAAAAAGAGGTACCATTTTCCCTTCCTGCAGGCTTCTATTCATTCTATCAAAAGTAGATATCCCAACATAACGAGCCTACGTGATTTCTTTGTTGCAAAGTATAAAGAAAACTCTCCAAGTTTTAAGCTCGCCCAGGTAATGTACTGCTGGTAGGTCTTAATAGTTTTATTCAACCAGCACGTTAGTAACTTTGCTTCAGGAATTTGCAAGACTTCTGTCTGTTAAACATGTTATTGTGATACGGGAGTTATAGAAATTGCATTCTCTTGAGAATGTACTTTGCATTGGACTTTCAAGATAGTTTCTTTATGAACTATTCTAAGGAAAGAAGCTGCTTGGTTCAAACTTTGAGGATTATGTTCATAACTATTAACTTGTGTCGGATGCCATGTTGTGTATATAACCTTGTGCATTGGCTTCTTTTGCAGAGGAATTTCGTTGAAAGTATGGCCGGATATTCTTTGGTCTGTTACCTTCTGCAGGTAAATGTCTTAGTGATCCATTCTCTCAGTACGTTGTGTATTTATCTATAGGTTTTACACGTTTTGATGTCATTGATCAGTTTCATGAATAGCATGTTTTGACATTTTATTGCTTATGTGCCTATCGTTGATTATCTTTTGGTTTAGGTAAAAGATCGTCATAATGGAAATCTTCTCTTGGATGAAGAGGGTCACATTATACACATTGATTTCGGTTTTATGCTTTCGAATTCTCCTGGTGGCGTAAACTTTGAGAGTGCCCCGTTTAAGTTAACCCGTGAACTTCTTGAGGTAAGACACTAATTCATAAACTCATATCTTGGATCCTCGTCTCTTCAAAGTTTTCTTTGGTCATGTTTCATTGCGAAGCAGTTGAATCTTTTAGTCTAAATTTACAAAAAAATGCTTGTCACATCCAGGTCATGGACTCTGATGCTGATGGGGTTCCAAGTGAGTTCTTTGACTATTTCAAGGTATCCGCATGGCTTGTCCTCTCACCTTTCATTTTTAAATCACCTGAGACTATTATTGTTTCAAGCTGTTATGTGGAATGGCCGTTAATTGTCAATTCTTCTTAATTAGGTGCTATGCATTCAAGGATTCCTTACATGTAGAAAGCATGCGGAACGGATTATTCTCTTAGTTGAAATGTTACAGGTTCATAATCTCTAGCTTCTTTTCACTAACTAGAATCAGTTATAAAACATGGCAGCAAGCCTAATTATTTGCCTTGTGAATTATATTTTCTGGTGTTGTTTCTATTAGGATTCGGGTTTCCCTTGCTTCAAAGGTGGTCCACGAACCATTCAAAACCTAAGAAAACGATTTCATCTAAGTTTAACTGAGGAGGTAAGCGTTTTCTTTTATCTTCGTCGAATCAATTTATATCCGTTTCACATGATCCACGACAATTTCCTCATTTTTTCTTTTTGTTTATTTTTTGGGGGCGATCAAAAAACCAGCAATGTGTCTCTTTGGTCCTCTCTCTCATCAGCAGTAGCTTAGATGCTTGGCGGACACGACAATATGATTACTACCAACGGGTCTTAAATGGAATATTGTGATGTTTCAAAGAACCAACCTAGTAAGGGTAAAAACTCACAACATACATTGGTATGTTGGGTTAGCTCATAAAACAATACGTTTTTGAGGAACCCTTTTCATAGTAGCAATCAGAATCCTTCCAAAGGCAGGAGAAGATGCCTGAAGAGATCGTGTGTGCAAGCATGGGAGAAGAAACCGATCACACGTGCGACTCATACCTGAAGGAGAAAACTACAGTTTGTGTACAGAATATAATTTTTGCAGAGGTTTGATTGTTATCTTACTTGCTTGCTCTAGTAGTACTTGTAGGAGAAAAGAAGGCAAGAGCCTGAAATTTTCTTCCTCCCAAAAGCTCAAAACAAAGCCCTTTTACAGAGGTTAAAAAGGGCAATGTTTTGTTTTTAATTTTTTTCTAGTCAAAACTCATGATGTGATATTGTTGTATAAATTGTGTATTATCTTTTTTTTGGGTTGAAATTAGAGTCTGAGCAAGGAAAGACGAAACAGATAATACTTCATATTTTCATGAAGATGTGTGTTATATCACTCTCTCCATATATTCAACTTTCAGAATGTCGTGTCTAATTATTTCACTGACGATTCTTATGATTCTATCCAAGTATCAAACGGAAAGTGGGAAACCAATATTCAAATTGTTGGAGAAACAATCAAACAACTATTTACAAAAAGAAAGGGAAGGGCAAAACTGAGGTGGGTGAAGTCATCGGGCCAATCAGAGATGCTCCTTTGTTTCCTTAGCTTCCAATTTATTTATAAAATATAAATATAAATATAAATTAAATTTGATTTGCTATAACTTTCTCAAACCTTGACAACATAACTCAGTTTCCAAATGAAATAGTAAATCTTAAATCAAATTTCATAAAGAAAATGCAATCAGCATATCGCTTAACTCATTTCCGATTTCCATTTTTATTCCTCTTATTATTATTATAATAAATCCCATTTTGAATTTTATAATCAATCATAACAATAAGATCAAAGCTATATAATTAATATCACAAATCTTCAAGTTGTTGGAAGCCAGTAACACAATAAAAAAGAAGACTGAACTGTCTAATGTAATTACACTACTGTACTTTACATACCATTAACTTATGGTAAAAGTATTTTATCAAAAAAAAAAAAAACCTTTATGGTAAAAATAGTAAGAATATAGTTATTGCTTACGGAACCACAACTAAAAAGTAAAAAGTTAAATAAAAAAAACTAGGATTATAACCAGTTTTATATATTTTGATTTTTGGCCTATTACACAATTTATCATTGAATTGCAAAATAATCTCTAAACTTTATTTCGCAAAATAATAAACGCGTAATTAGATCTATATAAACCCTAAACCCCATCACTCTCTTACACTCCCCCTGGCTTCTCCTTCAAGCTATACTCTCATTCTCTCTCCTCCGACCAAAGTCTTCTGTTCCTCCGCTTCTCCTTCTCCTACCGGTGCGACTTCTCCTCTCTTTTATCTTCATTTACTTAAACCCGTTAATGTTTCTCACTTGTATGGTTCGGTTTCCGATGTAATCTCTCTCGTCTTCTCTGTTTCTTGAAAATGGGTTTTCATTTTTTGTGATTTCTGGGTTTGATCTTAGCTTCATCAATTTTGATGCTTTCCTAGATCAAAGGTCTACAGTGGAGATTATCTGCTTACCAAATTTTGATCAGTTATAACAAAATTGCAAAATCAAAATTAACCCTAGAATTTGTTTATGTTGTTACAGTCCCATTATTAAAAAGTTTCTTCTTCTATGTCTGTCAAAAAACAGGTGCTTCTTTTGTGTTGTACAGCAGATGTCTGTTGATATCTGCAAGAAGAATCCATCGTTTCTTTGGTGTGACTGTGGTTATATGAGCAAACGAAGGTTGTGGTGCTTTCAGACAATCTTGTTCAATCATTGGACTTGAACCTTTCATAGCTCTTCATGTTGTCTTCTTCTTAGCTTTTCATTTTTTCACAATTCTTTGTTGTTGTTTTCTTTGGTTCTGCTGGTTCTTGTCATTGTGAATCTGAGAGAAAATTCGAAAGTTACTTAGTGTAGTGAAAGTTTTCCCCTTCTCTTCCAATGGGGAAAACTAACTTGGCACCTGGATTTCGGTTTCATCCGACTGATGTTGAACTTGTGAGATACTACTTGAAGAGGAAAGTTATGGGGAAAAAGTTCCAAGTTGATGCCATTGCTGAGATCGATATTTACAAGTTCGAACCACCTGATTTACCCGGTAACTCTCATTCTTTCAGTTTCAGAGATCTTGTTCTGTTTCATGGTTTCTTATCTGTCTCCTGACTAAAAAGAGGCTTCTTTATATTGTACAGAGAAATCATGTCTAGGGACTGGAGATCTTAAGTGGTACTTCTTCTGTCCAAGAGAAAAGAAGTATCCCAAAGGCGGTAAGGCAAACCGCTCTACTGAATGTGGTTACTGGAAGACCACAGGGAGAGACAGAGATGTTTCTTACAATGACGAAGTCACTGGGAAGATAAGAACTCTGATTTATCACTACGGGAAAATACCCCGCGGTGATCGGACTGATTGGGTCATGCATGAATATAGACTTGAAGACAAAGTACTGGCCCAAAAGAATGTTCCTCAGGTAATGATTTATTCTTTTGTTTTAACATTTTGACTTCTTGCAAGTTTACTAAATATGTTGTTGTTGTTGTGCCTGCAGGATACTTATGTGCTTTGCGTTCTGTTTAAGAAAAATGGACTTGGACCAAGACATGGATCTCAATATGGTGCTCCATTTAAAGAAGAGGATTGGAGTGATAAGGAAGAAGAATATACTCAGAATCATCTTGTAGCTGTTCCTTCTGCAGAAAACGCCAATCCTGGTCCTAGCAAAGAAACCAGTCTAGCTGCTACGGCCTCACAATCGCACGCTCCTAAGGATTGTTTCACAGGAGTGATCTCAGAATCTTGCGTCTCTGATGTACCGCCACTAACTGCCACAGTGCTTCCACCTCTAACAAGTGATGTTGTAGCTTACAATCCCATGTCTTCTTCACCTTTCCCTGAGGTTCCTCAGGTATCTCTCGATGATGAAGAGTTAAATTCGATGCTCGATCTCTTTTCTGTTGACAATGACGACTGTTTACTTTTCGACGATTTCGACTACCAAAATGAGGTAAGTCTGTCTCTGCATCATACTTTTGATGAATCAGATTTCAGTGTTTCTTAAAGAAACTTTTGTTGATTGCTTCTGAATCTACAGGTAAGACATGAGCCTGATGTTTTTGTAAACGAGGAAGCTCCAGTTTTCTTAGGAGATGGCAATTTCAGTGGAATGTTTGACCTGAGCAACGACCTGGTCGTAGAGCTACAGGATCTGATACAGCCAGCCACACCTCCTCCTCCTCCTCCTCCTGCTCAAGCCAGTAATCCTGATGACTCAAGAAGCAACGGTCAGACTTAGGACCATTAAAAAGTATTATGTGCTGATTGATGATCTTTCTTGCATTGATGCTTCATGGAAACAGAGACCAAACATGTGAAGCTTTAGCTAGAATGTTTTCTTCTGGTGCCATCTCTTTCTACACGAAAGAAGAGACAAAACCATGAATCAGTAAACGTCCAGCTGTGGTGGAGCCAGCTTTCTATGTTATGTTTCTGCAACTTTGTCTGTAGTCTTAGATTTCATCATCATTTATGTGGCAAGAACCTTCTCTTTAACTTGTGTAATTCCATGAATTCTTATTTATTAGCTTAGCTTCCATGATAATGCCAACATTTGTTTGAACTTTTAAACTCAATGCCACAATTACTCGAGTTTGCAATATATAATGGGAAGTAAATATGTAAAATTGCAAATAGCTTAGTACGAGGATGCAAGTAGAAAGTAACAAAAGTTATAGGGTTTTATAGAAAACGACAAAACGGCGTCGTTTCTTTCATCCCTCCTTAAATAATAAATAGTCCACTGTCTTTTTCCAATTGGGGGAGTATATAGGTATAAAATATAATACGGGGATTTAAGTTTAAAATTATAAAAGTTATGAGGCTTTAATCGAATTTATTGCTTTTGCTTTTTTTTTTTTTTTTTTTTTTTTTTTTTTTTTTATTGCTTTTGCTTTGCTTTGCGACTTTCTTCTTTCCGAAGATTAATCAAGGGTGAATTAGCTCAATAACCAATTTTGTACCCAAAATTAAACTTATACCCATCTAATATCCATAATTTAGCAAGTAACCATGTTAATTGAGTTTGGACCAAAATGCCCTTGTATCTACGTTTGCAAAATTGAGAAGTTAGAGAAGCCAGTGGACATCAGAGAGGAGGAGGGTCGGTGATAAGGCGAAATAGAAAGGAAGATCCACAGACGGATATCGGGAGAGAGATACACCGGAGGGGGAGAAGAAAGTAGAGATTCACCAGTGAGAGAGAGGTAGAGAAGAGATCCTTTTATAAAAAGGAAGAGATTTGGCGGTGGTTACGACGGAGATCCGTCGTTGGCTGTGACGTAGATCTGGTGGCGGCTGTGACGAAAGTCCGGTGGCGGCTGTGACGGAGAGATGCAACATATGCAGGAGAGATGGGAGAATTGAGAAGAGCGTCAATCACAAATAAGGGGTAAAATTGTCTCATATACATAAAATACAGCATATATCAACTCGTTTTTTGGAAAACTGCTAGTTACTTAATTTATATTTTTTTGTGCGTCAGTTTTGCAAATTTTCCATTAATCAAATCCTTTTATCCTCTGAAAAATCTCAACTTTCGAAGAAAAAACGCAAAATGGCGAGCCTTGTCTACGGGACGCCGTGGCTTAGGGTTAGGTCTTTACCGGAGCTTGCTCCAGCTTTTCTCAGACGTCGTCAATCTTCTTTATTTTATTGTTCTCGGCGAAGCTTCGCGGTGGTTGCGTGTTCTTCACCAGTTAATAATGGTGGGTCTGTTAGAGTTCGTTTCGCGCCTTCTCCTACTGGTAATCTCCATGTAGGTGGAGCAAGGACTGCTCTTTTCAACTACTTGTTCGCGAGGTTCGTGATCTGATTAAGAGCAGAACAATATTGAGAGTTTTGGGTATTGTAACTGATGGAGAGTTTTTACAGGTCTAAAGGGGGGAAATTTGTGCTGAGAATTGAAGATACAGATTTGGAGAGATCAACACGTGAATCTGAAGCAGCTGTTCTTCAGGATCTCTCATGGCTGGGTCTGGATTGGGATGAAGGTTGTCTTTTTATTCTTCTTCTCTGTGCTATATAGGTGTTTTTCCAATGGTGGTGTAATGAAATTGGGATTGAAATTTCAGGTCCTGGAGTTAGTGGAGACTTTGGTCCTTATCGACAATCTGAAAGAAATGCTTTGTACAAACAATATGCAGAGAAGCTATTAGAGTCAGGTCATGTCTATCGATGCTTTTGCTCAAGTGAGGTGATTAGCTTCAAATTCGCTGAACACCTTCAACTTTGTTTTTTTTGACTCTGTTGTTGACTTTGATCAATTGTTATGTTTATGTAGGAACTTGTAATGATGAAGGAGAATGCAAAGTTGAAACAGTTGCCTCCAGTATATACCGGGAAATGGGCAACAGCTTCTGATTCTGAATTAGAGCAAGAGTTAGAAAAGGGAACACCTTTTACTTACCGGTTCCGTGTGCCAAAGGAAGGCTCTTTGAAAATTAATGACCTGATTCGTGGCGAGGTTAGTATTATAGGTTTTTTTGTGATTAATTCTCAATCTATGGTTAGATAGGCTGAAGTTACAAGCTTTCTTTTATGATCTTCGAAAGTTAATTTCTAACTAATATCCACTGTAAAAAGGGTCTATCGGTTCATACATGTTATGTAAAGCTTGATAATACCTTCTTGTAATTGACCATGTGTGATAGTGTCTTGAAGGTATGTTGGAACTTGGATACTCTTGGAGATTTTGTGGTAATGAGGAGTAATGGCCAACCTGTTTACAACTTTTGTGTTACGGTAGATGATGCTACCATGGCTATATCACATGTTATAAGGTTACTACTCCAGTGTCTTCTTTTGGAACTTGATTTTTCTTCTCTGAACATGTTTGAATGTGATCTTGATCAAATTTATTAACTTTTGTGTCAGGGCTGAAGAACACTTGCCTAATACTTTGAGGCAGGCTCTAATTTACAAGGTAAGCACTAGCTTATGTTTGTTTATTCCAATTGCTTTCGGAAGTTATGCGATCCTGAAGATAGGAGTAAGAATTTGATTTAGTACTGTCTGTATCAATCAATGGCAGGCTCTGGAGTTCCCGATGCCTCAGTTTGCACATGTTTCTTTAATTCTAGCTCCGGATAGAAGTAAACTGTCAAAGCGACACGGGGCAACTTCTGTAGGCCAGGTGTTTATAGCTTTTCTTACCTTTACTGCATGTAGATCATCTCAATTCCTGATTCTTCATCTAATTTCTGCTTTACGTTCCTTTGAAAAAATACAGTACAGAGAGATGGGATATCTACCTCAGGGAATGGTTAACTATTTGGCACTCTTAGGTTGGGGAGATGGGACTGAAAATGAATTCTTCACACTCGAGGAACTTGGTAGGTCGTTTTTGTTGACTGTAGTTATGCTTTGTTTGATCTTTGTTATCATCCCTAGCTTTTCTGATATCTTCGTTGAATGTTTGTTCTTGATTTGCAGTTGAAAAATTCTCGATCGAACGTGTCAACAAAAGTGGTGCGATTTTTGATTCAACAAAGTTAAGGTGATTACATAATTTGCTTAACTGTTTGAATTCTCCAATCTTCGTCTCTCCTGTTTTCGTATCTCTGTGTGTTCTCTACTTTTTGCTAATAAATAGCTTCAATGCATATCTATAAACTCAAAGATGGATGAATGGTCAACATCTAAGGGCACTTCCAAAGGAAAAACTAACAAAACTTGTTGGTGAGCGATGGAAGAGTGCCGGTATCTTAACAGAATCCGAGGGGAGTTTTGTAGATGTAATGCTTCTAATCATGACTCCATACTTTCTTCTGATCCTAATATAACGCCTTGGATTTAGGAACAACAGATATTTTCTGTACAGACTTACCGAATTTGAGCTTGTTGTTGAAGTACAGGAAGCAGTCGAGCTTCTCAAGGATGGGATTGAGTTGGTGACAGATTCAGACAAAGTACTTTTGAACTTGCTTTCATATCCTCTGCACGCTACCTTGGCTAGGTAACTATCAAACCCTTCGTTCCTCCTGCATCACCTCTTTTCTATCAATAATTTTTTTTTTCTGGAGCTCTGGGTTTGTGGTGATTTGAGTTTTGCTGCACCTGATGCAGCCCTGAAGCTAAGCCTGCCGTGGAAGACAAACTTCATGAAGTAGCAGCCAGCCTCATAGCTGCTTATGACAGCGGTGAGATTCCAAGCGCTTTAGAAGAAGGACAAGGTGCTTGGCAGAAATGGGTGAAAGCCTTTGGCAAATCATTGAAACGCAAAGTTAGTCATCTCTCTAATCCAGTTAATACCTTTACTTGAATGAACAAACGTTACAAGAGATTCTTATGTTGTTTGTTACAGGGTAAATCACTTTTCATGCCACTACGAGTGTTGTTAACGGGAAAACTCCATGGTCCTGAGATGGGCACCAGTATTGTTCTGATTCACAAAGCTGGAAGTCCCGGTATAGTGGTTCCTCAGGCTGGGTTTGTATCCATGGAGGAACGGTTTAAAATTCTCAGGGAGATAGACTGGGAAGCTTTGAACAAAGATAAGAGTGTGCCTCTTGAATCTACAGCCACAATATCAACCTGAGAGAACTCCCCTTTTCTATTTTTCTTCAATTTTCGGTTAGTTGGTGAGAAAGACAGCCCAGAGATTTTGATTCCTTTTGCATTTCTTGTTCCCGAAACAAATGGCACAACGAAATTTGTAGATTATAATGTATCAGCAAAGCAAAGTTAGGAACAAACCAGAGAGCTTGTAACATTATCAGGCCAGTTTTAGTTTGCTTTCAATGCTCTGTTTTCTTATTTGTTTAATTGTAATTTCTCTTTCATTTTTTTTTTTTTTTTTTTTTTTTTTTTGTCAAAGATTGTAATTTCTCTCTTAAGATAAGATCTTATACCAGTTAAAGCTCTCCTATTGTTCTTTTTATGAAACCTAGGCTTTGCCAAATTAGAGTCATATTCCAAAATTTTTACCTGACCGGGATAAAGTTCAGGTTTGTTGGAGCTAAACCGGATTAAACTGTTTATGAGAAAACAGAGTACCAAACAGAGATTTTAGGAGGTTTGTGTGGTGGGGACTGAAGTGAATCTAACCACATAAACACTTGAAAGAGAATCTGAAAAACTCAAAACTTTAAAGGCTTGAAGCTTTGAGTAATAAGAAAAGGTTTGGAGTTTTGCCAATAGGACTGAAGGGAAATCTCATCTTATCCACACTCCAACCACAATCCCTTATTACATCTAAGTCCACGTCATCATCATCATCCTCATTCATCTCTAATACTAAAATCTGATCTCTTCCTTGCTCACTCACCAATCAAACTCAAAAAAACTCTTGAATTTTTCAAGAACAAAAGAGAAAAGAGATCTTTAATGGCGGCCATGAACTCGAGCGTTCTCACTTGCAGCTACGCAATTGCTGGTTCTGGCTCAGTAGAGCTAAACCAGAAAGTTGGTTTGGTGAATTCCTCAGTTGGGTTTGGTCAGAAGAAACAGATGATTATGCCTGTGATCAAAGCTCAGAGAGTTGTTGGTGATGATGTTGATGGATCTAATGGAAGAAGATCAGCCATGGTTTTCTTAGCAGCTACACTCTTCTCCACTGCTGCTGTTTCTGCTTCTGCTAATGCTGGCGTCATTGATGAATACCTCGAGAGGAGCAAAGCCAACAAAGTAAGTCTTTGAATGTCTGAATCTTGACAACTCTAAAGATCCTAAAGGTTATGTTGTTTTTGAAATTTTGATCATAGGAACTTAATGATAAGAAGAGATTGGCAACAAGTGGAGCAAACTTTGCGAGAGCATTCACTGTTCAATTCGGAAGCTGCAAGTTCCCTGAGAATTTCACTGGCTGCCAAGATCTTGCCAAGCAAAAGGTTAGTCCAATATTCAACGTTTTCTTTTCTTTGGGGAAATAATTAAACTGAAGAGATTGTGATGTTGTTCTTCTTTGTTTTCTGTTTTGCAGAAAGTCCCATTTATCTCAGAAGATTTGGCTTTGGAATGCGAAGGCAAGGACAAGTACCAGTGTGGTTCCAATGTGTTCTGGAAATGGTGAAGAAGTTTGTTTGTTTTCATCTATTCTTATATAAATCCAACAATGTATCTATCTCTCTCTATTCATGAAAGTTCTCGCATCCATTTGAATCTATCCAAGTTAAAACTCTATTAAGAGATTAGGAAGCATTATTTTGACTTTAGTTCAGCTTTAAGATAAAAATCTGATTGAGTACATACAAGTTCATCTGAAGAAATTTTCAGTTTAGTTTCAGTTGGTTTTTTAAAATTAAATGGAAATCACTATGTAAGAAGTTAAACGCCAATTCAAGTAAAGAGAAGAAACCAAAGAGTAATACATATCACTGTAATCTAACTTTACCAAAGAACCTCAAGAGAGTTCTTTCACCTTCAAGAACACAAAAATGTGCGAATAGTACAAACAAATGACTCAACTCGGACTCAACGCTAAAGAATAAAAAAAAAAGAACTTCCTAAAAAAACGAACCAACAAAAAAAAAAAAGATAAGGAGTTAATAAGAGTGTGTCTTTATACGTACAAAAAGAGTGGGACTTGAAGTAAGTCTTCTCAACCGATAGCGTAAGTGAGTGTTTCCACTTCATTGGGTCGCCAAAATGATTTTTGAACAGAGAGCAAACCTTCTTTTTCCTTAGAATAAGTCATTCGAACTTCCCATTTCATGGCTTTCACCATTGCTTCTACTTGCTGTATTGTTTCCGCGTCATCCCGGACTATCAGTTTCCCTTCTGGTCTCAAAACACGATCCACTTCTGCTATCACCGCCGTTAGATTGCACCTGTAAAGTAAAGAGTTTGTTAATTATTATGTTTCGGTTGTTTGAAACAGAGACTCTTTATTACACAAACAAACCTTTGTTTGAGTTTGGAGAAAAGATGGTCGGCGTGAAGGAGATCGTATGATCTTGGGTAAGTACTGAAAGATTCGCACCAATCGTGGTAGATACCAAAGAGTCCTCGTTCATAGATTATTGCAAGTGTGTCTGGTGAATCTATTGGAACCACATTCATGACCCACACTTTCATTTCTTTTAGAGCCGCCGCAAAACTGCAAGAAGAGAATCAACACAAACATTAAAGATTCAGGAAACATCAATACAGTGTTTCTTGATTGACCTTATATTATCTCAATTCAGATGAAAGTGGAAAGCGTAAGCAAGTTATGTTTTATACTTACCCTCCATAAACGGCTCTCATGTCCATCACATTTCTGACAGATGCCCAGTTGATTCCTAAACCTTTAAGGTATGATTTGGTCACTACACGGTTCCAGTGCTCATAATCAGCACTGAAATCCTCTGGTGCTGCTTTTCCGTAAACTCCAGTCTGGGAACTAGATAACCAAAACGGTGGTTTCTCTAATCTCGCTGGCCATTGCTCGGGCCACTGAGATCCACGTTGCGTTTTGTCTTCTGGTGCAGTGTGCATGCATGCTTGAAGCGGAACTTTCCTACAAAAACCACACGACAAAACATGTATTTGTAAACATAGACCAGCTGATTTTTTTAAGCACAGTAATTAAACATCTGAAAAATAAATATACCAAGATGCATTGGGATCATCAGACTCGGCACAAATTGGAGGTTGTGGTTCTGATCTGCTTGTGTAGCACTCATTTGAAGTAGGCTTTCTGTAAGTAGCAACACCTACTCCATTGATAGTGTCCTTGTTAATGGATACGAGTTCCCAACACATCTTCTTAATGAGTTCACTCATAGCTGTGAAAGTCGCCAACATGAGGTGTGAGAAAACAAGCTCCAATACAATTAGATAAAAGAGGATAATGTTTTTTACAACCTTTCCAAATTTCAACATCTTCGGTCTTCTTCTGATAAACAGGAGTAGCAGACCACACAAAGAAGCCACCGGGTCTCAATACACGGTTAAGCTCCAGGAGGAGTTTACCACCTGTCCATGTATTGTGCACACAAACATCAGAAACAGATACCAAAAAGTTTGACGGATCACTCGAAAGAGACGGTTAAGACTAAAATCCAGGAGGAGTTTTCAATTCAAAGACTACATCTATCGTGGCTATGCTGCTAACCTTCAATGTGCCATGGCACTCTACAGCGAGCACAATGAACTATGTCAAAAACTCTGCCGGGGAAAGGTAGCCTTGTAGTGCCCATGACTGCAGAGATGGCGGGAATGCCCCTCTCAAGAGCAAACTGCACTTGAGCTTCATGTTCATCTTTAGGTGCGAGGGACATAGTGATCACATCTCTGTCAAAGAGGAAACCTCCAAAGCTTGCAACACCACATCCAACATCTAGGACGACACGAGAGCGTTTACCCCATGCAATAGCAGGGACAGACTGTAAAGCAAATTTTCATCAGAAGGGGAACTTCATAAGCACGAATATTACTCCTAAAGTGATCAAAGTACAAACCAATTCAGGCTTTCTAACAAAATAAGGGAGTAGAAAACAAGTGGATGCATAAAAGAAACATGTGTATACGCAGTAATCCAATTCAGACTTTCTAACAAAAGAATCACATCTGAATACCAACCTCCTGTATGAAATCGATGTAATGAAGAGCACCATGCTTGAATTGGGTTCCTCCACCAGGAAAAGTTAGATACTCACCGGTAACTTTAACCCAATTTTGATGCCCCTTATATTCAGCAAGCTTGGTATGAGGGACGTTGGTGTACCAGATCTGCATAAATGAAAAGGGTTGTATTAGGTTCTTCGCAGATTAAAATATCTATATGGGAAAGCGAACAAATTCAACAGACCTTTTCTCTGCTTTTGGGCCACTCAATTGGCCGCTTGTATCCTTCAGGCAAAGGAACAAGGCAGGTGGGTGGGCTGTCTGGGCAATGCCTCTCACGATGCTCGTAATGTTTAGTACTTGGAAGACTTTTAATGGCTTGCACATTATCGAGACAGGGAATATAATCAGGTCCGGCTGTTGTATTGCATAGTGCCCATTTGTAATCAAGTTTATCCCCAGAACCCTTCTGAGCTTCTTTCTCATTTTTGGACTCTGTTGCCTGGGTTGAAAATGAACCATTTTGTGCTGTAGTTTCATTCAGTAGCTCTAACTGTGCCCCAGGAGGTGAAAGATCACCTGAGGTCTCGTTTTTAGGTTGACCCTCTTGCTCTACTTGAACATCCACATTTGTCTCAGTGTTTTCCTTTTCAGTCTTGGTTTCAGTATCTTCGTTGCCTGTTTTGGTTTCTTTATCATCGTCACTGGATTTTTTCTCACTGTTATCAGACTCAAATTGCTTTTGGTTTTCACCATCCTCACCCGACTCATTGTCCTCTGTTTCGGGTTTAGTTTGTTTTTCATTTGTGTCAGGATTTTCTTCATCTGGGTTGTCTTTCAAATCTTTTTTCTCCTCTAAATCACCTCCGCCACCATTTTCTGACTTGGAGTCATCTTTTTTATCTTCCCCAGCTTCGGTCTCAATTGTCTCACCGGATGGAGTAGACTCTTCTTTTGGTTTTTCTTCTTTCTTCTCTTCCTGGTTGTCTTGTTTGCTTGCATCACCATCTCCTTTTTTATCCTCGTTTGGTGTATCACCAGATGCGTCTTCAAACTTCTGACCATTGCCCTCCTCGGCAGGTGTGGTCATCTGTTTCTTTATCCCATCTTTGTTGTCCAGAGAAACCTCATCAACATTCTGAGCGGGTCCAACCGAAGATGATGTCATCATCCAGATCCCGACTAAGCATAGGGCCACAAACACAACTACTGTCACTGTGGAGCAATAATTTGATGAGGGCCTCCTGTTATCTATCCTAGTGTACCTTGGTTGCGCCATGGTTCAGATTTGAGCAACAGATGCGTGTACGCCTACACAGATAAAGAAATAAGGAAACAGATGTTAGGTGAGCAATAAGATCTATATCATCATATCCAGAGACACTATCAAATTTCTTGAAGATGCATGCATATATCAGCTCGATTTTCTCTAACAAACAAGATCAAATTGATATGTAATACAGATCGAAACAAAAGGGTAATGTCAGCAGATCTGCTTAAACCCTTGCGATTACAGTTTAACCCAGATACGGACGAGCAACATAAAATTTCAAAATCTCACTACTAAAAGTTACTCCCGCAACATGGATTTTCACATCCTAGAGCAAACACAAAGGATCAAGCAGACGAAATCATAGAATTTCAAGTTCAGATAATCATCGAAGGAACAAACAACGCCGCAAAATCACCATTCAACAAAAACCTCAAGAACAAAAACAAGAAATCTATCAACACAATAACTTAGAAAAAAAAACAGCAGATCCGTAACAGATCTCGGTAGAACCACCATTTTTCTACATCATCGAGATAATCACTAAGTAACATAAGATAAAAACACAAGGAACAAATAGAGAGGAATGTGCACAAGGCGGACCTGATACAGGGGAGAATCAATGAGAGTACGAAAGAAGGTAGAATCCGAATTTCAATTTCCCAGCTACGGAGCCATTTTCCGTCACTTTCTCGAGAAAATTCCAGTGGCGTGGGATATATGTTGAAGATGGGGGAAAGAGAAAGGTGTATATATAAGGGATATATGGCAAGAGAGATTGATTTGATCTTACGATTTTGATTTACACACAACAAAAAAATCTTTATTAGTGAACAAAAAATATTAATAAATTAAATATTTTGGGAAAAATACTTATTTTAGATGCTTCATCAATAAGGGGAGAGAAGTACGGAGTAGCCGTGAATTTAGTAGTGGTCGAAAATCTTACTAAATCAATTTTAGATTATTTTGGTTAGCCACAAGACTAGTTTAGTCAATTGCTTAAGACCTTAGCATTTTATTTATTCATGTACTAATTGGAATTATATATCATCATGATATGAAATAAATTAAATCAAGTTGTTGAGAAGTGGTTACTACGGCATGATTTTAGCAAGTTGTTGAGAAGTGGTTAAAAAGCAATTCCACACTTTTTAAACTTTACTCTTTCTTTTGATTTTTTTTGTTTGATAACTACTCTTTCGTAAATTTTATTTTATAATTGATTTTTCATAGATTTAATATTTTTGTCACCTCTTTTGTAGACTAACATAATGGCCCAAATTAAATTAAAAAGAAACGATAGGTGAAAATAAGTTACAATCGAGACCCTATAGTTTTCTTAAATCACACAGACCCAATGTCCACGTCTTTGCTTGTTTTATATATTGCCCGAGAGCGAGAGGTTATGTTCTTCTATTTTACTCATATTGGAGAAGATAGTAATACTAAAAAAAAAACACATCGTTTTCATATGTCAACTACTAAATACACATCTAACTTTATGATATACTCCAGGTTATCATATATGCATATACAAACAAGTTAATAATTACAAAGTAATGTTAGACACAAAACACAACAAGTCTATAATTGAGAAGAATTTAATACTCATGTTTGTTTAGGTTAAAATACTGTAGAAATACTTTTTAATACGAGTGTTGGCGGATCTTAAATGAGGTTATTATTAAGAAAGTGAACGATGAATGTCGCAGTGTCGCCTGTCGGTGCAAAGTCCACGACCCGAGAAGTTTCCAACATGTCAACGTAGTGCACTATAAGGATGCCCCACGGCTCAAGTTTTAATATCTTCGATATAATAATCGAACTGATATTTTACAATTAAAATATATTTAGGTGATGACACCTATATTTCAAAAACAAAATTTAGGCCATGATTCGTATGTAAGACGAAATATGGAATGACAGAATAATGAACAAGTTCAATGCTAAACAATCACAAAAATAAATAAAAACCTACATTTTGTAGGTTAATGTTTTTATTATATTTTGAACATGTAGATCATAGTGAAACAATAAATGGAATACTATTTAATATCTTACTTTTCGTTAATATATTGACCAAGATGATTAGTTTGATGAACTAATTTTTTTTTTATGACAATTTTTTTTTTTTTTGATGATGATTGCAAATAGTAATTTTTTTTTATGAACTAGTAATATTGTTTTAACTTTTCATTTAAACAGTTTATTTGGTTGGTAATTTGGTATTGAACCATCATTCCATTATTGTTTTAATAATTGTAAAATTAGTTTGCTATCGTAGCATTTTTTTTATGAGATTTTCGGAAAGAAGAAGAGATAGCACTTTTCTTTTAATTACCTTTTTTTTTTATGTGAACAAATTTAAAGCGAAAAACAAAAAGAACATGAATCACCCAAATTATTATTACCACCACTTTATTGCGCCGAAAATTCAAGAAGGCAAAACAAACACATAACGTTGAATTTGATGAGTCACTCGTACAATGGAGATTGTTTATTGACCAACGAACATGTGAGAGATCCAAATTCAGAGGTGGATTCCTAATTGCTTGCTCTCCAGATCTACACTTCACTATTCTTGCTCGTTGAAGATCCAATCATCATCACTCGTTTCCGGTAAATGATTTCTGTCATCTTCGAGCTCGATTTTGTGGAGAACCTTATTCCTAGATATTGATTTTGGGTTTAAGAGTATAGTTTGTTTTTTTTTTTCCATGGGTTTAATCAAATTTCCTGATTTGGTTATGTTTCATGATTTGGATGAATTCGGATTGAAGAAGAAACCATCATTAAAGCATATCAACAACTTTACAAAGTTCAATTGCTAGAATTTGGGATTTTGATTGTTAAAATAAAGAAGAAACCTTTTTGTTTCCTTCTTTTGAATGATTCAATGACTGACTAAGATTTTGTGACTGGTCTTTTTAAGGATCTTGAACTTCAACAACATAAGCAATAAGCTTTCTTTGTTGAGAGAGTTGATGTTATCTCTAAGATGTTTGGTGGAAAAAGTCACATACTCAGAGGGAGTGTATCACTTGCCTTGATTATCCTCATTCTTTTGGTGATTATACTCCTGGTTTCCGAGGAAAACCCGCTTCGTGCTTCTCTCTATGAAGTAAAACGTCAGTTTTCATCTTCTTCTTCATCTTCAGGTATTTCTATGCTCTTCACAGCTTTTAGTATTCAGTTTTTTGGTTATAATGATCCAAAGTTTTTGAACTCTCGTTATCTCAAGAAAGTATAGTTTGGTTTTGTGATACATTTTGGTTTCCTATTATTCAGTTTGTAACTTTGCAAAGGGAAAATGGGTTGAAGACCGGAAGAGACCATTGTATTCTGGTTTTGAATGTAAACAATGGTTATCAACCATGTGGTCATGTAGAATAATGGGTAGACCCGATTTCTCATTTGAGGGTTACCGGTGGCAGCCAGAAGGTTGCAACATGCCACAGTTTGACAGATTCACTTTCTTGACAAGGTATGGAAGATTTTCTCCAATGAGACATTCTTATACATGCTTCTTTTCTGTAATGTGATGTAGGTAGATAGCATTTTGTGAGAATATGTGGTAGCAGAGCAAGTTTCTGAAAATATCTCATATGCTTACTGCAACTTTGCTTTTGCTTTTTAGAATGCAGAACAAGACGATAGCATTTATAGGAGACTCACTGGGACGGCAACAGTTTCAATCCCTGATGTGTATGGCCAGTGGTGGTGAAGATAGCCCAGAGGTTCAAAACGTGGGATGGGAGTACGGTCTGGTGAAAGCCAAAGGAGCTCTCCGTCCTGATGGTTGGGCTTATCGGTTCCCGACCACAAACACAACGATCTTGTATTATTGGTCAGCTAGTTTATCTGATTTGGTACCAATGAACAACACAGATCCACCTAGTCTTACTGCAATGCATCTGGACCGTCCACCAGCATTCATGAGAAACTACCTTCACCGTTTCGATGTATTGGTTCTGAACACCGGTCACCATTGGAACAGAGGGAAGATCAAAGGAAACCATTGGGTGATGCATGTAAATGGAACACAGGTCGAAGGCGAATATCTCAAAGATATCAGAAACGCCAAGGATTTTACAATACACAGCGTTGTGAAGTGGCTCGATGCACAGCTTCCGTTGCATCCGCGGTTGAAAGCTTTCTTCAGGACAATTTCTCCGAGGCATTTTAAAAACGGAGATTGGAATACTGGTGGAAACTGTAACAACACGGTCCCTTTGTCTAGAGGAAGCGAAATCACAGGCGATGATGGATCAATCGATACAACAGTCGAGAGTGCTGTGAACGGGACAAGGATCAAGCTTCTTGACATAACTGCACTTTCTGAGCTAAGAGATGAAGCTCATATCTCAGGGTCTAAACTGAAACCCCGAAAACCAAAGAAGGCGAGTAACGTGACTTCAACTCCAACGATCAACGATTGCTTGCATTGGTGCTTACCCGGGATCCCAGATACTTGGAATGAACTTTTCATTGCCCAGATTTGAAGTATTCAACATCATCACTCACACACAAAGCTAGCTCAATGTTGATTCTTTGTTATAGAAAGGTTTTGTTTTTTCACATTCTTTCTGGGAGAATAACAAAGTTCCAGTTCTTACTATTAGGTTTTTAGATGGCTTTTCACTTTCAGTATATGATTCAATGTAATGATTACAACAATCTGGTTTTTATACACGAGAACACTGAAACAATCTTCTTCCTAACCGAAACCCGGTACGAGATCGGGACGGTTAACAAATAATAACTGGAATTTGCTATAAAGAAAGAAAGACCGGTTTACGAGAGAAGAAGATTTATGTCAAAAACTCGCGAATCGTGAGATTGTTCTCTAGAAATGGCGAGTTTCGAGAAATTCGAACCCATATTTGGAGAAGTCGTACCCGAACGTTCGGATCCGGGTTCGGATCTTCTCCGGCGATGTCTCTTCCACGTCTACGCTTCCGATTTGTATAACTTAACAGTCCATGTCACTGACTTCATCTCCGGCGTCTGGACGACTATCCTCTCCGTCTCGCAGCTAGACGATATGGTTCGTTTTGCTCAATCAATGTTTTGTCTCAGTTTTGAATTCTTCTATAAACCATTGTTTAGCTGAATCTCAATGGCTTGTTATTGAGTTTCACTCACCTGGATTTTAAAAAACTTGATTTGAAACAGAGGGATACTGTGGGGATTGGTGGTTCGTGGTCGGAGTTCCTCGATTATACTGTTGCTTCCTTGAAATCCGACAATGTGAAGCTTCTCTTGGGAGCAAATTCAGTTTCAAACGGTATACTTTCTTCACACTATGTTTCGTAAATCAAAATGAAGATGCTAACTTTTCGAATGCTCTTAATTCTTGTGTTGAGTATCAGTATAATTTGATAGCCTCCTTGAGCTTATGTTTAATAGTTTGCTGTGCACTCTTGTGTTGTATTTGTGTGTGTTTCACCACATAATGTTTTAGGTATTGAGACTGCGAGATTAGTTTCTCAGAAAGCTAAAGGAATGCCTCGCGTAATCGTTCCTTTAACAAAGATGGTGGACTCATCTGCTAGTGAAGCTATGGCAAATCTGTCTCTTGAGTTGTTCAGAGCATTGAAGAGCAAGCAGCACCTACGAGGTATATTTTTTTAAAAAAATTCAGCTGTTCTTGCAAATAAAGACCAGTAGTATGTATGTTCCCAAGGAACAACGCTTATTCACATTTTTGAATGTGCGATACATGTACTACAATATGGGATCTCGGCTTTCTCAGTCTGTTTTTTTTTAGAAACATAGTGTTGACTGAAAATTAGAATCGAGATAAGGTTTCTGAAGCGTTCGGTTTACATCTTAATGTTTTGCTCTTTTATTTTTTTGTTCCCATTAGGAGAAGTGAGTTCTTCAGCTGCAGCAACTGATGAAAAGGTATCTCTGGTTCTGGAAGTTCTAATGGTGTCTTTCTAATCAACAGTTCTTAACACTGCTGCAATTGTCTGTTCTTACTCTGGTTGAAAATCTCGTTTGTATTGTGACCAGGATAAGAGGGATGCTACTCATAACCAAGTGGAACGATACTCTGGAAAGTTAGATGTTATGGCTCCATCAACAGATAACCGGCAAGACTCTCCCGGTTAGTCCAGTTCGCTGTTTACTCACATTTAGTAAATTATCTCCAATTCCTTCCCCTGAAAATCTCATATGGAAAGAATAATCTTCAACATCACCGTTTTCTCCCTCGTATATTTTTTTGTTGGTTTCAGCCAAGCAATCTGCCCGAGAAGGTAACACAACAAAACCTGTTAAACGAGTACCTGCTCACCGGAGGTATATACATATCATCTCCTCTCTGAACCTCATATGAAACATCCATATCAGTATTGATAATCTTTGGTCTGAAAACTTAGCTATGGTTTTCGCAGAACCCGTAAACGGGGTGCCTTTCTGCAGGATTCAGAAGAAGAGGATGGCTGATTGGAACAGAACATAATGATAGCCGACACTTTAAACCCATCATCAGCTTTTAGTAACAAACTGAATCGCCTGGGGAGTTATGCTTTATGCTCATGATAATTTCCCAGGTCCTTTTTTTACTCCTCTTTTGGTGATTCGATTTTCTGAAAAGAATCTGTAAGGTTAACATAGATTCCTTGTGGACACATGTTAGAAGTTTTTGAAAGTTGAAAAAGGAAGTAAAATCGAATCCTCCTTAGTATCATTATTCATTATCTAAGCACAAATATCTTTCATATCTGATGTATACAATATATGAACTAAGAATATACACCAGTTACTAGTTCGGAAAAATACACATACTGTATTGTACAGATTCTGTTGTGCCTCAGAAATAAAGATTCTCTTCTTCAATGGATTCTCTGACTGCCTTCAAAATCCATGGCTTGAGTTTCATGGTGGTAACTATGATCCCTGTTTTGTGAGCAAGATACTTTCCTTTCGAGAAGTCCAGAGATTTCCCTGTAGCATCACACACTACGCCTCCAGCTTCTGCAAAAGGTTATTTTGTTCTCTTCTTTTTATTTATAGTCCTCTTGTATTTTATACATGAAAAATGACATAAGTGTGTATTAAATCTTGTCCCTTATGTGTTTGGCAACTAGCAAGCAACATGTTAAATTGTAATGTGCATTAGAGCCAACAGATCTCAGTGTTAAAAAGGGTTTTATGTACTGTACCTGTAGTGATGATTGAACCTGCAGCATGGTCCCAAATACATTCACGGTATCCATTGAGAGTGAAACGCAAGTATATCTCTGCGTCTCCCCGCGACAAAGCCGCATACTTAGCTTGGCTATCGAGCCTTACAGGTAATGCTTTAATCCCGAGTTTCTGCTCTAACCGTAAACAGATAGTTTTAGTGGAAAGAATCCCATTTGGTTATGGCCTACTTAAGGGCACACTGTAATACAAAGAAAACAAGATGTTACCTTGGCAATGGTACCATGGATGGGAATTGGTTTATGGTATGATTCTAAGAACTTCGCTTCGTCAAGATTCTCATTGCTACTCACTCGCACCTGTCAGCACAACTTTACTTTCTTTAACACTTTCAAACAATTGCAGATTTATCAGATGGTTTACCTTTGGACAGGTGAATGATACCTTCTGTGGTAGAGAATTGCCTTTGAGTGATTGCACATAAGTCCCTGAACCCGTTGTAGCAAAGAAAAGACAGCCAACATCTTCCTGGGAAGACTTATCCGTCACGCAAATCGCTGAAGCCAAAGGAAGATTCGGGCAAGCCATGACACCAAGCACCACTTTGCCTTCCACAAGCAACGCTAGTCCCACAGCATATTGCTCTCCTCTTACAAATCTAAACAAGCAGAGAAATTTAGCAACCAGAAAAGATTAAGCATAGCAAAAGCATAGAGATTAGAGAGATTTGTTACCCTCTGGTTCCATCTATAGGATCAAGAACCCAGTGGGAACCGCTGCTACCGCCTTCTGATTTACCGCAGTCTATAGCATTTAACACATCATCTGTGGATAGAGGAGAGCCGGTGTACGATTCCTCAGAAGCTAGAGTATCTTTCACAAGTGTTGTAATACCTTCTAGAAACAACTCACTTCCCTTCTTCCGCAGATCTCCAGTTTCCTGTAAGATTTCCCGATATAAAACCCGAGTAACATTTACGCTATAAAACCTCTGATTAATATAAGTTTTCAAGTGTTATTGCACCTCTTCAGCTACTAATGACAATTTATCAGGTTGGAGCTCCCTCTCCAATACAAGACTAACCACAGCTTGTGAGCCTGAAGAAACCATCCATTAATGGGAGAGGTAAAAGACATTTTCTTGATTGATTTTAGAGAGAAAACAAGAACTTAGCAAAAACAGAAACTTGAAGTTGAATTCACGGGTATGTAAATGGCGAGGTACAAACCGTAATCAGCTGCAGTAACCGGAGATCTATCGGATTTTTTCCATACTTGGGATTGCAACAGAGTCTTCTGCACTTCCTGATTCGTTACATAGTAAGGTTTGTTTTAGTTTTAGCGATTCATATAAGCTCCAATGCTCTAGTGCTAGCTCGAAAATAGTTGTTACCTGGCTTAGACGAGCAGCTAGAGAGACGGCTTTCTTTGCAGCGACTAGCTCCTTCTCATAAGACATTGAAAAGCTTCAAAAGAATATATATGTGTAAAAGCTTATTATCTCTAATATGGTTTTATATATTGAAACAATTTATAGACATCATTTCATAATACGTTTAGAATTATTTGCTTCATGATAGTCGTAGTCTAAGTCAGGACGTAGTCAACATCGTTGAATGATAATATTATATAACCGAGTTGTGTTTTATCGTGTGAGACGGAGTTGGTGCAAACCATCTTTCACGTAATGACAGAACAAGTTGACGTTAAAGAAAGAAGAGAATTGATGGAATATGTAGACCTAAGAATATGTATTACTCTATTATGTAGAATATTTCACGGATTTTTTGTATCAGTTGTCATAATTTAATTATATTCGGAAGAAGACGACTAGACGAGAGTAATCATAAAGCGTTAACCACACTTAACAAATTGGGTATATTTCACCTAATCAATACACTAATCTTTCTTTATATGATTTTCTATTTTACAAGAAGTTTCGCAGAACATTCGACTGGAGTATTTATTTATTATATATATAAAAAAAAGATTCGACTGGAGTTTAATATTTTCCATAATAATCAACTTTTCTTTATCTTTCTTAATGGGAAAGGTCCTCTCATTTGTCTTTTTCATATATGCCAGAAAAAGGCACTGTCTTTTTTCTATTGTCGAGTTTAAATTAGCCCCATAACAAATCACTAGCTACGTACGTATTTATATTTTCTCCACTTTTTTTTTTCTAATCTTGCAAAAACTTTCAAAATTGATTAACGTATTTCCGATTGTAAACATAAACAAATCAAATACATTTTAACGAGCTTCGTAACTATATTCAAAAGAGAATTAGTGTTTTCTTATATATATATATCAAAGGTGAGTTTTTTTTTTTGTTTCTGGTTTTCAAGAAATAGACTGTGTGAAAAACACAGAGACAACAGAGTATACCCAAAGACAACAATAATAAGAATATTACAGTTGCGTGTTAGTGAAGTTTCAGAGAAGCAGCTTTTTCTTCTTCCTCTTCTTCTTCTTTAATTGATTCTCTTACTGCTATCAAAAGCCTTGGCAACAGTTTCTGCGTCGTAACCACAATTCCTCTCTTGTAATCAAGATACTTCCCTTTCGAAAAGTCCAACGGATTCCCTGCTGCATCAGTCACTTTCCCTCCCGCTTCTGAAAGATACAATTTCACATAAGGATTGGTTGTGTGATCATTATTCATGACCACTGGACCAAAAGCTATGTAGATAAGAGCTTAATGGGTTTACCTGAAACGATGATTGAGCCAGCAGCGTGATTCCATATTGATTCGGGTCTTGCTTTGCGAGTAAACCTCAAGTACACCTCTCCATCTCCTCTAGATAAAGCTGCATACTTCGTCTGACTGTTGATCTTGATTGGCGATTCTTTTATCCCCAGTTTCTGTTATGTGAATTTCACGGAACAGAGTCAAACTCAGACCAAACAAGAAGATATATATAGAGAATGTAAGGAAGATGTTTGTTTACCGTAGCAATGGTGTTATGGATGGGGACAGGTGTGTGGTATGACTCGAAGAAACTCGCTTTCGCGGGATCATCTATGCTGCTTACCTCCACCTAATAGCGCATTTGATCATTTCTTTAGATGTAAAACATATTGAAAAGGTTTCATAGAAATGCATTGAAGCAGAGCAGCTCCGAGTAGTTTACCTTCACAGGAGGAGAGTCAACACTGAGAGACTGGACATAAGTCCCATTGCCAACCGAACCATAGAAAAGGCAACCAACTTTTTCAGGTAAAGACTTGAGTGTGTTACCAGCAGTTGACGCCAAAGGAAGCTTAGGACAAGCCATTACACCTAGTACTACTTTGCCATCCACCAACAATGCTAATCCTATTGCATATTGTTCTCCTCTTATAAATCTACAAATTGGAAATTCGCAGGTTATAGTTAAACTTAAGTTCCGATACTCTATGACAACAGTTCAATAATGCAAATAATAGAAACAAGAAAGCAGATACTACTGAGATTGATTAGTCTCTGACACAGGCGTTGAACAATGAAACGAGATGAAGTTGCAAAACAAATCCAAATACAAGTAACTAACTCTAAGTTTGTGCATAGGGAAATAACAAAGGACTCACCCTCTAGTGCCACCTATAGGATCCAAGATCCAATGGCGACCCATAGGACCTCCTTCTGATTTACCACGGTCTATGGCGTTGAGCACATCATCGGAAGACAAAGGAGAAGCAGCATATGATTCATCACTGGCAAGAGTATCTTTCACAAGCTCTGTAATACGTGCCAAAACAGTCTCAGCAGCAATCTTCCTCAACTCACCAGAATCCTAAACATAAATTACAGAAACAGAAGTCATAAACAAAATCCATCTTAGTCCATTCAAGAAAAACCTGCAATGTTTTTTTGCATTTTTTGGCACCTCTTCAGCGACTAATGACACAGGTTCATTCAGGAGTTCCCTTTCGAGTACAAGGCTAACCACCGCCTGCGAGCCTAAAAGAACAAGACTTTGTTTCATTAATGAGCCAAGAATGAGATGAAATCTAAAGATAATCATTATTCTGAGTGAGCAATTTAAAACCCAAATGAAGCATTTAAGCCAAAAAAGGGTCAAAAGAGGGATACAAACCATAATCAGCAACAGTAACAGGACTATCATCTGATTTGTTCCAAACGTCAGATACCAACAGAGATTTCCTCACTTCCTGGAGAAAGCAAATCAATTTTTGACTTGTTAAATCTGACTCTCAAGTCTCTAAACATAAAGCACAGATGGAATCATATATACACAAATCTCAAGAATTGTTAAAACCCAATTCTTAAAAACGAAGATACAACAAGTCTAGATCCCCATTTCATTTTTCATCAAATCAAATTCCAGATTTCATTTGTCTCAGTTGACAATTTCCAATAAACAAGAAAATAAAAGTCACACATTTAACTCACAGAAAGAGTTCAAAGAAAACATCTAACTCTCTCGGAACACGTATCGCAATGTCAACGAGCAAAGAAAAAAAAAAAGAAGAATTTTTTGGTTTAATCTAAATCGAGAAATCGCAGAATATTCATGTCATGTGATCCCAAAAGAGTGAGTGATCGTACGTTGCTGAGACGAGCAGCGAGAGAGACAGCTTTCTTCGCAGCAGAAAGCATCTCATCGTAAGACATTGGAAAGGGTAATAAAGGAAAGAAGTACGAAGTTGAAGAAGAAACAAAGAAGACGAAAGAAGATGAAGAAGAAATCTCTCAAGAATCGATTTTTATGATATTGAATGAAAAACCTCTCGCGACTCTGAAGCAACTTCTTCCCAATTTTTTTATTTTATTATAGATTTGTTTTTGTTTTAGTAATACGTAATAATAATTGTTTATTGAATATAGTTTGTTTGTTTTTTTTGATATTTTTAAAATATCATTTTTCCAATCTCTACCGTTGTGGAAAAGTATGCATACTATAGACTATAGAGTCTCCTACCGTTGCGACAATGAAAGTTTCTCTCACGTTGTCTCATTCCTCTCTTTAATTTGTTCCAACAAATATTTTCTATTTTTTTCCTATAGTTTAGTACATTTTAAAAGTTTTATTATTTTATTATAATACTCTGCAGATTTCAGATGGCATATTGCAAATTGCCTTTATCTTGTAAAAGTTATATAATCCAAGTGAGGAAAACATAAATATATAACAATCCAATAATGAATTGGTCCAATAGCAAGATATTTTTCCTTAGAGAGAGATATTTCAATGTATATAAATAGAGATTTTTCTATATTATTTAGTAATATATGTAATTTCGGGAAGTTTGCTTCTTTTTGTAGGTTTAGATAACAATCCTGATTAATTTTATGTTTGGCAAGAAATAGTATATGATTCTTACTTTCTAATTAATTATTTTTGGTTCGTTGTATTTGTTTAGCCTTTTCTGATATGCTTTTATTCCAAAGAGGTTATGCTTCTTCTTTTTTTCCTCTTCTTTTATACTAGCTTACTAAATAAATAATTAGAGGTATGATAATCATAATTAAATTAATTATATTGCAAATTGCTTTTAAAGATATTGTAAATGACGTGTGAACTTTGTGGCCCGGTCTTGTCAATCTCTCGCTGAAAACAGATTATTGTGTTATATCAACTTATCATCATTAACATAAAATAATATCTTGGTTATCAACACTAGAGCTACTCTCCCGACAAGAGAGAAACATCAAAACGGTGCTGTATCATCAAAACTCTAATATTGGTAACATTGATTAAAAACAAAACCAGATAGTATATAGTATCATTCACATTAAAAGAGTATTAAAACGAAATTTATTTCTAAAGTTTGACTAGACCAAACGATCTCAAGTCACAACGATTCCTTCATCGTGAAAGGGATATTAATATTAACTAGATGAATACCCACGCTACGCGTGGGTTTGTTTTAAAAATTGTTAATAACAAATTATTTTGATTGTTCTTGTTGCTAGTTAATCACCCGTTTTATGCCGCGATTTTTCCCGGTTTTTTTCTATTTTGATTTATTTGATGTTATATTTTGATAAATATAATTTTTAATTATCTAATCATTTACTCATACAATGAACAACTACTCTTAGTATTAAAATATATTTTCAACCAACATACTCAACAAGGCATCACTCACACAATCCATAAACAATCTTTCCTAAACCAATTTTATAGATGGTAATGTTGGGATTATAGAACCTCCAAAATTTGATGACCTTACGTACTCTTCACCCTCAGTGTCATATATAGATCAAAAAATTAAGAGAAAAACTTACTCAAACCATTAGCTAATCCACTATACTATTATCCACTCATATTTTGAGTTAAGATTACAAAAATTAGGGAAAAAAACTTTGGAGTATATAAAACCAATAAAATAATTTCATGGAAAAAAAACATAAAATAACAAAATAAGTTAGTATTAGTAAAAATCAATATGTAAAATTAAATAATATATAATTAAATAATAAATATATTATTAACTTGTGAAATAGATTTTCAAATTCATATGGGCCATCCCTCATGGGCTATTGTGTTTTCCCTAATTGACATTTATAATTAGAAGCTGATGTGTAAAAAATAAAAGCTGACTCATATTAATGAAATGTTTTGATTGGATGGAAAGAAAGCTGATGTGGCATCTCCAGAAGAGCCTAAAATGCTGACGTGTCGACCATATGGAGAGAGATAGCCTCCTTTCATATATATGATTTACCCCATTTATAATTGGGAATAAAATCACGAATTTTTCAACTTTTTTCTTGTGGATTAAAAAAGTTACAAAATAATTTTTGTTATATGTCCCCAAAAGAAAGTACTATAGATAATTAGATATTATATTTAATTGCTTATATATGAAGAGATTCCACTTAACGCGCTTACTTCCGTATTAAGGATAAAGTAATCTACGCGCTCTAGACACGTCGGTGCATGTAAACCTTAAGAGGCCTTTTCAGATCCGTTAGTGGTCCAACTCTACAGCCCATTATACTTGGGCCCAAAACAAAGATTCGCTTTTTTTATTTGATTTTCGAAACTCGAAGAAATTCTCACCTTGTGCAACAGATACATGATTCGTTTTGGTTGAAAGGAACTGAAACAACAGTTACAAAGAAGGAGAGAAGAAAGAATCAGAGAGCTGAAGCTTTCTCTTGCTCAGCTATGGAGTCACGAACTGCTTTCAAAAGCAGAGGCATTAGCTTCTCGTTAGCAACGATAATGCCTGTGTCCAAATCAAGATACTTCCCTTTCGAGAAATCCAGTGGCTTTCCTGCTGCATCTGTCACGATTCCACCCGCCTCTGCACCAAAGAGAAGAATCAATCTTGCATTCATTATCAATTCACAGTCGCATATCGGTATTGTAAAATCAGTTCCATAAAGAGTAAGGTTTTTAATGTTACCTGTAACAACTATAGCACCAGCGACATGGTCCCAAATCTTTTCGCGGTATCCTTTATGAGGAAACCGTAAGTATATAGCTCCATCTCCTCTTGATAAAGCTCCATACTTTGCTTGGCTATCGATACGGACAGGTGGAGCTTTGACACCGAGTTTCTGTATATAATAAGAGAGAACATGATGATCAAATGTATGCGGAAAATTAGTTAGCTATTCGCTGGAATGGAATCACATGGAAGGAAAGAAGCAATTTACATTGGCAATGGAGCTGGATAAATCATGAAGAGAATGAGCTCCTTCAAATGACTCGAAGAACGATGCCTCTTCAGGATTCTCAACACTAGAGACTTGTACTTTGACAGGAGAAGATTTCGAATCTAGGAGCTGCATATACGTCCCTGAACCAATTGTAGCAAAGAAGAGGCATCCAATTTCATCTGACGAAGATTTGTTGTTCTTGTTGTTTCCTGCTATGGATGCTAACGGCAAGTTTGGACAAGCAAGGACACCTAAAACTACTTTCCCTTCCTCTAGCAATCCTAGTGCTACTGCGTATTGATCTCCCCTCAGAAATCTAAAATCATGAAACAGGTTTTAGTGTCAGGAACACAACATCTGCTTCAACGTTCTCTGAAATAAGAAGATTTGATTTTAGGGTAGTTAGTTTTAAAACTTACCCTTTAGTGCCATCAATAGGATCCAAGACCCAATGTCGGCCATTTGGACCACCTTCAGATGTTCCACAGTCAATGGCTCTAAGTAGATCATCCGTAGACAAAGTAGAGCCACCAAACGATTCCTCGGTAGCCAAAGTGTCGTTCACGAGTTTCGTGATGCGCTCCAGAGTATCCTTAGAACCGTCCTTGCGTAGATCGCCTGAGTCCTATATACATAATTATAAACAGTGTGTGTCCATAAACACAAACTCAAGATAAGTAATGTAAGAGACATCTAACAAGGATTTTTAAAGCTGTTTCACCTCCTCGGCCACCAATGAAAAGGGTTCAGAACTGAGCTCCTTTTCTAAGACTAAACTAACAACTGCTTGTGAACCTGAAATTCAACACAAAACATATTTAAAGCACGAATACGTCATCAAATTAAGTGACTTCCTAGCCATCTCAGAAAGATTCAAAGATAAAAATTTAATAATCAAGGACAGGTATAATAAACTAACCATAATCAGCAACGGTCACTGGACTTTTATCAGATTTTGATTGAACATCTGATTGCAACAAAGCCTTTTGAACTTTCTGAAACAAACCCAAAACAACAAAGACAAATTCCGTTAAAAGAAGATTTGAATCAAAGATTATTCACACGAGCCTCGTATGTCAAAAATCAGGTGAATCATTACACTACATCACTAGAATCTATTCCCAATTACATATGCAATGCACAATACCACAAAATGTTAACGAAATTAAGAAGATTTACAAAATGGGTTTCTTAAAGAATCAAACTTTAGAATCTGAGTCATGATGAAATCGAGAAAAAAACCCTAACCTGACAGAGACGAGCAGCGAGTGAAGCAGCTTTCTTAGCAGCATCAAGCTCTTTCTCGTAAGCCATCGATGAAACTACTTTGAGAGTAACAAATGAAGGAGAAGACTTGCTTCCGAAGACAGAAACGAGACGGTTCGATGAATTTCTAGGTCTCGAATTCGTTCTAACTGCTACAAATGATTGAAGCGGAACCTTCGCTGTTCGAAAACAATTTATAGACATGTTTCGTCTTTCAAGAAGATAAATATGTCTTCACATTTTTTGGTTGCAGAGACAATTATTATTACTTTTCTGAATTTCCCATTTACACCCATGTATTTTTTTATTCTTTTAAAGTTAAACCTAAACTTTATTTTATGTCAAGAAAGACCCAAATTGCTCCGTTGGTATAGGGGTCAATGTAGCACCAACTGAAAGAACAAGAACAAACGGTGAAAATCATAAAACTCAAAAACTTTAATGATGTTCGTAGATTGGTTGTTGAGTTTTGGGCTAATCGCACGTGGATGTTGTGCTTGAAGTTGAAATTATAGGTAGTGAAGATACAAAAAGGCTTCTTTATGAATGAAGAAGCCCAATAAGATTTTAAATTTTGAGGGAACCAAAAGCCCAAATAATATTCTGAAGACAACAGCTACTACAGCTTTGCCACGTTGTCCACATGAATCTTGTTGGTCTATGATTTTGGGGGTTTAGGATAAATCATTAATGACGCAGAGACGAGACTAAAAAATATTTCTAGATTGATGATGGCGTGTGAGATAGCAAAATCGGCTTTGATTATTTGCCGCCGCAAGCAAAGGGTCACGTTCCACTAACTTTCAAGATTCAACAAAACCCACTTTCTTTTTATATTCCTCTTTTGTGTCGTCTTTTGAATAATTTAATCTTCTTACACAAGATAATCTTCAGAAAAAGATTTTCTTACAAAAAAGATTCTGGTAAGTCTTTTGTGGTTTTCAACAAACTCCAGGTTGATATGTAGTTGCCACCCTATCAGTGGATTTTATTCTGATTTTGATTATTTGTTTTCTTATCCATAGACTGGATTTTGAAGGTTCTTGTGCTGCAGGGTTTTTCAATGAACAGGAGCAATAAACGTAATCAGCAACCTTCATATATTGCTGATCATTTCAGCAGTTTGGATCAGGTGTGATTATCTTGATTTGAGTCTCTGTCAAATGATGAATTCATAACAATGGTCTTTGCACTTGGCTTTTAGGTGATAACTTCTCTGAGAGAAGCTGGACTTGAATCTTCAAATCTGATTCTAGGAATTGACTTTACCAAGAGCAATGAGTGGACAGGTAACTAGATTTTAAGAAAATGCTTCACATGTTGATGAGACGACGATTCAATGGTTTTGGTTAATGTTCTCAATTTTCATTGTAGGAAGATATTCATTCAATAGAAAAAGCCTTCATGCCATTGGTAAAAGACAGAATCCATATGAGCAAGCAATATCGATTATTGGTCGTACTTTGTCTCCCTTTGATGAAGATGATCTTATACCTTGTTTCGGTTTTGGCGATGGTTAGTTTCTTATTTCTTGCTTTCAAGAATCAAGATGAAGAAGATTAACTAAAGTTCTTAATGGTGTTGTGTATTCTTCTTCCTGCAGTAACAACACGAGATCAATATGTATTTAGCTTTTATCCCGAGAACAAAAGCTGCGACGGATTGGAAAACGCAGTTAAACGATATAGAGAGATTGTTCCACATTTGAAGTTGTCTGGTATTTTTGAACTTTTCAAAAATGGAACAGTTTCGTTCTCTCTTATCGTAAAGATTTATTCTGTGTATTCTTCTCTCGCAGGTCCTACCTCATTTGCCCCGGTTATTGATGCTGCCATCAATATAGTTGAGCAGAACAATATGCAATACCATGTTCTCGTCATTATCGCAGATGGTCAGGTCACAAGAAATCCAGATGTGCCGCTTGGTCGACTTAGTCCACAGGAAGAAGCTACCATAAATTCGATAATGGCAGCTAGGTGAACTATTCAATAAGCTCAGATACATGATCATATATAATATATGATATATTCATATGTATACTAATGTTGTTTAATATAAATTTCCAGCCATTACCCATTGTCGATAGTCTTGGTTGGAGTAGGAGATGGACCATGGGACACAATGAAACAATTCGATGATAATATTCCTCACCGTGAATTCGACAACTTCCAGGTAATATATTAAAACCCTGAATAGCAATTGCATCTTTTCCGGATAAAAGCTCTGTTTTGACTCTGTTATGTTCCACAGTTTGTAAACTTCACAAAGATAATGTCAGAGCACAAAGATGCGACTAAAAAGGAGGCTGCTTTTGCACTCGCAGCTCTCATGGAGATCCCTTTTCAATACAAGGCCACATTAAGTCTCAAGTAAGTGCAGTAAATTTCCTAGTTTCTACCTTTGGAAACTTCTTGTATCATTGTTTATGGTCTTATTGCCTTAGATTCTTGAAAAGGCCAACTAAACCAACCTTCGATTGTTCTTATGAACAGTAGAAAACCAGTGCGTAGTTCCCATCTGCACCACAAGCCACTCCCGCCACCACCGGAGGTTATAGAGCGTGACAATGCTGTTAGATTGGTGCCAAATCCGCTGACAGAAACTGCAGAGAAAAGTGACAGAATGGTTCCTGCTACAGTGCCGGTAAATTCTCTATTATTTCTGCCTTTGTTACTGTTCTTTTGTCAATGAGTATACTCAGTTTCTCTGATACTGAGATTTACATTTCTTTTGTTTTTCAAAAAAGGTATGCCCAATTTGCTTGACGAATCCTAAGGACATGGCTTTTAGCTGCGGTCACACGGTAAGTGATTTTTTATACTCTTACTTGTTCTATGAACTGTACTGCTTCTAGATCGATTTTGTGACATCTCCGATGCTTTTTATTTCAAATGAAGACATGCAAGGAATGTGGAGTTGTAGTCACGACATGCCCACTATGCAGACAATCTATAACAACAAGGATAAGGCTGTACACTTGAGTCAGTAAAACTCAGGACAACTCAAGGACGCTAGAGATGAGACAAAAATCATATGGTTAAGCACTTGAGCTTCATGTTCATACTTGTGTAGCACATTGTACAGTCCAAGCAGAAGAAAAATAATACATAATCGAGCTGTAGTTCGTTTGTATTGCAGTGGCCGTGAGGCTCTATGTATTTGATGATGAATACCCAAAATTCTTAGCCTGCCGAAACAAGGAGATATGCGAGAAGAGTTCTCTTTCTGTATTAATCAAAAGCTACGTACAAAGAAGCCAAAGAGTTACTTTTCATAACATTACAAAGAGACCTACAAGTTCTAAATCAAACGGAAAAGTTAACAGCAGAGAAACCAATGTAAAAAAAAGAGAGCTAAAAACAACCTTAAATACTTATTAAAAGCTCCAACGGTCGAGTTGTTGCCTGGCTACAGCCATGTCTTTTTGTGCTTTCATTCTCCGGTAAAATATTGGACAATCTCGACTGTAAAAGACCAATAGAAATCCAAAAAGGAAGTTGGATCAGTACCTAGTTACCTATTGAAGAATTTTTAAAAACATTGATATCGAAAAATATATAAGCAAACCTGGTGCACAAGACATCTTGATGAAGAGAGCCTTGACACTCCTGGCACTGGGTCCACAGCCTCCCAAAAACCTCTTCTAGCTCAGCCACTGAATTACACACCAAAATTATCAAATATTACTGATATATCAAGGAGTCTATAGGAAAGGGGAAAACAGCAGCATACCTTGAGACACGTTTTTGCAGTATAACTCGGCTTCTCTTCCCTTGCAACTTGCGCATAGTGTTCCATTGCTGGTTGAAGTTAAAAGAGAATATTGATAAGCAGATCCCATATATGGAATCAGATAAGCGAGATTACAAGAACAAACAATCAAATAATAAGGAATTTGGAAGACAGAGAAACAAATATAGATCAGGAACCAAGAATCCAGGATCACGATCCTAATATTCTTCAAAAGTGAACATGAATAAATACATGGGCAAGGGACAACAAAGTACCTGATCGGAACTTTGCAGCCAACACAGCTCAGTTGTTTCTTAGCAAATTTCATTATGCCGCTGTTTGAAGGAGTAGTGATTGATATTGACCTCGTGTGACTTCCATGAAGAAGCTCCTTGCTAGCATTTTTCAGGACTGGCTCAAAAATCCTAAGAAGTGGCTGAAAACAACATCTGCTTTAAACTACAATCACCAGAATCAAGAGTATAGAATAAACTTATACACAAACGCCACTTCGAACTGACCTTGCTAATCTGATTCTCCAAGTAGTAATTTGGGTCTATAGGGATGTTATTCTGGAGCACGTAGATCGGATCTTCTGATCGTTCATAAGCCTGTTTGACATCAAAATGCGATAAGCACGGTAGAAGAGAATAACCTTAACATCTTATAGAAAAGTAAACTTAAGCTTGACATGAAAGCTACCTTGGCACCTTTAGCAGCTTTTATGATAACATACGGTACTCGATCTCCAACATTTGGCGCTGTGGCAGCATCCCTCTGTCACATATGAAAGCAAACACTGTCATATTTCACATAATAGATCATCAGATAGCGTAAAACAGATCTCAGTTGCAGAGCAACCTTTATATGATATCATATATTCACCACAAAGCCGGAAAAATGATAATCATATATTCACCAAAAGTATGCATGAATTAAGAAAAATCCCTGCACTTGTGCAGCTATTAAATGACGACCAAAGAATCACATAAAAATATTATACAAGCCAAAAATTAAAATCTAACTGTTTAGCACTTCCATTTTTCAGTTTGAGGGTGTCCATAAGATGCTGGAACTAGAGTAAAGCAATGAAAATACCGCTAGAGACATTTGTACATGTTTCTTGACAAACGGAAACAGTCAAGAGTTGTTATCTGAACATGTAATGAAAATGCTTAATCATGCAAATGATAGATGAAAAAAGATAAAGAGTACCACAAACCTTACGCATGCGTTCAGCAAGTTCACCATGAGCTGATTTAACTTCGTAATCATCTCCTGTTTTCGTTAGACCCTATGATTTGAGAAACACATCAGGAGCATTATACATTGATTCTTGATTTAGTTTTCACAGATGGCTTTAGTCATGAAAATACACTTTCAGTCGATACAAACATCACAGGATAATAAAGCAAGCAAAACATATTACCTTAGTAATCACCAAAAGTGACAAGTCAATACGGTTCATGAGAAGATCCGAAATGGTTTTCTTAACATTTTCAGCTGCACCTGGAACATCTCTATCAATAAGTATTTTGTTAAGACTCTCAGTCACGAGGTTCTTAACCAGTAAACAATTATCCCTTCGTACTGTCTCGATTCCTGCCAGAGTTGGTCATATTGAAATTTAGTCAGAAAATGAATAAGAGAAGAGAAGCTGTAAAATTACGAAGATTTACCTTTGGTGTCCATTTTGTCAAACTGTTGAGGATTTGTCCATAGCAAACCAGCATATCTCTTCTTGTTAATGAGCAGATATGGGAAATAGACTTTTTCAAACTCCAATTTGATGGGCTTTATGACATCATACACAATCAAGAAACAAAGAACGAGTCAGCCTGTTATATTTTGTTTTCAAGAAATCACGTAATCTTGCACCTCTACCCCAAAGGATTAGGGAGAAGTTTATGATATGCTCCTAGCATAAAAAATCGCTTACTTTGATAAAAGTTCCGCTAATATGTTCTGCAGCTTCCCTCCCCAAGTTCATTGCAGCTTCTACATCCGATACTCCAAATTGCACCATGACTGAATCTGTGTCTCCATAAATGACCTAATTCATCATAGTCCATCAAATTCGAGAAATTTAAGAGCAAACTAATGAATCACTCAGTCTTTTCAATACAATGAGTAATTCAATGAAAATGTACCTCTGCATTGTATTCATACCCTCCCAGTGTTGTGAATTTGTCTTCTACAAGTTTCTTCGTCTGTTCAATCATCTGACGACCTTCAAAAAAGATACAAATCCATCAGAACAAACCTAAAAGGATACGTGTCTAGAAAAGTTGCAGTGTTCACAAAAGAAATACCATAGCTAGTTACACTTGAGGATATTTCTAAGCATGGTAACTGCCCATTAGTGGCTCCCGTAAACCCGTAGACAGAATTTGCACTGATCTGAGACAACAATAAAAGAAATGTAAAAGAGCAATTTACAGGGAAATTATTGTTCGTAATTTTCCGAACATTCTAATCATTTTTCTGAATGACCAAGTTAAATAAGCTGGCAGTAAGAAGTGCACCTTCAACGCCAACTGTCTACCATCTAAAACAGCCTTCTCAAGGGGATCCTTAGCCTCCTAAATTAGACAATACGAGTTTCATTAGTAGTAGTTAAAGGCTGTCTACAAGTATGCACATACTGCAGGAGTTTCTTCAGAATCAAATGTTTAGTTACCTTTAAATCTGCTTTAGCTCTTTTACGGGCGGTAAGAAGCTCTTCGAGAATTTCTGGAAGTATACCCTGAAATAAATGATTTGTTTTGTTTATGAACTCCTGTATTTCCTGAATTAATTAATTGGTTGTATTCCCTGAAAGAAATTATTCAACAGAATTTGAGGTACGAGGATAATCGAAATCCAAATAAATGCGGCAACCTTTTGCAAACTTTGCTTAACAAATGTTTCCCCTGATGGAGTTCTAGTGACATGTTCAGGTGGAAGATTCAGTTTGCGTACATCTTCAGGTGTCACCTTCAAAGACAAGAACATGGAAATAATGCTCCCAAATTAGTAAGGTGTGTAAACAATAGATGATAAAATAAATAGAAATTAAAAAGAAAATATCAAAAGAATTACCAAGGTGCAGTAGCACAGATTATATGCCATCATAATTGACGGGTACAGTGAAGCAAAATCCAAAGTTGCAATTGGCTTTTCATAGAAACCTGTTCTTGCTTCTAAAACCTGAATCATTTGAAACATCCAAAAAACAGACATGTCGGAACAGTGGAACTAATACAAACGAGAGGCGAAAAAGAAATGTTAGACTCGCAAAATCACAAACTTACAGTTGCGCCTTCATAAGTTCCTTGTTCGGACCCTGACTGTTTAGCATTTGGAAGAACCAGATTCTTCTGTTTAGCTTTCCTAAGAAGCTGAGATAGAACCTAGAAGCAAATTATTGAGACACAAATATCAGCCACCTTAGTACACTGAAACACATATCCAGAAACCATTAGTTGAGAACTACCTTGATACTCTGTCCTCTAGCAAGAAGAAAGGAAATAGGGACACCAGTTACACGAGCCATTTCGACATAATTATATATAAACATCAGTTTGTCCAGAAGCCTCTGAGGGAGATATGCATCCTGTAACAGCAAAGAGGAACGTGGGGAAGTTATACCTTCTTATAATATGCAACAGGATATAGGTAACAATACTCCAGAACTAAACAAAAGTAGGTACCTTCAGACAATAAACAGCAAGACGCCTCCTGGTTTCCGCATTCCCATTCTGGAGATCAGTTATTATAGAATGGTGGACATCCTCTTTCTGAAGAAGATAATCAGGTTAGGCACATGGAAAAATAGAAATAACCTGAAATTATAAGCATAATTACTCGGTTTCACCTGCTCAGAAAGAAAGTGAGCTGAGACAGAATTCAGCGAATAAGAACTTAATTTGTGGTCTCTGTGTATTGCCTACAATAATTAAAAGACGAATTAAGTTGATGTTACAAACAAAGAATCTAAGAATGACTCAACCAAATGAATTTGTTAAGGACAGAAACCTGAATAAGGTCAAACTGAAATCGTCCTTCAATTGTGGTCTCTTTACTTTCCCTTATTCCTTGTTGTCTGAAACATGGCAATATAATATTAAAGATGCGAGGTTAGAGAACTCATGAGCCACGAAAAGCATGAAGCATAACAAAAAAAATAATGGAGAAGTGATGGCAGTTAGCAAGCACCAGTTACTCCTACATCACCTTGATGAAAATGTTGAGTCCCTGACCCGGACCCTACTGTTCTTTACACGACCAAGAAGAGGAAATTCCTCTATTCCCAGTGTTGCAGCTCTCTGAGAATCAGAAAACAGCATATTTTCTAGGTAAAAGATCCATCACATATACATGTGCCATACAGCCCAGCGGAGCATAGCATAATGTTACATATAGAATACTATAAGAATGAAAAGCACGCTTCTACTAACCAGAGGTGATACTGATCCGTCAATAAAAGTAAAATTTAATGTTCAAGTACCTCAATCAGATAAGGTAAATCGAATTTGCAGATGTTATAACCAATGATGATATCCGGATCAACATCACGAATCAAATCCTGCAGCCAATACATCTCATACATCAGCAATACACATGTTTCACCAAGCCCACAACAAAAATGCAGTAGCAACATTACTAAATCTTTCACTGAGTCCTTAGGATTTATGAACTGTAATAGAACTTACTTTTGCAAGCAAGGTGCCAAAAAACAGATGAAGAAGAAGTAAAGCATATATAATAAGGACAAGAGGAGGTAAAAACAATACCCTCCAAGCTAGTAAGACCTCTCTTTCTGTTTCAAAAGACATGACATCTACGCCTACGATTGGAGCACATGACTTAAGAGTCATGACATTGCGTACAAATGGGTGATCCTCTCCCTGAAGAGTAACAAGGTTCGCTATCTAGAAAAGCAATGAGAATGTTGTTTCAAGAGGATTGCAAACAAAGGTAACAAATAGGTATATCAAAATATGACAAAAACAGCTAACCTGGATTACAGGATCATGCTTAGCCTCCGGAAAGTGCCCTTTACGTCCTGCGCACTCAATATCGAAACTTAGTACACGGAATGGAGCCATTTTTGAGTATTCACCTTCTGCAGCATGACTGATTAGATCTGAGTACCTAAACCCCATGTTAAGGAAAGCAATGACATAAAACAAAATATGTTACTATATAAACACATTCTTGCTCCAGAGAAGAAATGCAGATCAGGATACAGGCAATGGAACTCCAATTGGCAGTATGACAAAGTTCTTGCATTCTTCTTATATTTCCCAGTAGGTATTTCAATCCAATTTCCTCCGACAATATTGCAGTCAACCATGAAACGAAGAACAAAAATAATATTGCTCTCGTATGTTTGGAAGCTCTTCATACCAAATCCATCAATTTGTAAGCCTCTATCAAGGATGCCTACCAATTTAATAAATTGCAATGACAACATCAGTAAAGGAGATAGTAAAGCCATAAAGCACAAACATTTGGGAGTCATACCGCGACAACTTGCCACCATAGTCGGCAATGCAACTGTAATCTTCAGAAAAGTTTGTGATTCTTGCTGCTGGTAATACATAATACTTCTTTTTTGCACCATTTCGATACGCCGAACAAATTTCGGGACCTTGGCATTTTTATTGGATTCCCTCATCCTTCCCTGAATGAGTCAGATGAGCTTTAAACAAAACCAGGGAGATCAAAGTACAGAATTCTCAGAGATCTATTTAGCCTACATAATAAATACCTCAAGAATCTGATGGAACTTAGAAATATCGTCTGGCCCCATTCCAGGAGGGCAAGCAATGTAAAAGTAGGGCTCAAATCCATGAACAAAGCAACACACACTGTTACCTGACAATAAACAGGAAATGTAAGCTCAAATCCAACGAAATCGTTCCCCATGTCAGTGTCTTTTCAACGAAGAGCAGAAAAAAGAATTAAAAACACTCACCTTCTCTGGTAACCCCAAACATCCTAATGATTGGAGCTTGCCCTGAGGAACCCGGTAACAGCTCCTTATGACTCTCCGAAATTATAGAGTCAATCTCCAATTGTTGGAAAGCTAACATATCAAAAACACAAATCAAAGTGTTGAGAAATTTCCAGCAATCATAAGATGAAGAAACCCTAGACAAATTAAGATAGTACTCAACTGATACTCTGCGAATTCGAGAGATAAGCAGGTGAGAGCGGAGGTCGAGCCCAAGCCGACGAACGCGATTCACGCTCCTCAATGTCCCGGAGAATTAGGGATTCCTCATCTTCGTCGCCGTACAAGAGAGTTTCGTCGAGAAACACGTCCTCGTCCACCATAAATTCATCATCTAGGGTTCCGATGGCCGGAGATGGTGTTGAATTACCAGTGGCTTGATGCTTCACCGCCGGTGGGGTATTCGAAGGAGGCGGTCGCTTTTTGGAATTACCGGCTCTATTCATGGCTTTGGGTGAGCGGGAAAAGAAGAGAATGTGTGATTTTGTGAGCTCGTGGGAGGTCTGAGAGAAGTAGAAAGTGAGACTACACCACTGCGATTCCCGCCAGTTTTAAGGGTTTTGCTATTAGAGAGAGAGGTCAATGTGAAGATTTTTAGGAAACTTTTCTTTTAAGTCCCTAGACAATGCTATTATTAACGAAATCGTTTCGAACTTTTTACGGTGGTTGTAATTGTTTTGAATTTAAATATTTAATAGAATAATTTATCGGATGACCAAATGTTTAAGTGCTTCTACGAGGTTTGATTGCAAAAAGAAACACGAATAATTGTATATCAAAAGAGACAACGTTATAAGAGAGTTCAGAGAGTTCAGAGAGTTCGATCGTGATACAAATAGAATCGTTCATTGCTGTAGTTTTTGAATCATGGACTACTCTTCGACCTCTCTTTAATTATTTTAGTATTTCATGAGCAAGACAAGTGATGGTACACTTGAAAGCTAAGACTGATGCCGCAATTCATAATGGAACTTGGTTTATGTCGACGGACACAATTAGAACATGTCGAGCATCTTAAAATCATTCTCACCTCAATGACACCTCCATTAAACATCTCTCGGCCATATGTATTTTGTGGTGTACACAAGCCAATACTCCGACCTTCTCCTCAATAGGTACTTGGTTTAGAAAGCAGTTTTGGCGCTACTCCTTCACTCACTAGCTAGGCCAATCCAACTAGAGATAGACTACAGAATTGGGGAAATGAGAATAGCAATGTTTGAATGTGAATTTCCCCATTTTATATGGATATTCGTCGTTACCAAGGTAGTAATGAACCCTCCATGGCTCCATCAAATCTCTCTACGGTAAATACTTGGCTCAATCATATGCAACAAGGAGTAAGATCTCATCCAAAGCTGTTCTCAAATTTTTGCAACAAATCTTGTTGTACTTTATATGGAAGGAACAAAATTCCCAGTTATTGATCTCCACATCCTCTACCATGCCATCTCTTCTGATGAATATCGATAGAGCAGTGCGGAACAGCCTCAGGCCTATTCCACATAGAAATCCACCACATTCGTCTCTTGTACTCCATCATGGGAAGTCTCTCGTTGAGCTTGGACGTAGGTTTTGTACTTAGAGCATGATTATTGGTAGACTCTTAAGACACCTCTTAACTTAAGAGATATGTCTTACAACTAAGAAATGTCTCTTAACTTAGTTATTACTTGTATCATCTGAAATGACTTGTTAAAAAAGTGTACCATAGCGGTCAGCGGATGTTCTTGTTATTACTACTAGCATCTAAATAATTCAGACCAAATTTCCTTTTTCTTGTACGAACGCAAAAACATGGAAATGACGTGAGACCACAAGATAACAATTTCAAAAAATATTATATTTGACAAAAAGGAAATTAAATCATATTTTGTTGACAAAAAAAAAAGCAACAAAAATAATATTTTAGGTTAAATCAGAGAGAGAGCGCACAAGAGCCATTTGTATAGGAACTGAGAAATCTTCAAATTTCAAAAAAGCCAAGGAAGGCGGGATTCCAAACATTCTCTTCATCTTCTTCTTCTCTCCATTTATTACAACCGATCCTCGCGAATCACAAACTCATCTCCAGAAAACAGTGTAACAATGGCGGAAAATACGGCCAGCCATAGAAGAAAACCTCAGAGCTTGAACGATCGACACTACAGTATCCTCCAGGATCTTTCTGCGCCTCCTAAACAGCCTCCTTCTTCTTCCCGTACGATTGTTCTCTTCTATTGTTTGTCTATGGTTTCGGATTCGTATCTGTCTTTGACTTTGAGTTTTTTTTTTTTTTTTGGGTTCCAGATGGAGAAGATGAAGAGACGAAGAAGTCCATGATTAAGCTTGCTGGACGACGCCGTCTTTGCAAGGCCTTGCCAAAGGAAGACGTAGATGACGGAGGTGACGATCCTGATTTGGTTGATTTCGATTCCCCAGGTAATTTTGAGATTTCACCCGGTTTTAAGGTTTTCGCAAACCCATTTCTCTTCGTTTTACAGAAAGAAATAAGTATTTCCGTTGATGGTGTATTTCAATTTTGTCCCAGTAGCTTAATTTGAATTTAGGGGTTTTATTCGAAATCTGGGTTTTAGTCTGTTGTTTAATTTTCGTTCTAACTATACTGCGTTTGTTTTTGTATGATGCTCGAATCAGTTAAAGGAGAGACATCACTAGAGAGCGCTGGAGCTGGGAACAAATTCACATCTTGGGATCAATCAAAGGAAGCTAACACAGAGCTGGCTGGTGAGCCTAACTTTTCGATAATCACAGACTTTAGTTCGCCCTCACCTCAGCTGAAGCAAAAAGAGGAAATGCAAGGTGATGGAGGAAGGAATGAGATCATGGATATTTTGGATGATTTGACCTCTAAGCTTGGGACAATGTCGATTCAGAAGAAGAAAGATAACCAAAGCAATGATTTTGATGGTGGTGGAGTGAAGAGCCGGGTTGATAAATTTGATTTCGAGGATGCCAAATCCTCATTTTCCTTGATATCGGATCTATCTCAGTCCTCACCAGATGTGGGAACCACATGTAGTGCTGGCGTTAATAGTCTCAAGGACAAGCAAGGCAACGCTGGTTTTGCCATCCGGGAAGAGAAAACTAGTAATGAGTTTTCAAGGGAATTGGAAGAAAGAATTTCGGATGTTGGAAAGCAAAACTCATATTCTGGTCGGCACTTTGATGATAACTCTGAATATAATAGGCAGGGATACAATCTTGACCGTGGGAAGAGTCAACGCAAGGAAGAGAAAACTAGTAAGGAGTTTTCAAGGGAATGGGAAGAAAGAATTTCGAATGTTGAAAAGAAAAACTCATTTTCTGGTCAGCACTTTGATGATAACTCTGAAGATAATAAGCAGGGATACAATCTTGACCGTGGGAAGGGCCAACGCAAGGAAGTCGGCCAAAGTCTGAAGACGACTAGACACAGAGAGGTAAGTGAGAAGCTCAGAACAGTCGGAAGGTCTAATGCCGCCAAGCTAAGAGACTTAGACGAGGATGATGATGATGACTGTGTCATTTTGTCCGGGAAAAAGGCGGCTGAAATGAAAATTCATCATGAAAAGCCTAAAAAGCCAGCTCGGTCTTACAATACCGAAAGACATGGTTATGATGAGAGATCGTTGGAGGATGAAGGGTCTATCACTTTAACTGGCCTCAAATTGTCTTACACATTACCTGGAAAGATTGCAACAATGTTATATCCACATCAGAGGGATGGGTTGAAGTGGCTTTGGTCATTGCATACCCAAGGGAAAGGTGGAATACTTGGAGATGATATGGGTTTAGGTAAAACTATGCAGGTAAGGAAATCTGCAACCTGCACTTTTATTATTCGTTATCAATAATGTATCTTTGATTTTGGTTGATTTGCATTGCAGATTTGTAGTTTTCTTGCTGGTTTGTTCCACTCCAAATTGATCAAGCGTGCTCTGGTAGTGGCCCCAAAAACCTTGCTGCCTCACTGGATGAAAGAATTAGCTACCGTGGGACTTTCAAAAATGACTAGGGAGTAAGAGCGACTTTCTTTGATTGATATATACTGAACTGGTGTTAAAAGTACTGATACTGATTGTCTTTCTTTTCTTTTTACAGATACTACGGTACTTCTACGAAAGCCCGGGAATATGATCTCCACCACATTCTGCAGGTTCATGTTCTTTCTTCCATTGTTATCCTGAGAAATCTCACTGATACATAACTATGCAATTGCATTTCATTTACGTTTTCACTTGATTTTTGACACTGTTACCCTTCCTCTAGTAAATTATCATTATCAGTATAAAAGCATATTTTAATATTGCTTAGATTGATTAAACTGATAAATAATTTATCATTTTTCCAGAGTTCAATTCTGATTGTTTTTGAAAAATGGTATGTATTTCCAACTTGGATATCTCTAACTTTTGTAGGGTAAAGGTGTCCTTCTAACAACCTATGATATTGTGCGGAACAATACAAAGGCTTTGCAAGGTGACGACCATTATACTGATGAGGATGATGAAGATGGAATCAAATGGGACTACATGATTCTGGACGAGGTAAACACATAACAATATTTTATCATTTGTGAGGCCTCTGCACTAATAGTTGGTATAATGTGTATGCACTATGATCCATCAAGCGCTGAGATGTTACCATTACTGTAGGTTCTGACTTTTTTCCCTACTGATATCAATATGATGTATTTCCGCTAACACTTCTAGGGACATCTTATTAAGAACCCCAACACACAAAGGGCCAAGAGTTTGCTTGAGATCCCAAGTTCTCACCGTATTATAATAAGTGGTACACCAATCCAGAACAATCTCAAGGTATTGTCTATAATATTTAACGCTGGTCAATAGCTTTTCATTTATTAAAGTCTCTTGCAATTCTAATGCTGCTTATTGATTCCATATTCATATTTACAGGAACTGTGGGCTCTCTTCAACTTCAGCTGCCCTGGGCTACTCGGTGACAAGAATTGGTAAACATCTCATCCCTACAATTTTGCCAGAGTACATTTACCAGCTCTGTATTACTAAGGCTTTAATCTTTAACAGGTTTAAGCAGAATTATGAGCATTACATTCTTCGTGGAACTGACAAAAATGCTACTGATAGAGAACAGAGGATAGGCTCAACAGTAGCAAAGGTGAGGATTCGATTTGAATATGCTTGAGTGGGTATTATTTCGTACTGTAGCTGAAAGAAGTTTTTATTAGGTTTTGAAATTTCTTCCTCTTATCTTGGCATGTCTTCTTGAATCTAGCTCTATTCTATGATTACTATTGATCATAAATATAGCAAGAAATGAAAATATAGATTATCAAGCATCATGCTTACAGTCTGGGATGCATCTTATGAGATTGCAAACTGTTTTCGATATAGCCGTAGTACAGTTAAGTTATGCGTACGCAAGCTTAGTTGCACCTAGGAAGAAAAAATCTATCAATTCGCTTGTGACATATGTTGCTACAGTCTGTAGGCTGCAGATCTTACAA